CTTTTGGTGGATGTAGCTGATTGGTTCTTGTTGAAGCCCCCGCAAAAAACAAACCGGAATTTCGGATCACTGTTAAAAAGGAGGACCTTCTGGGATGCGGGCGGAGCGGGGGATCATTAGGGGGTTTCAAGAGCACCAAATGCCCATACGCCCAAATAAAATCTTTCTAAAAATTATTATTATAACTTTTTATTTAAATCATACCAAAAAAAAAAATTCGCCCCTGCTCCTTGGTGTTTTAGCGCAAATGTTTTTGTTTTTTAGCCCCCCAGCTTTTTAGCCCCTTCAATATATATTGGTTTTAGAAGATAAAAAAAAAAAAAAGATGATATGCTTTTCTGCGCGATATTGCTGGGGGCGAGGGCCAGGGAGTGGGCTTTCATCAGAATTACGGCCCCGACCCATCCATTGTAAGATTACAATTTCTCTTTGTTTTCAGTTTTTGCCATGTTAAAATGATTTTTATAGATTAGCTCTTTGGCTCGAATTTTTTTAAGATATAAATACATTTCAATGAACAAATATAAGACTAACGTACTTCGCTGATAGGTTTCCTCCGAACATCATTTATGGGGGCGAATAATTTGACCTATTTTGGACAAGGTCATCAATACATTTTTTAAACATTATTTCAATGTTCTTATATTTACTTTTCCTTCCACTCGACCACAACAATTTTTCGATGATGAGAGTGTATCTTTCTACGAATCACATTCCGGACTTCTTAATGAAAATCCGGTTAAAAACTATGATTAACACGACCACAAGTAGTAACTAACTTTACATGAAATGGCGACGAACGTTCTCGCACATGTTTCTAAAAAAGACAAAGGGCATTAAGAGATTGTCAATTTTTTAACCGCCCACCTTAATTTACTTTACGAATTAGCCGTCAAGATAGCCTGTTTCTATTTGTGTTCATTATTAACAAAACACATCTTGAAACGACACTAGGCCCTTATTTACTTGATATGCCGTGAAGTCCCTCCCATAGACAAATCTGTAAGCTGAGCATCGATTTTTTAAAAACTTTATAGGTGGTCTATCTCTGTGTTCTTATCCACAGACCCCTAACTTAAAGTTAGGAGGTCTCACCTTCCTTCCTTCCTTCCTTCCTTCCTTCCTTCCTTCCTTCCTTCCTTCCTTCCTTCCTTCCTTCCTTCCTTCCTTCCTTCCTTCCTTCCTTCCTTCCTTCCTTCCTTCTTTTTTAATTCCTTTTCTTCGCAGGGCCACCGAGAGGTTTTTGAGGGACAGAGGCAAAGCTGAAAGACTGACAAAAATTTTTGCCACCATGCCCTCTATATTAGCTTAAAATACATATCAGAATATTTCTAGCAGTCATTTTCTTGCAATGGTTTACAATTTTTACTACTATTAGGCATACCTTTATTACTCAATCGAGTTGTGCGTGTTGTACGTCGACTAATGAACAAAACTTGATACAATAAAATAACAACATTGTACAAAAAATAAATATTGATTACGACGTTTCGAGCATAGCTCTTCATCAGGTGGAACCTTGAAACCTTGAAGGTCAAACCTGATGAACAGTTATGCTTGAAACGGCGTAATTAATATTTATTTGTTGTACAAAGTCGTAATTTTATTGTATCAATTTTTTTTCATACCTTTGTTACGTTTGATTAATTCAATTCTCAAAATTGAATTCATTACTTTCTGAGGCCCCCTAGACCTCGAAGCCTTGGCACAATTTCCCCCCCCCCCCTCTCCGTCCATCCCCCCCCTCTCCGTCCATCTCTCAGCGGTCATGTCCTTGTGTGTCTTAACTGTTTACCTTTTCCTATCTTTGTCTCTTCCTTTCGTCCTTCTTCTGTTCCTTTTATGCTCTACTTCTTTCTACTTTTTCTATATCCTACTTTTCTCCTTTCAGCTTCTCAAGCATTTCTATACAAGCAACAAACATTTTTACCTGCAGTATGGGTTTCCAAGTTCGCATTGTCCCATTCTGTTTGTCAAGTTCATCACTGGCCTTTCTTCAAGTGGAAAATCTCTCATATCGAAGCATGACAAGCTGTCTGCAATAAAACCTTCCAGCGTTCCATTTGCTTGCACAGCGAATCGGTAGTAGAGTCTTTGCACGAACTCCGATACAAAAGCAATCACAAAAGCCTTTGAGACAAGAAACAAACGCAATCAATATCGCTTGTATGAGCAAAAATCTAATAGGTTCTGATTAATATTTTGGGCTACTGTAATAAGCGTCTAATTATATCAAACCTATATATCTCATATGTAGCGAATTAAGCATACTGTCTGCCAAAAAATTTACCTTATAAGTAAAACATTGCTACAAAACTCTTAGTTGTTCTTTAAATCGACTAAGCAAATTCTTTAAACTAATCTTCTATCTAAATTCAGTATCTTTTCACAACTGGAAATATCTTAATATAATTTTATATACAAGATGGCCTAACTATATTCGCTTTGCTTTTCTGACGTTCTGCAACAACAAAATTCTTCAATAGAGTAGCTTAGTAGTGACGATTCGTTCACATAACCTTATTAAGAACAATAAAATACCTCTAGAAGTGCAAAAAAGTTAAATATATTGCAAGTTGGCCGGGAAACAATAAGTAGAATAACTGGATTTTGCTAACGGATGACTGCTGTTCTAACCAGGTTTATAAATTTTAGAACAAGACAATGTTACAGGTTCATTTGATAGGTAAAGAGCTTGTGCTTGTGTGACTATAATTCAGCCAATTTGTAACATATTTAATTTATTTTCCTAACTCAGAGGCATTTTTTAGTGTTTTTCTTTCAGCTTTGATTGCCAAAACTAAAAATTGTCATCATTTTTAGCCAATCTACAATATTCCTTTATTCTATCTAAAGATAAGCTTAAAAGAACTTACATTTATGACAACCGAGAGTTTGACAACAGACTCGAGGATCGGGTACCATATGCCAATATCTTGGACCTTCTGGGCCAACGGTCGACGATACAACACTACAAATTTGTACGCATCCACTCGGATCTCTATCATGTTATTTATAAGGGCAAAAAACGGCCCAAGCGGAAAGGCTGCTACAAATATTGTAATGAATCCAAACTGGATAACTAAAATAGAAAAAATATCTTGAAACTCAAGAGGAAAAAATGAGTTACATTTAAAAATCCGTTGGTCCAGTGAAAATTCAGTGCAAAGACAATCGAGTTTGGTAATCGACATTTCAATGATAAGATCTCATTACTTTCTATTAAATTACTTTTTATGTGTTATCTTCAAAAGAGTACCAGCTTGCTAAATGCTAGGACGTATGTGCTTCTTTCATACAACTTTAATTTCATTCGAAAACAAAACTCTCGTTGGGTGTGTTAAAATTTCTTCGGGTAAGTTCCATATTCATATACAGTAGAATCCCGTTATAACGTACTCGGTTATTACGTACTTTCGGATATAACGTACTGGTGTGCTTGGTTCCGGAAAAAGGTGTGCTTGGTTTTAGTTAATTTCTACTTACCCACGTTACAACGTACTTCGGATATAACGTACTTAATACAATGGTCCCTTAAAGTACGTTATAACCGGATTCTACTGTATTCTTGCCATCGAATTATTCATGCTTCTAACGCACAAAGAAGAAAACTCTAGTGCCTATAAAACTCTGATGATTATAATAATCATACCCATTTCAAGGTATTCATCAAACAGCCCCTGTTGTGAAACTTCTGTTAACTTGTAGTCTCTATCCCATCGGGCTATGTTTGCTATCTCATCATCGGTTAATGTTTTCCGTTTCCTCCACCAATTTTTGAGTTTCCTGCATAAAAAGCACGGTAACAAATTATAAAATATGCAAGAACAACAACAATGAAATATTTCAGTAAGCAACCATTGTCCTGAAGATTGCACAGTTGTACGGTCAGCGGCCGGACCATAAACCAAAGAGTTTTGCTTACCACACCCCTATCTGAATTCTATAACAAGCTCCAACGGTTAAACCAAGTGTACGGTGGAAGGTGATATAAGATTTTAGGGCTGATCCAGAACCAAAAGGAGTAATGCTGGCATTTTCTTCAATTCAACAACCTTCAATTCTGAGTTGATGCGTATAAAGAATCAACCATTAACAAATTGTCGTAGGCAAGAATTTACAATATCGTTTGGAAGCAGATGGCTCTAATATTGCTTGGAAATGCTAAACAAGACTGTCTGTGCAACTGAAATTATATCTATCAACTTTGGTTGAAATGCTCGCCATACTTATGAATATGCCAATGGAAATGAATGCCTGACAGTGTTACCAAAAAAAAATTAAAATGAAATCACACAGATTCATTAAACGACAGGAGATAAAGCGAACAAAGAAAATGAAATCAATATAAAATAGGATGAATTAAGTCATTGAATTAACATTGAAAAAGAAAGCTATCGCCAACTTTAGGCGAATTAGGCCTATACAGAGCAGAGAACCAGTAAGAGACTTACGGGATAACCACTTCGATACACGTGTTGAAGACCTGCTTACCAACCATGATAACAAAGAGCTGGACGCCAAGTTCAAAAAGACAGCCAGCAGGGTTACACTGTTGATTAAAGAAAACATCATGGTTAACAAGGGGAAGTTCGTGTAAAAATAAACTGATCATGGCTATCGAGAAAGGGTGAGCAATTTAAACAAATGCACTGTAGGGGGATTCTTCGACAGTGACCGTCAAACGGCTGTCTTCTGAGATTCACTTTCGCGCCTTTGATAATGTTTGGTTTTTGCACAAATATGAGTTCAACGTTGGATAGTCGCCGAAGGTGTATTTAACTGCTTATTAAGAATGAAATTTAATTTTGTAATGAAGCAAAACCACTCACAGAAGTTTTTAGATTCATAAAAATATTTGATCAAAAAAACGATTTAGGAGTGAATAATTTCCCAAAAATGCAAACTTTGTAGATAGAATTTTCACACATAGGACTCTTTAACCGTTAAAGGGGCTTCGCAAGTTCTAATTGGTCACAACAAAAACCACTCAAACGCGCTGGTCATTGTCAATCCGAGCCCTGGTATCAATTTTCGTTCACCTTTTGGTCGTTATTGGTTATCAAACAGAATGATTATTTTAGGTCAGTAATCAAAACTTTTACATCAGAAAATTCTTATACCAAAGAAGTATTGCTTAAAAAACTTTTATTCAATGAAGATATGTGATTGTTCTATACTTACTTCCTCTCTCCTGAACCCAAATATTTTGTTATATTGACCAGGGCGACCAGGACTGTAAAAAAAAGTATTTGGGTCATCAAGAATGGGTTAAAATTAATCTCAATGACATTCTTAAAAGGGCATTATAATATAATGCATGGAACGGTCTTAAGTGCTGAATACTTTGAGTCACGACTGAATATATCATTGTACTACAGTATGCTAAGCAACAAGTAGGTATACTGAAAACTTTACTAATACTTTTGAATACTCTGAAAACTACTGAATACCTTCTCATACAATTTGATACCATGAAATATGGTAAGCCAATTGGATATATCAAAATAATACTGCATACTATTAGAAACTACCAAATAGGTTCTCCATCTATAGGACACTGAGAAATACTACCTGGTTCCAAAAGTAAGGATACTACTGGATACTTTCATAAACTACTAAATACTATGATCAACTACCAAAAACATTCTCATACTAGAGGATTCTAGGAAATGATACTTAGTAACCCAAAACAAGAATACTTGCGGATACTTCCAAATACTATTGAAAACTACGAGTAATTACCGAAGATTTTGTCAAACTATAGGATGCTGAGAAATAATACTTAATCACAGTGGTAAATCACAGTGTATATACTACTGAGCACTTTTAAATACTGTTGAATGCTATGAAAAACAACTAAATACTTTTTCATACCATTTTATAATAAGTAATATTGATTAGCAACCAAACTGGATACTTTCAAACAATAATGGTTACTATGAGAACTACCGAATACTGTCTAATACTGCAGAATACCAAGGAATGCTACTCGGGAAACCAAAGTAACCATACTACTGGACACTTCCAAATACTATGGAATACTTTGAGAAACTACGAAATACTTTCTCACACTACAAGATGCTTAAAAACAATACTTTAAAGAAAGAATATAAACTATCAAATACTACTGGATACTTTCCAAAACTGCTTTAATCCAACGAGTACTAGTACGATAAAAGTTCCTGTGAAAGATCTACCAGCCAAAGTAAGAATGTACGCGAACGTAATGAAAATCACTAGATACTGCAATGAAATAATCACTTTGAAATACGTACTCTAGTTTGAAAAATGCAATGTAAAACAGCGAGCCATAAAAATTGACAAACTGGAACAGATACATCTTGAAAGTGTAAGCGTCATCAAAATTGGTCTGGGTCCTTGGCAACTCTGAAACAATCGATTATGTCTCAATGAACAGAGATAGACAGGCCATAGAATCAAGTTTCTCGATGAAATATAAAATAGAAAAATGATGATGTATTCATAGATGAGGTTAATATAAAATATATGTTAAATGTGTGAGGTAAATTACATATTAAGATAAGGTAACCATATATATGATTTAGAAAAGAAAAAACCTTACCCCATTTGGTTAAATAGAATGCAATTCTTTCATATAACTGTATAAATAAAAGAAAAATTTGTTCATGTTTTGAGACAATAGGAAATTATGCATGGAAGCTCTGGAAAAAGCCTTCAAAGGGGGTATCCTTGTAAACCATTAGGAAACGATGTCTCCCTTAAAACATATATCAAATCGTAGATTTACAAAGAAGAAAGATTGAGCAAAAATGCCAAAAATTTGAGCTCAAAACATTTATTACCCAATTTTAATTTTCTCAAAACATATTTATACATATTTATACTCCTAGAAAGCCATACAGGACATTGAGAGACTTAGACAACAAGACATAAAATCAATAAAATATTAAAATTCTTTGCTAGCCTAGCAACTTTTTGGTCTTCATTTCATGAAAATGCATTTCCAATACTCAGCACTGCTGTTATGAACATCAAAAACCACGTTCATTTCAAATCAATTTTTTGGCGGTAAAAAACTTGAAAATGGCTTTGAAAAAAGCAAATATTATATAACATATTGGCTAAAAGCTTTTTCATCTGACACTGCTCAGAGCACAAAACGTCAGAATATTCTTTCGGATCCTTATTCTGACGCCAATATGATATAAAATGTTGGTTTTTTCAAAGCCATTTTCAATCAATTCAGTTTATTTGAATACTACAAAAGAAGGTTCAACATACCTTGTTAAGAATCATAATGCAAATCAAGTTGACTGTGGCAGCGGTGAACGATGCAAACAAACTAATCCAACTGATGTCAAAATCTTGAGACTTTGCAAGGGTGATGGTTACAGCGACACGGTACATAATAACACCAAGCATAGCTGCTACAACCAGGGAAACCTGGAAACATAACAAACGCATTCGATGATACAATGTGAGTAAAGCATTAGAGAAATGATATCATTGAGGCAATAGATGAAGTGTGATCTTTTATCATGGCCAGTCTGTTCTGGACAGTTTTTTGGCGGTACAAAACTTGAAAATGGCTTTGAAAAAGCAAACATTTTATAACATATTTTTATAACAGCTTTTTTGTCAGACACTCCTCATGGCATAAAACGTCAGAATAAGGGTCCGAAAGAACACGATGGAAAACACGTTGGAAAATTCATGTTCTCCTCTCTGATATGCAGTGAAACTTAACTATAGGCCCTTAAAAGGAAATGTGAAACATTGATGTACATAGACTGAAGCTTAAGGATGACTCTATATTGAATCAAACAAATGACAACATACGCCCAAGCTGTCACTGATATTAAAATTGAATTTGCCAAGAACCAAAGAATCTAGGAGCACACAAGCTGTCTTTCTTAGGTTTGCTGCCCTCTTTTCCTGGGTTTGCGAACAATTGCAAGGCACTGACTCCTAAGCAATTTTTTTAAACAAGGCTCCACTAAATAAAATTGATCACACCCAATTGTACAAAACTTACTTTAAGAACCAAAAAGGCCTGCTACTGGAAAAAGGAGGTTTCTTTTTGAGGGGGCTTACTGAAAAATTTCTTCTGCAAAGCAACTGACGAATAACTCAATACCATCGATATTGTCCAAAGGAATTCTGATCAGACCACTAACTGAGACTTTATCATGGTTATTTGACTACCAACCCCTTCTTCGGATCCTTTCTCTCTCAGCTCCCCCCCCCCTTTCCTCTATTTTCTTCCTTCTATGATGCGCAGATCCCCGTAGAAGTTCTACGTAGCTTCTCTTATTTACTAGCAATTAATGCAGCGTCCCTGCAATCCTAATCAACAGAAACGAGTTCTTGAAAGAAAATAGCACCTACCATAAAAATGACAGTGAAGAAAGAACAAACAAATTTCGGTGTTTTTTCTCTTCCCCTTATAAAGGGCTCTTCGGTCTAAAAGGAAAAAAGTTTCAAATCAAGTAAGAAAGATGTGAGAGGTTAAGACAAAGGAATAATATCTTACCTTCTCATTTAAATGTTAAAATGCATCAAACGCTCGAGTAGTGATTTTAATCAGGATCTCTACAACGTTTGAATCATCTTTTAACGATATCAGCCGCGTTCAGTTGGCCAATTTGACAGAGCTATTTGAATTTGAGGCTACTGAAGGTAATGTTAGCAATGAAAACGATACTCACATCTGTGATTGGGTTGGTTCTTCTATACCGCTCACCTTTGGCTAGCAATTTGTTCTCGTATTCGGCACGAGGCTGCTCCTGAAATAAAAACAGCAAATGGCTTCTAAGAAATCCTTGACCCTCGTTGGCAAAAAGCTCTCGCTTTTGAACCATATCCATGCACCAATCACCGCACATACACGATGGGGGGCTCTCACTAGACTAGTAAGCATTTACAACGGTTACCTAACGGTGAGTCAAAAACTAAAGGCAAATAACAAAATAATCTTCGAAAGAAGCGAATTTTTGCCGTCTTCTATTATTGTCATCCCTATGTTTATAATATATCGTGAATGGATGCAGTTTGCTCTTTTTTAACATATGCTATTAAGGATAATGTAGAAACAAACTGCCAGGATGCACTTTATCCTGCAATTTTGAATTTATTCTGCAATGCCAGTAGTCGCTCTTGTTAAATGAAAAAGACTCTGGGCTAAGACTATCAAGCACAACTACTTCGTAGCTAATATATTTAATAGTGTAGTTGAATGTCATTCCATAGTACTTATGTTACCTCTTCATCCTCAAACCCAATGAGATCCCAGTCATATGATATCTCAGCTTGCTTCCGCTTCCAAAATTCTAGGAAGCATGTTGCTAAAACAAAAAAAACCTTTTTACTATTCTGCTCTTAATATAAAAAACCTACTTAATCAGTAGCCAGAAAGGTCTTTCTATGTCGATTTCCAAATTTTCAGATTTTTTCACAAAAACAGCGTATCTCTGATCTAGCGTCATTTCTCGTAGTTTCTTTGAATTCAATAATAAAGTTACCAGAACTGTGCTCTAAGGGGTGATCACTGAAAAATATCCCCAAGAAAATTATTGTATTTCATTTTCTTAGCCAGGGGCTTAATCCACTACCAGCTTTTGATATGCGTCTCTCCCTTTAACAAGCACGGTGCCCTAGAGTGTTGAATTTCATAAGTTCCGTTGGCGCTAACAAGGGGAATGTAGCTCTTGAAAGAATTCCAAAGGAATGACGGATTTTACTTCTCATTTTTCAATATCAGTGCCATCCTACTATTAACACCTCTCTTTGATAAGGACCACAAATAATAGTTGAAAACAGAATCATCATATAAGCAACAAATCATTCATCAAGGCAAAGAAGCGTTTTGATTGGATGCTTAGAAAGTAAACAGCAGTGACCCCTCCCTTTAGCTTTGTTAGTTTTATCAGGGTAGCTTGGGACCAAATATTCAATCAAACCTTGAAATTACATACCAAATTGGATTCCACATTTAAAATTTAGGGTTTTGCATTATTTGGTATAAAGCTACTTTAAATTCTATTATTTTGCTAAAGTATGAAAATTGCAAGTGTCATCCAAAGTAGGGATCAGATGACTTTGTGCCCTTCCTGCTTTGGGTGGCACAGTAGAATGTATCAAACTTTTGAGTTTTAACTTTTTGAAATTGAAAGAAAAAAGAAATTATAGAGAGTGAACTTAAAAAGCGCTTTTTAGAGCGAATACGTTGATGTCGTTTGTTAAGAGTTCATTAGGTTGACAATCCCCTTTCGACATACCGTAAATTTACTATCGACAATAACAAGGATTTCATAAAATAATACCAAATAAAAACGAATTAGAAACAGAATTACCCCAAAATGACATGAAGATTGCAAACACCACAGTGAAAGGATTATCAAGCACGTAGGCAACCTAAAACGAGAAAAAATCAACAGAAAGTGAGAAGGAAATGAGGATTAACTCGCATGAGAGGGACCAGATGATTATGTAAAGTCAAAATAATTAATCAAGTAAGATATAGTAATTACTTGCTTTAAAACGTGAAATTTTTAGTATATACTATAATAGCCAGTCAATCATTTCATTGGTCATTGATTGATTGCTTCAATCTTTGGCAGTCTCTATCAGAAGGGTAAAACAAAATATTTTAACATAAATCTTGAGTAGTAGTATATATTACCCCAGGGAGCATAAAAATACGTTACAGCCATGTTGCCTTAACATTATAAATTAACATATTTAAGCATAATCTACAGATACCAAAAAACAAGAAGAGAGGAGAGGAAATTTCACAGAATTTATTAAAATAATATATTTCATGGTTCGATAAACTCTAGTATTGTTTAGATGATTGCTTTATTTAATTGCTAAGTTTATCGCTAAAGAAGCTTATTGAAACAAATCCTTCATTGGAGAGGTTTGACCGATCGTAGAAAATACTTGTTGCCTGTACGCGATTGAGAAGACTACTTCACAGGTTTTGGAGTAACCAGGCATCAAAACCAAATAACAAAGTTGAAATAAGGCTATCTTGGGATTTCAATTCCAAATTTCCTGCCAACTTCAACTTCACGATAGCTGCCTGAAAGTCATGTTACTCGTTAAGTCGTGTTACTCATAGTTACTCATGAGTCTAACTTGTGAACCTTGGTTTAAATCGGTTATCCGCAGTCTAACTCATTCAGCCATAGTATAACCTATCAAACCATGGTACAACCCATTCGATCTAGTATGACTCACAAACCCGTAGTTAACACGTTAACTCACCATCGAGTATTTACAGCTATCACTGAGATTCCACACGGGACATTTGCTTACGTCACATCTGGGACACATCAAGAACACTGTATTGTTCGCTCCACAGATATCCTTCCTACGTTATCGAGAAAAAGGTCTTAAATGATAAAAGCCGAATCTAACATTCGAAATATCAAGAGAAAGTATTACATTTCAAAAGCACGTTGAAACGGTGTTTTCGTCAGGTTCAAATTTTTTCAGACTGTTACAAACTTTATATTTACATTACTGGAAAAAGCTATTGGGATAACGGCCTAAACTCCAATAAACGTTCATGTAACACGTTCTAGTTCAAATTTCAACTCTAATTCAATCTATTCTATATACCATCCTTGAACAATAGCCATAAGGTCTGTATAATCCATGCTTAAGTTAATTGAAAAATTACTAAGGAGGATAAAAGGATTCTAATTTGATTAAGGGGCAGCTCTCTGAATAGGTTAACTAATAGAGAGACAGCCCCTCCCCCACCCCCGTCAAAGCGAAGAAAAGGAAAGAATTTTAAACGTTTCAAAACAAAACACAAAATGATACAAAACATAGCAAATATAAAGTTATGTTGGTTGGGACTGGAGGGAGTATTGAGAATAAAAAGGACGCTCACTGAATGCACCATCTTTCTTTTTAGCTAGTTTGATCAGAAGTTCAGAATTTGAACTCTAGCCTCTAATCTTAAAGGATTATTCACACTTTGGAGCATACACCTGAGCACAGAGAGCGGCTGTTTTGGATCTGGTTACGTTGTTTTGTTATGTATTTACCCAGGCAGGTGATCTTTCATTCAATAGAAGCCCCTTTTGTTGGTTAGAGGTTGACTTCATGGTTACATTCAAATGGTTGTCGCTTTAAAGTGCTGTAAAATCTTATAGGTTCCACTTACACAGTGGCAAAATCATTCATAGTAGCCATCCCGTAGATAATTGAAATCACTCCGAGAATTGCAGCAGGGATCAGCATGAGCGTGTAAAACCCTGCAACACAACATTAATGAAAGCTAGTATCCAATGAATAAAAATCTCTATGGCAAGTTGTGAAGTCAATATATTCGAAAATGGCTTTGAAAAAAGCAAATGTTTTGAAATATGTTACGAATGCTTTTCGTCTTACACTCTTTATAGTACAAAACGTCACAAAACAGATCGTCAAAATTATACGCTTGGAATATATGCACTCATTTTTGAATCGAAAAAGCCAATCAGAAACGCGAGCACATGACTGCTGAGGTTACCCAATCAGTGCCGCTTGTCTATCCAAAATAAAATAGCATAAAAAATCGAGAAACAGCAAGAGACCCTTTTTTATCAGAATGCTATAAATTTTGTCCAGGCTCGACATTCTTAAAAAAATTTCGTTTTGAATCTAGATATATTCGTATAGTATTTTTAATTTATTTTAAATCTGACATGACTTCAGGGGAATCCTGTTCACTCTCGAAAAGAAATCACGCTTTTTGAAAAAAACGAGATATGTTTTTCTTAAATTCTCTGTTATGAACATCGCAAAACAGGCAACTTCTGGAAAATGAGACAGAAATATGCAAGTTGGGGCTGAGCAATATTCTTAAAAATTGGATGATCCTGAAGCCGAATATTCTTATATTCAGTATTTGTAAAAATTCTTATATAAATAACAGAGAATTTATGTTGCAAAGAATGTAGTTTCTCCCTAGTTATGAAAAACTGTCCAAAGGTATACGACTTCAGCTCTAAAAATACTGCTTGAAGGGAAATACTTATCTTTGAACTTCAGTTTCATCGCGTTTAAAAATTATATGATTCGACAGAATTTGACTACAATGAAAAGACGACTATTGATAAAAATGAACTATACATTACCTAGCCAGGAAAAGTACAGACCAATTTTCTCTCCAAAGTATTTCCTGACAAAGGATTGAGATGGGGTTGTCTTAATGGGTTGCTTGACTGGGCCATACAAGTTACCGAACAAGAATAATAAGTACTAGAGGAGCTAGAAAACAGACTTGTAGCACAGCTCAAAATAACTAGATTTCTTTCAATATCATGGCTAATCTGAATGGCTAAAGCCATTTCCAAATTTCAATAACAATGAACAATGCTGTAACGTACACACATAAATGAAAATGAAAAACATTCATATGTAGAGTTAGCAATAGGCTTTTCAACGCGCTTATGATCGAGAGAACATTGCGAAATAGCCGATTGGATACAATAGGTCAATTGTGTAGTCCAACCAATGGAAATTTAAATGGCCAGCGAAATGCAACGGGACATACTGCCTTAAACGGCCACATCATGAAGATCATAGGGATACAAGGAAGGCTCAATGGCAATACATCAGTGATAACCTTGCTTTGATAGTACCTGATAAGATCCAGAGGTTGCTCTTTACAGATGCTGGTGAATCTAGCCCAGTGATAATACAGTAGCTGAAGATAGAATGAGAAGCTTAATAAAACAACAAGATCAACAGCAAAAACCTTGCAATGGTGAATTGATCATGAACATCCCATAAAAAGGGGAGAGAACTTGAGTAGTCAAAAGAAAGAATTGATACTCCACAGGCAGTGAATAAGGCTGTTGTCCTGCTTAAAGCGTTATTTCATTAAGGAACTTCATTACACTTTTCGTTAATGACGTTGTGTCTTGATTCCAACAATACAGTGCAGTCAACCCAAATATAAGCAAATAGGAACTTCGTTACAATGATAAATTGTTTCGCACCATTCTTATGTCAGGTTAAAGATGGCATTAGGCTGCATCGTTGGTTGGTCCAGCATACGAATCCAACGCTAAAGAACGATCCAGATCCGGAAATGACAAAACCTGGCCTTAACTGATAGAAGTACTTGATATGGACAAATCTAACGGTGCTTGGCCTGTAATTGGTAGCGATTCGGATACGAAACTAAACAAACATTGCATAACTAAATGAAGTAATATTAATATAAATGAAGTAATATTCAAAAACATCTTTATTATTCTTGGTCGGATGCATTTTAATCGGTTCTGATCCGAAACTGAAGAAACCTGGGCCTAACTGAAATAGTAACTTGATAATGGACACATCTGACTGTCTGTTCCGCGGCATTATAATCAGTAACATTCTGCTCCGACAAGGAAGAAACCAGGTCATAACTAAAGGAACAGCCTGTTAATGAACAAACCTGACGGTCGTTAGTTGGTTTGTGTGTCAGCAATGAATGCTCAAACTTGTGGTTTCCCTGTGATAATAAACAACATATTGGCATTTTTATTAAAAATATTACAATAAACACATGTAAATCCTTGCCGCCTAATTCACAGTAAAGGTTTAAATCCTTGACGAAATAGATCACATCCATCTCTAATTCACATCAACTGATACTCAATTTCTAGAGTCAAATACAATTCTGTTAGCCTAAGAGATAAAATTCTGTTGGCCTAGAAGATAGAAGGCTAATTCAATAACGTTATTTAAACCGTTCAAGACATTTTATACAAGTATTTGTACAAGGTTGATGGCCGATTCAAATGCATGGCAACTAGAAAGTATCAAATTTTACACAAAACCAACAAGTTTTCAATATTTCTTCATTTAAAGAGCTATTGAATCAGTGATGAACTGTACACTAAAGAAGTTATAAGTAGGAGAATTAAATCCTTGAAAATTATTCCTTGTGTAGTGCATTTTTCCTTATATTCCTTATATTCCTTGCATTTGAGTATCAAGTTGATGACCTTACCTCGTGAAGGGGATAGGCTGCCGTGTAGTGACCTTTTGATACCATACGATTAACACCTAAAAAAATTGATAGAATAATGAGCCCATTTTTGGTTCTTCGTATATGATATAATCCGATATGACATGATATAATATAATATATGACATAATATCATATAATATCATATAATATCATATAATATCATATATGATACATGACCAATGATATATGTTATGATAAGACACAACATGATATAAATGAAATGATCTTTCTATGATTATTGTATCACTCAATAATCATGGAATATATATAAACCAACCCAATATCGAACCATTGCATATGGGATATGCCTGCTGGAAAGAATGCGTGGGATACCTGCTAAATAGAACAGCTGTCTTGAACCACTTTAAGTCACTCAAATGTTGCTGTCAGACTCTTATCAATTTAAAGGTGGATATGATACCTAAATCAATGTTTCGACCTGATTTGAGCCAGCGATCATTATCATAGCAGTCTACCGGTCTACCCCCGTCGTCCTTGTGGAACTTCGAGTTTTTTCAAGAGGTTTGATACAATTATACTTAGAAGTTTTTGGATGTGAAAATTCACCTAGATGCAGCTTGTCTATTCCATATTTGCATTTCATCAGATATCTGTGAACCTAAATGAAAAAGACAAACATTGAACTAATAGTTTGGGGTTTTCTTTAAATTACCTTAACGGAGAAAAGACTAAATATGCATGTTAAGACTTTTCTGAGCTCAACAAAGAAAAATAACAAACTAACTAATAATAATATATAGTTAGATGAGTAATAAATGAAAATAAATACGAACAATTTCCTTGGCTGAATGATTTAACAAAAAGTAATCTAGAAGGGTGACAGGTTGAAGGACAAGATACCTGGAAATGGGAAATCGAGGAGGTTTGAGGAATGGACAAAGAACTACTTTATAACTTAGGCCTGTATCTGTTAATAAGCTAGGACCATCATTGAAACAACTATATCAGCATTCATGGCATCATGCTTGCTATAAAACCACTTGTTCTAAATGACAGAGTTAAAAGGCTGAATTACACAAGAACAGAGAAATGCAAGCATCTAATGTGGACCTACAATTATGCTCCTTTGCGCATTGGTGAAGAAGTCAGGGCTGGCGTGGCCATGGAACCTGAAAACAAAAATCAGTCACGCAGACAAATCAGAAAAAAATATACAGACATATAAATTAGACATATATATACATAAGAATAAGATGAATAAAGGGACCCTAATATAGACACAAAATTACTTTAATTAGGGCAGAATATTCAAACTGTAATTATTACACGAGCAAAGCAAACAATTATTAGCTTAAATAAGAGTTAATATTTCTGTCATGAAACATCTTCTTTTTTTAAAAAATCAATTCATGATCTAGCAGGAATCAATTACTGTCATATCAGAAGGAACATAATACAGATACGTGCACATCCCATAGCTTAAAGGATTTAAGAAGGTTGTTGGGTAGACTTGGTTATCCCCTGGTACAGGACGTGCTTTAGATGTATGGAATCACGGCAATACAATACTGCACTCGAGTAATGCCACAGCATTGCAGTATCTCTTCAAAGTAAGACAATTTATTAAGCTTCTGATTATCAGGTTGGCAAAGCCTTAATTCAGATTTTATCAAGCAAATCTTACAGACTTTTGGTAGAAAAAAAGCTAATTGTGATCTGAAATATCGTTTTTCCTTTAAGACCGAGGCAAAATTGCCAACTTACCCAGGGTAATGGGGTACTTATAAGAGAAAGCATTGTTAAGCCTTTGATTAGAAACTAAAACTTACTCTTCCATCTTGCTGCGATGGAAAGGACACGTGAAATAATTCTCTTCCTCCGGAATGTCATCTGAAGCCAAGGCAAACGGATTTTTGCAACAACAGATCTTTTTGTAAACCTCGTCAGCAAATGTTTCAGCAATTAAATCATTTTTCTACAAAAAAGAGAAATTTCATAAAAAGAGGCCTTTGAGAAAGGTCTGTTAACAAGGACGTAAAGTCACAAAAGATAAACAGACTGTGAAGGCTTGATGAAGCGACTGGAATGGTTTGACTGAGAACCTTGCGAGGACTAGATCACTCTAGTATGTCGTTGATACCCTAGCGCTGTGTATTTGTATATGTTACAAACGTCTATACCCTAGGTGCATCACGTTTGCCCTAAATATACTCTAGAGATTATACCCTAGATATAGTGTGACAGGCCTAAGTTTGAACAGTAGATTACACTATCTTTTATTACCAGAACTATTTCATAAGAGCAATTTTATGAGAAGAAGAGCCCCAGAATTGGTCAAAAACTATGAACAAGCTGATACTGAGGTAAATCTAAGAAAGTCAAAATATTTTAAGACCATGCTATTAAGAAATAGTATATCTTTTGCGAATGTTTTTAAAAAACACCTGCATTATACACATTCAATATTTTTCTGCAGTAAAATAATGTCTTGTATTTAAATTTCTTTAATTTATACCAAAACAAATTACGAACAAATTAGCAGCAGCCCATTCTATAAGCTCTAGTATCACCAAGGACAGCCAGACTGACCTCAAGTTACTGGCTGTAATTTTAAAGAATATATGTGGGTACTGATTATGGCCTCAGTTGAATGAAGCGACTGAAAAGACATAAAACAAACTTAAAACATAAACTGATTCATGTAGAATATAGCCCTAATCCTGAATTTTTCCGCCCCTAGATCGCTAAAAACTCATGCTTTAGAGCAACTCCTTAAAATTATTTGGTGTCTTGGAGTTGATTTCTTTCTGTTCTTCATGAATTCTCAATTATCTATAGTATATTTAGTATATATTTATATATAGTATATATTTATATTTAATAAAAATAACCTTGATTGGCATCTTCATGTGCATCAACTCTGCCCCTTTGTATAAAGAAGCCATTGGGGCATGCACTTTGACAAAATACGTCATGCCATCTGAGGAAGCCTGGAAAACAATGGATTTAAACTTCATTAAAAAATTCACAATCGATAAATCATCTTCACCTGACAATTGGCATCGTTGACTTACATAGAAGATGTTTTTTAAACAAGAGGCGTGAGATTTTAATATGTCAATAAGACGTGATGTCATGTTCGTATGACTAAATGCCAACAGATTGAATTGAATCCTCATAAAAAGGGTCGATAACTTTGAGGGAAGAAATGAGAAAATTTTAGGAAAAAGACGTTGGCAGCTGAACTCGTTTCAAAGAAATCAAGAAAAACAAAGCCAATTTTCTTCTTTGTAATTAACATGAGATAAAACTGAGCTAACAAACAAACATAAGGGGACAACCTGCGCTGAAATATTAGCAAACAGGAAGTGAATTCACAAAACACCATACCGTGTTATCCTCATATTCTAACTCAAGTCCAGCTCTCTTGAGATTCTTCTCGAACTCCTTTCTTCTCTCCTCCCCTTTGACTCTGTTTGGGTCTCCCAATGGGAGCTTCTGATAGGCCAAGACGTAATCTATGAAATGAAGTGACTTTCAGAAGATAGGGTATTATCGTAAGAGCATATATCGTCTTGCAAAAATTCAGCATCGGATGCAGGGTAGAGAAGAGTTGGGATTCATGTCTAAAGATGGCCTGCAAGGCTAAAAGTGGCTTGCCGTACCTTTCATTGACTGGGAGAACGAAATTTTCATCCTTATAAGTTGTCCGAAGGAATACCAAGTCAATCACAGGACCTCAAAATTATAGTCCAAGGCAGATAGAAAATTACACCAAGTCATCGATCAACTGTAACAGGTAAAAAGCATTTGTTTTGTACGATTAAAGAATGGGATAGTGAATGCATACTGCTCGTTATGATAATAAAAACTGATACACAGTAATAATCAGAAAGGGCGGTAATCATTAGACGGAAAGCATAATTAGCATACATTAATAAATCATGCAGTTGACAAACGTTGTCCTCCACATCACTAGGGGAGGGTGAAAAGTAGAATCGGTGATATGGATGAAGATAGCATTGCTAAACTCGACCGGACTTTGGAACATTTAAGCGACCAATAAACGGTTTTGCCAACGCACTTTTAGGCGACAGCTAATAAAAATGACTCGAAAGAGTAGACGTAAGAAGCATGTCAAAAGTGGGTTTAAGGGTAAATGTGGGCAATAAAGGGGCACCTCCCTGTGCTGCAAATAGGTTCTTTCCTTTGTTTCTGGTACATGGCCCTCTAGGTTCCTACAGCTATGCTAAAAATTCTAGGTAAACAGCAGTAGTATATGCATGTCGTGAAGATATGATGTTTTTAGCTGGTATCTCGTCAACTGAGCTTACTGCCCTTGCAATTGTAATAATTTCAACTTTCGTAGCACATGTTCGATGTACAGGATAATAGTACAGGATATTCTTTACTTGAATCAAATAAAATGCGAACAGACCACTTCTGAGCACTGCCTAACGGGTTCTAAGGAAGGCCAAAGAATATTCAAACAATATAATGGATTCACTAAAAATTTACCGATTCTCTTGACCCCATCTCTGAAAAACAGTTGGTCAGCTTGAATATCCTGAAATACAAAATTCAGAAGCACAGTTGAGTAATGCAATGAGGCTTCGTATTCAAAACGAGGATTCTGTAGAATGAACACAATGCAATAAATGCGATTTTTTACTGTCGTCAGTCTGATGTGAAAACGGTTTATAAAACTACATGGGTATGTCATTTTTAGATCATCTTATTTTCTTTTCTTCTGTTGGTATAAAAATGTTAGCAATAGCATTTGAAAAGTGTGAATACCTGAGGGCAGATATGCATCAAAGGAAAAATCAAGGAAGTTATCAAAAGAATGCTACTAGAAATACCTTCATAAATAAATCATAGGGCAGACAGATAAACGTTCAGAGGAAATAGAAAAACTCGTATAATCAAAAGGAAAGTCCTCCCTAATATTCAGGTGAATTCGTTGACCAGTACAATTGTAAATTCAATTACGTCAATCTCTTCCCTGTTTATTGTTTATTCCTCCCCTCGGACCCCCAGCCCTGGCTTCTTGTGATGTAATTAAAAGAAACCGCATTGCGATCCAATTTAAGACAACACAACTAGTTTCTTTTGCAGCTTGGCGAAGACAGTTCATACCAGTATCTTTGAATCATATATTGTGTATTTAACATACAGATTACGCAATTTAATCCAGAAACCATAATACATTATTACACTGTATAGCCGGTAAGGCAAGATAAAAAAATGTACACAGACAATCTCATTGAAATGTTGAAAATGCAGTGGCGTCGCGTGACCTTCTAGACACGGGGTGGAGGGCCAACAGTAGAAAAAATTACTGGCGAAGATATAGATGAAAAGAAATACAGGTGCTATTTCACCTACCAAAGGCGATTTTACCGACAAAACAGGGATCAACTAAAGAATTACCGACAAACTCGTGAGGAATTAGGGGATGGCACACCCCCCTACACCCCCACTATGCCCCTGCAGCGATGCTAGCGATGCAAAAACTATGGGCTATGAAGTTATCAGCAGATGTAGCTAAAACTCAAGGAGTCTAAATTGTTTCTAGTCCAAAGCACTCCTGATGCTGTATCTTATCTGCAAAACATAATTATATAACCAACGCCTAGACGCTAAATTGATGCAGTGGAAGGTTTATCAAGGGCAAAGAATGCAAAATGTACAAACTAAAAAATACCCTGCTGGTTGAAAACAAAATGGTTTATAATTCTTTGATTCATGTATCCTTCTCTCATTGAAGCGTGTCAACTAGAAGCAGACATTTTGTCTAAGTGAAAGGCTATAAATTCCTTGCAAAGGAAACATTCTACTAGCCTTGACTTTTTTAAAGAACAATTTCCAAATCTTTCAGCTTTATCTCGTCCGTAAAATTCCATCACATTCACAATACCAATAACAATTGTAACAGCTCACAAATATCCCGTTTACCTTGAAATTTCCCATCTCGATATTTTCTCGCGATATTTGCAATTGCAAGGCTTTGTCTGGATCTTCTTCCACCGTGACATCATGAAAACCAGTAATTTCCAATGCCTTAGAAACACTGAAAAGATTCCCCATTGAGAGAATCCGAAAGTGTAAATGCTCAAAAGGTAATACTATTGCACTGAGCCATTTTTGAAATCCGAATCCATATACAAGAGGTAAGCCGTTCCAGTAAGATTATGATCTCTTGTGTCAAAATGCAGTCGTTGTTAAAAATGACTAACTGGTAGACAACCGTTAAATTGCTACAATGTATAGGCCATTGTCTGAAATACGACTTCAAACTACCTGCTCTGTTTCAATCTTTTCATAAAAATAACATAGAAGCACCTTTGCAAATTCATTCAATGTCAATTTGATTTGGTTTTGCATATCAAGTGGCCTAGGACCATTGTTATGATGATATCATTGACTTAGACGACAGACAGTCTTCCATGTTGTGCAAATTATCTCTTGTCTTGACCAGAAATTTCTCTCCACATGATAACTTTTTTAATTTCTAAACCAACTTAGTTTTTATGTCAAGAAACAAGGTGATTTCAGCTTGATTAATAAGCTGGTTATAGCACTCGTCCTTCTGCCACAAGCTGCCAGTTTAACAAACTTTGTTCTTCAAAATATACTTTACAAACATTAGCAGCTCTTGAAAGTCGGCACTTCTCCTTTGAGCTGAAATGCAATAACTCTAAGCTTTTCTCTCAATGCTTGAGATATAAATAGCAGGTTGTCGGATTCATACATAAAGTTCTATGCAAAACATCTGAAGAACTATTCGAACATTCCTAATTAATGAAAGAAAATTTGACGGTTCTGAAATTAGACATTATTGCAGGTGATTGTACTATTAAAGGGCATTTTTATCGAAGTAACTGTAGAAACGTAGAAATAAAAGGATAGAAATAAAAGTACGAGAACCTAAGTTATTGCTTTAAATTTTGAATACCACTTAGACCTCAATTACAATTGCCAAACAAGACTTTAGTGTGTATTAGGAATGAAAAAAATATTCATCTGGCCGAATTTGGAAAAAATTCAACAAAAAACTATACAGAGACAAAACTTATAAATAAAAAAATTATAAAAAACTTTAAGTGGCGCTTACATCATTTCTAGAAGCTTTTCCCAACAAAATCTACAGCTTTTGCAACCCCTCCCCCCAATTAGCTGTGGATATCTCTGCAATAAAAGTGCACAGGTAGGGTTACATATTGGATTGCATGTTCTGGCATGTGTTTAATAGGGGTTTGCCTCATCAGCTTTCTCCTAAATTGCAGTCATATAGTTACGGAAATAAACAAAACACTTACATCAACTTCCCTCAAGTCTGGCTTTTCGTCAGAGCTCAACAATCGACTTCCTGCAATCGAAGAAGATCCTTCATCACGTTGCCTTGATTGTCTAGTACTGGCTCTATCGGGAGTTGGAGTGCGATCAGTTGGACGAACCTGGGAGGAGGACACCCTGTCTACTCCACTTGCTGGTCTAGACCCAGGCCTTGGGGCCTGTCTTTGAGTTGGCGGCTGATCATGCCCAGAGTACCTTAATGAGAAAAAGAATTGCTAACTTTCGAGATGACCATCCCAGAGATAGAAGAGCAGCAGAAGCATTCATAGTAATAAAGTCAAAGCTACACAAACTTTATATTATTTGAAGTATGCTTATAAGCACAGATTTCCTGAAAAAGGGACACAGTTTTCCTGAAAAATTAATATAATTATAATTATAATGACATTGGTAAGCTGAGCTAGAACATCTAATATAGAAAATAAAAGTTAAAGAGTCACAAAAATAACCCAACCATGAAAGTTTACATACAATGCACAAGACATTTTACTTTTTACATTTTACGTTTTACAAAGAATTTTTTTGAAAGACCAGACAACTTTTGATGGTCTAATTAATGTACAAAATTATAAGCACTAGGATTTAATTAACTTTAATCCTCCGGTCCGGATGACATAGAAAACAAGTTAAATTATTCATGGTTTGGTCTGTAGGCTTTGTAAGAAAAAAGTTTAAAGACAATGGTAAATTACTCTAACTTTATATACTGTTATCAAGTTATGCATTGTCAAGATAACCTTACTCTGGCTAGGAGCACTGAAACTACAGGCACACCTGAGCCTGGGGCTGCAGGACTGTAGCTCTCACCTTTTTGCTGAAGTATTACATCAAAGTTGTGGTACCAAAGATAATGTTGGAATGGCAAGCTATTATACTCTATATATGAACTCTTGTCAAGTTATGCATTGGCCATCTTCAGAACTAGGGCACCCTTGCATAACCTTCCTTCAGCTCACAGCAGTGGAACGTAATTAAAATCCAACAAGGTAATTGCTGGATAGAAACAGGAGGACACCATAGAAACCAACCACAAGCTCAGATGCAAAGAGAAGTAATTATGAAAATAAGAACCAGGCACACCAGCACACAAAAAATGACTAAATTGTGACAAACATGTGGCAAGGAGAAAGAGGTATGGTTCGAAAGATGTGTTAAACTGGCTGATAGAATAAACACAACAGAGTTGATGGAAAGATTAAGATTGAAGGATAACATTGTAGAAACTGTTAGACAAGAAAGTTTGAGATGGTTAGGCCATGTTTTGAGAAAGAGTGATGGTGAATGTGTGAAACAGGCATGAAATTTTGAGATTGAGGGTGGTAGAGGAAGAGGATGACTGAAGATAAGTTGGAAAGGAATGATGGAAAAGCAGTGCCATAAAGTTTATGTGAACTTTGAGGATGCGAATGACCGAGTGAAGTGGAGAAGTTGTTGTTGTTGTTGTAAATTTATTTTCATTTGATATAAGAAACAATAGCTAACAATATATACATAAATATACAATGTTAACTTATCAAAATCGAATATAGCTACCAGATAGTACATAAAAAGGAATTATGGATACATTTGCATTGCATTTTCTGGCAGAAACTGACAGGCACTGCATTTGCAATTCGGTCCGTCCCATTGTTTTATTAGATTCTTAAAACTCTTCAAATTTTCTGCGGATTTCAACTCGTTGGGTAGGCCATTCCAAATCTGTGGCCCAATTGACATAATACTTTTGGATCCTAAAGTTGTTTGATTAGGTCTAACATGGGCTAAGTTATTCAGATTTCTTATTGAATAATTTGACGAACGTAATTTAAAAATTCTCTGCATGAAAGGTGGGTTTAACTGTTTTACTGTTTTGAATACTTCAATACACAGAATTCTTTAACGAGCGACGAGCATCATGCATTTGACTGCCTTCACAAGCAGAGTCCTGCACTACACAAGTTGGACCAAGTCATGGAAGGAAAGTCAGTAACCCCTTGAAAAAGGGAAAAACCCTGACTTAAATAAAACGATGATGATGATGATGAAACATAATCTCTATTTCTTTATAACAATAGGTGTTTAACTGCTATGTAAGCTTTCTAGTGTGCAAAGCTAAAATAGTCGGATTGATTGCCTTGAAGCAGGGTGAACTCTTTACAACAGAAATACCCCTGCTGTTTGTATAAGTGGATGAAGCTTTTGCTGATTTTCAGGTTTGACAAACATAATCCATTCAACTTCAATACAAGAGTGCCCAAGCACTAAATCAACTCCATATTCAAATTGCTAAAGACAAATGAGTATGATTTGCAAAGAATAATGCATCTATATCACAAAAGGCAATAAAGCGGATTGAAAATGAAAACAGAGATATGAAAACATTTTTGTACTATAGGTGCATACAAGGAAAAAAAGGAAAATAACATGAAATATCAAATTAATCACAGTAAATTGGGCTTAATTTTAACTTTTTCTAAGTGTAGCAGCTCTTGCTTTCAAGGTCTCTTTACAGGCTATATTTTACCAGAAGTGAGTACAACTGTGCCAAATATCTTGGAACACTAACCCAAATTTTCAAGATCAATTTCAGCTATCCTTCTTCCCTCCCAAAACAATGTTGGCTTACTATAAATGATGTATGATACCAGGAAATATGCCTTTTGTGTGCCTTATTTATGATATTTGCCAAACTATCAAAACATTTTACTTGGGGAGGGGAAGTCAAGGTAGTGCTGTTTGGGTGTTGAAAATACTGGTACACAAGCTTATGGCTGCTCCAAGTTATTTTGGCCCTCAGTGTGGCTTCTTACCAAAGAAAAACTACCAACAGTATTAATTAAAAACAAATTAGGTCCAAGTGAACACTGATGATTTACATTGACCAAATTAGGGCCAGATAAAGGACATTCAAGAAATGACTGAAGACATTTTCATACCATTTTATTTAGCTAATGTTGTGTGAGATTTGCTAATTCAAATAAAACCAACCACAAAATGTGATTGATAGAGTAATTGAAATTTTGTCAAGTAGGGCATTGAATAGAATTTGTCTTTTATTATACACTTCCACTAATAGCAGGAAATACTATATTGGCATCATTTGTTGGAATTGCCCTTCTCAGGTTTGGTGGGAAATTTCTCAACATAAGGTATCAATAGGTCTTTTTTTAATGCTTGTGGTCTGTTGTAAGTATAGATGTAGGGACCAGGGGTACAGGTGGGGGCATGTGGCAAAGCGATAAATGATAATAAGTGATAAGACCTCATCTATTTTTTATTTCAGATCTAATGTTGTTATGTTCAAATATAGCAAAAAATGAAAATGCTTATACATTTGTGTTGGAAAATCCAAATTTCTCACCCCTTGTACTAATTTCCCTATCTACGCAACTGGTTAAACTTGAAAGCAACAAATAGAAGATGGTCAGTCCCCTGTTGTTAGAAGATTTTGGAAATAAAATTTTTGTTTGTTAGAAAGAGCCCACCAAGGTGTCGTTTTATCAACCTATTAACCAAAAAACATGATATGACATGTTTTCACAGCAAATAAGCATTGGGACTGACTTGCTTTAATAGAACTAAAACTTCATTAGTTTTGGACAAAGATTGATACACAGTTCTGATACTATGCCTTGTCCGTCAAAATTCCAAGTTGAATTATGATGCCACAGGAAAAGGATCCATTTAATTATAATTCTGTCTACAATGTTTAAATAAATATAAATTTTATATGCATCTATATTTATCTATAATCCTTGCCAAAAGTCCTTGGCAATGACACCCTGTGGCAAAATTGCCACACCCTGCAGCAATGACAGATTTTGAAGAAGAAAAAGTTTCCTACCATTAGATACAGAAATATTGCCCCCCCCCCCCCCCCAAAAAAACCCTTAGTGTAGTGTACCAAGGCTTTTGACAAGCATTGTATACACACCTGCAATTTATGCTCATTGCTAGTTTTTATATGGATCTATTTGGACATAAACCATAAAAATTATATTTTCCAGCTTAAGAAATTCCCTGACAAATTTTTGTTTTCTATTGACTGGAGGGCTACTGAAATGTAATGGAAGAGTTGCAGCTTTCCCTCCCACCACTCCCCTCCTCCTCCCACCTCTGAAAATAGTAATGGAGAGTCAGATTTTTCGTGATTCTTAGAAGAAACTAAACATTTACCATGGGTGTAGCTGGAGGGAGCTGATGGTTCCATGGGTTGATCCAAGTTCAAGATTGATTACAGGGATATCACATCTTCTATAGCAGTGCATTTGCAAGGACGCAAAAACTTTTGTGAAAATTCTCATTACATCGTCAATACGAGAACAACACACTTAATTATATTGAAAGATCGTATATTAAAGATATGAATTCGTAGTTATGCATTCATAAGATATCTTGTAACGATGACAACGTTTGAAACGATAGGAGAAGTCATAAAAACATTCTTTGAACTTTCAATTCAAGCAATTTGCAAGGCGAGTCGCTAGATTTACGCGTTTAGTGAATACAGTAAAGGTTTCGACGATGGTTTCGCCCTCCAAAGTGTAAGAAGCTTTGAAATTCCTTTCATTAGTCATTCAATACATCTGGGTGGCATAGAAAACTAATTTTCAATGCCCATCTCACAGGTATATAGGCCAATCCCAAAAAGTCATAAATAGGTATAATTTGCGATGCTTACCTATACTGCTGGTTATTATAACCATCATCAGGCATATATGGTTGAGGGGTGGGTGTTTGCATCGGGTATGCTTCCACCGGTGGATACTGGGGTTGCCCCACAGCGGGTGGATAGGCAGCTCCATAGCCAGTCCCATAGGTTGCAGAGGCATTCATGGGCGGATACCCATAACCAACTTGCTCTGGCTGCGAAAAATCTTGACCTTCAAAACCGATAGGCCTATTAGCCATTTCTTGACGCAAGCTGTTTCTGTTAATCCACAACGGTTAAATTACCATTTCATGCTACAACAAATCACTATATGAGCACTGATTTGTTGAGATTGTCGAGTTTTGTGGCTGTCACAAGTTTGCATTCTGCAAATAACATTGAAATAAGACAGCGGCTTTATTCGAACATCCAATGAAAACTGCTTATCACAGCAACAAAAAGGCTGCAAGGGCGAAGTACTTCATGTTAGCTATCTTAGGAATGAAACCGACATTTCAAAATTCACTCAAATTTTTGATAAAACATTCGTCAGTCTGTGTTATTTCTGTTTACAGACATGCACCAGAGTGGTGGCACCGATGGGGTGTATGGGGAGGGGGGGGGGTAATTACCTCATAAAGTAATGAATTCCAAAGGGCGTGATTGCTCGCTACGATCGAAGGGGGTGGGGGCTCTTCGTCCAGCTTTAACTATTGCCCTCTTTTATGGATGTATTGTAGCCGAAAATCTGGAAAGCTGATTAAAAGCATCCATAAAAAGCACTGAAAGTGGCTTACAATGATTTTGATTTAAGCTTTGAAATATTCTCTCGCAATAAAATGATGTTAGGATACAAAAAGAACCTCCAACCACTAGCAATAGAAATATACAAAACATTAAATAACATAAATCCAGTATTTATGAATTATATATTTCAGTTAAATGAAGTTGCATATAATTTACAAAGTCAATCGTTTATACAAAAAAGCCGAACACTGTTGCTTATGGGCTAGATACATTATCCTATAGATGTAATGAATTGTGGAATTCTATACCATTAGACATTCGGTCGACAGAAAATTGTAATGCATTCAAAACTAAAATTAAACAAGCGCATCTTTCTTGCTCGCGCAGACTATGCTGACCATTTATTTCTAATATTGGATACCTGTAAACATCACGATTTTTCTTAGTTTTATTGTTATTGTTACAAGTTGGTGTTAATTAGATGTTTATTAGCTATTATTGTGTAAACCAACATTAAATAAAGTGAATAAAAAGTCTATTGTATTAGTTTTACCCTGTTTTACAATGACAGCTGAGTTGATACACAAATTTTTATCACATATTTTTTACCCTGTTTTAAATTGAAAGGTGAGTTAATACACAAATTTTTATCACATATTTTTCACATATATCAGTCATTTAATTTTGTTGCTCTAAATCTTGGCTTCAGGGTGCGATGAATTAAATAAATGTAGTCAAAGGGCGTGACGCTGGTGCAGAATGGATGTAACCTCAGCGAATTTTATCTTTTGATTTGGCCTAGGTCAAATCATTTTTACCTGATGATCACATCAAACATGAAACTCGGAATTGCAACTTAGAACCCTCCTGTTCTAAACACAGACGTCATTTTAAGCTATACACATCGGAAATACGAAATGTGCGCTCGAAAGCTTCATCCGAAACCAACAGTAGTTGCTTGAGTTGTTTTCACTATCTACCTTCTGTGTCAGATTTACACCGAGTATCTTACACTTATCCTATGTACCGTAAATCCTCGAATTAGCCCTTGGGAGCTTATTATTTTTTGATATTTTTGGATGAGGGCTTTTTCGAGGGGGGCTTATACGAGGGGGGGCTCATAAAATTATTGTAAACATTAAGAAGACATTATTAAAAGACCTCGTTTATTTTAGTAGAAATTTCTTTATGAGCATTAATTACTACCAAAAGTAGTTAATTATGAATTTTTTGTGGTAATTCAATAAAACGCCATAGGCAACCTCAGATGGCAAAAATCATCAAATAGCAGTAGGGGGCTTATTTGAAGGGGAGGCTTTTTCGAGGGGGGACCAATTCAAGAATTTACGGCATGTCCTGTGCATGGACGTGTTTTTTTGCACCAGTTTCAAATAAAATTTAGATACAGTAGAAGCCCGCATAAAAGAACCTGTTTTTATACGAACTTGAGGTTGATGTCTAATCTTTTAAACCCTATAATTAAGAACCTCCAAGAGGTTGAAATTTGGAAAGGTTCTTATATATAAATAAGAAAAAAGGTTATCAGAATGGTATCTTTACACCCTATTCACACTGGCAAATTAAACCAACTTAGAGTAAATCAGATTATGGCATGTTGCATTGCATTGTGGACAATCTAACAACACAAATTCATTAGATTAGTTGAAAATTAACATAAAAAAGCTGGTTTAAGTGTGTCCATTAGAATTCTTGCTGTGGAAAACATCGTTAATGTATGCAAGGCCTGTACGAATATAAGAGCTTGTTAAGAACCTTTTAGACTGGAATTTAGAATAGCAACCTGTTAATTAAGAACCTACTCAGGCTGCCAGACAAAAACTTAGATTCTTTTATGCGGGCTTCTACCGTATCCCCTAATTACATCAAATAATTATTGTAATTGATGCCAGACTAATTTGCACATTAAATTCGAAGTATGGTGCTCCTGTTTTGAAAATAGCAAAATTTTGTGCAAATTGAGCACTATTGCCATAATAACTGGCTATGTTACCTTCAAATTAGTTGATTTGTAATGACGAGTATCAGGAAAATGAGAAATGTTACCGTATATAACACTATGTCAATTCATTTGAATAGCAAAGTACTATTAGCGGTCATAAATCTAAAAAGAATTAATCAGTCATTAAAATGTTTACTTTAATGACTAATGGTGGGTCTCCTTTTTTCGAGTTCCAGCCTTAAACTCCTGGTGCTGTAAAAATTAACAAAAAATAAATATTCTACACTTTGATGCAACCACGTAGCTGTAGGTGTTGGCTAGGGGTGGGGGCAAACTTGAGCAAGAACCATACCTGAGGGGGGCAGGCTTTAGAACAAGAAAACAGATATATAACAAACAGATTTATTTGGACAAAACCAAGATCATGGAATTATAAATAAGCCAAATTTTCAAAGTATAATTTGGAAAAACTGTAGCCAGAGGAGGCAAGCTGTTGTCAAAATTTTCATTTGGGGGGACAGCCCTCACCCGTGTCCCCTCTCCTGCAGCTACGTGGCTGCTTTGATGGCATTGGTTTAAAAGGGATGTGAATGACCCAGAAAAGAGCTTCAAACGGAAGAAATGAGATAAGTTTAGGGCACACAAAATAGAATACAGAAGTAAAAAAACCAAACAAGTTTTTTAAAATCCTAGATTACCTCTGATTCTTTCAAGAAGGGCTTCTTGGGCTTTTAGAACATAAACATATTGATTCTTAAAAGGGATTTCTTGTAAAACGCTTGCCAATACAATAACAACTTTCTTAAATTAAAAGAAACTCAAGAACCTCAAGATTGATTTTTTGCCAGTTACGCACCTTTTCATGTGCTTCTTATAATATGTGGGTTTTTACGGAATTCAACCTAAAAGCTATTTGTGAATAGGTTCCTAATGTCCTTTACGTTAGAGAGTGGGCAATGGTCTGTGCAATTGAGAGATACTTTGCTCCTAAAGACAATTCTAAAGCTTTGTTTCCAACGATAAGTAATGCTCGGATGTTTGAGTAAGTTGCAAAATTCAAGTACTATATTTCAAAAATGGAAAATTCTACAATGGTGTTGACATGATTTGTTCATGTGTATGTAGAAACAGTGGAAAGTAGATTGCAAAGTCAAGAAAGTCCAAATGTTTTTTCTCGTCTGTGTATGTGCGCACGAGATTTTGTGCCTCAGACTTGACGCCACCAGCCTCGAGTTCGATCAGGAACTGCTCACTACTGATAGTTGTTTCGCCTTTATCGAGCATCTTCTCGAACAAATCTCGCGTTTTATGTGCGTGTAAATACAATGTGGCAAAGTTAGTATCTCTGATCATGCCTCTTGTAAATGCGCTGCAGAAAAAAATACATGTTTTATGTCATATTGGTGTTCGTTTTGGGTGTATAAGTATTGGTTTTGAAAGACCCATCAAAACAATCCAAAGCTCCCTATAAACTAAGCAAGGCCTAAATAAAGGTAATGTTTTTAATACTCTTATGAGCTCCCCCCATCCCCCCCACCCCCCGTGGAAGGCAACTGCGAAAAACTCAGCACAACGAATAGTGTTAAGCAGGATCTAAAAGCGATTGGTTGAAAAACTTCTGTTAATGATCAGCTCTGTTGGTTAAGAATCAGTTCGGTCTATTAGAAGTCAGAACGAAGTAGTCCACAGAATTTTGGTTGGTAATAAGCACAGGAATTGAATGTAACTTCTAGGGAACGCAACATAAGTTTTTACGGTCAGATATATATATGATGCAGAATGTAACGACTCACTCGACACGTTTCAGTCTATCTGCAAAAGCTGCGATGACGTTAAAGGTCTTTTGGTCAATACCCTCTTTAATTGTTTCGTCGAAAACGTCAATTAGCTGTTCATGTAAGCAGAAAAAGGTTTAGTTACAGAGCAAGATAGCATTCCTTGTAAAGAATATTGATATGAATAAACGTAGAAATTATTCAGACAGAAAAGCACCTTCGAAACATGAAATCAATTTGGACACGCCTAAGTATTTTGACTTCATCCATTTTAAAATAAGCATATCAACCACTTTCACTTTATCTTTAAAATAACAATTGATAATTGACCAGATATGCAGATATTATCAATTTTACGGACAACTTATTATCAAATTTATCTTGTTGTGAAAAACGATATTTCTATAGGAAGTCATTTTGAAAGACAAGGGTTGCATTTTCGAATGACTTTTCTGAATTTTGTCAAAAAAGCGAGATGGTATGTCCCCACTGGCAATTTTTTTCTTAAATTCCTGGTAATAAAATCATATTCACAAATTTTAAAGTTATCACCTCGCTCTTGATACCACCCACTCGAAAAAAAGTTTAAGAGAGGGAACAGTCTGGATTCGTGTTCTACTTTGCTGGGAGTCTTTTTGGGCCTATCCACCACAATAAAACATTCAACACGCTTTAAGCTGGAAAATCCAAGCAAATTTTTACAATGAAAATTCCAAACAAATTTTCAATGTTACAATGGAAGTTTTGACGTAATATCTCTCCATACCTCCATGATGTAGTTCATTTCAGCGTCTCTTAGAGAGTTCAAGTTCAAGGCTGCCAAACCACCCATTAGCTGCTCTTTCTCGATCAGTCCATCACAGTCATGATCAAGCTATTAAAAACACAACGATTGTAGCTTTATTTCAAGTCTCAGGGTTAGGGTAAGGGTTAGGGATAGGGTTAGGGTTAGGTTAGGGAGGGGGTTAGGGAGAGGGTCAGGGATAGGGATAGGGTCAGGTTAGGGAGAGGGTTAGGGAGAGGGTTAGGGAGAGGATTAGGGATAGGGATAGGGTTAGGGTTGACTACAGGAAGGGACAACCTTCGAAGGGAGAAGCTCACCCAAATTTTTCTTGACCTCGACCGCAATCAGCTTAGAGCTGGTATAATTTTCTTGATGATCTATTTCTTGATATGATCGCATTTTCCATTTTTATACACAATGGTCGAGGAAGCCCTTGTCAAACCCTGTACGGGACATTCAGTATTAGAACGGTTTTCAATAACCGTAAAAGGATAGCTAAAGGATAGGGTAGGTAGGATTCTTTGCAATCTTGGATGTTCCTTTTGATTCTTTCATATTATTATATAAAACGATAAAGCTTTAAATATGACCAAATATGTACTGCAAAGAACTCAACTATGCGATAGATGAAATCGCGATAATTCATAATTGACAAGGTTGATGAGGTTAGACAAAAAGACAGAAAATTGATTAATCTCTCTAAGGCAAAATCATTTTCAGCAAACATGCAGTTACAATACCAAGTTGGAGAAGAATAGGAAAGGTAATTTCCAAAGCAGCATAAATTCTTTATATGACTTACCTTTTGAAAGACTCTTGAGAACAGAATTTTCTGGCTATCTTTTAATATGCAATACTTTGAAAGAAACTCATCTATAAAAACGAAAACAATTCATTAAAGAAAAAATCAACAAAAATTTTAGACAGTCCCTTTCCTCTTTAGAGCACTTTACGAAGAAACAAGTAACCTAGTATTTTTACCTGGCATATACAAAATATCAACTGTCAAATGTGAAAAACCTGTGCAACACGAATGATTTAATTTAGCTCTTGGTAGCAGAAACCCTTGAACTAATTATAGATTAATGTGGAGGGAAAGCAATATGCAATGTCTCAAAAGCTTAAAGCAAAAATAAATCAGCAAATAGTAAAAAGTGCTTCAAGCAAATTTTGGATGACTAAAGCCATTCTGTTCAAAAGTGTAGCAATTACTAGTTGCAATAATAAAACGAAATGGTTTGCTTTGTCACTCAAAGTATCATATAAAGGCCCATAATCCCTGTCAGAAGTCTTCGTACACTACACTAAAGTTTTGCTATTGTCAATAGCATCCCCCCCTCTTCCATCAAGCAATGTTGTTTTGTGCAAATTTAAAAGGTTTTGTGTGGTCCTATTGATTCCTAGCTATGATATCTAACTATATAAGCAATATTGGTTTGGGGGAGAGGGGTGTGATGTCGGTCTTCTTTACCGGAAAGAGTTAATTTTTTGGGTTTTCCAGAGACTATTCGCAGGGATTGTAGGTTGTTATATGATTCCATTCCAGGGATAAAGTTGTTGATTTTCTGTTTACCATCTTTTGTTTCTTAGATAATTATTTAGTTGCATAAATTATTTTGGGTACATGTGTGTGAAAAAGCGCGTCGTATTAACTTTAAATGTTGTTTGTTTTTTTTGAGTCTTTCAGTTTGGTTGCCTAGTAATTTATATAACCTTTTGCACTTTTGACAATAACAAATAGACAGGGGAAACAACATTTTACGTTAGAAATTAATTAAGCACAATGCACTTGCGCGTATTGATTGTAACGATTATTAACAACTTTTAATTATACTACAGGTTTTGTCGAGTGTTGAGTTAGTTGGATTTGAGTTTTCAGATAAGTTAAGAATTACAAAGATGACCTCTCTAGATTGTTGTGTTTCTGCACAGAAGTAGATTAAAACCAGCGGACGATTTGCGACAACATGCTTTCATGTTATTGCTGTAGTCATTGATTTTGCCTCTCGAGGGATCATCTCTGTAAAATTGCATAGGTGTTCAGTAACTGACGTCACGTAGATTGTATTATGCTGCATAATTCATGCATAGTAGTATGTAGTATGAAAACATAAATTTACTCATGCTAAATATCAAGTACCTTTCTCTTCTTCTGCATCTAGAGTCAGTCCAGTGCTTATATTTGGTATGGACATTAATCTTCCTACAATAGCACGGAATGTCAATCTTCTCCTGTCTCCTGGTCTCTGCTGACTCAAAAACTCCTCGATTCTAATTTTAGACCCAATCGTTGATTTGGTGTGCCTGGGTGATTCTGAAATGCTTTCCTCATTGGATGCGAGCACCTCTAAAAATTAAAATATTATATGATATCACAGAGGTACATGGTGGCAATGATCAGTAAGGATTTACCAAGGGGTGTAGGGGGTGGGACACTCCCACCCCAAATTCTTGTGCTATTCGGTGAAAAGCTATTTTTGGTGGTCAGTAGTAGAAAAATAATGCAGTATAAACTTTATTTATTTTCTTATCTTCTTTACCTTTAATCTAAAAGCTGATTTTTTAGGTGGGCGTTTCCATAACTTTCCAGAAACCTGAATGGTGTGGCACAAAAATTCACTCAATTCCCCCCCCCCCCCCAATCCCTGCCGCTTAAATCCGCGTCTGGTGGCAATAGGTAAGAGCAAAATGCAACGTCGAAAAATAATAGGCCATACAAAAAAACATATGTCATTGGGTCAAGACAGGTGTTCCTTTTAACAGGCACTTTCCACGTGTGTCAGTTCTAAACTGGCAGTTACAAGGCAAGTAGATCAGGGTTTATAAGGTTTACGTCATCTGATGAAATTTTCCCAGAAATGTGAACTGTGTACAGGCGTGGACTCATTGAGAGCAAGATCAAAGCACCTCATAAGCGTAGTGTGTCCCAAAATCTACATTTCGGATGTTTCGTAGGAGCAAGAGGAGAGAATAGATGGAGAGAAGAGGAGAAAATAGATAGTAGAGGGCAGGACTATGATGACTGCTACTGTTGAAAATATTCCGTGATTACCTTTGATGTTATTTGTTTCGAATGAAGCCGATTGAGCTGATTCTCGGAAAGAGCTAAGCCGTGTACGGAACCCGTCACTAGCAACACCCTTGACGTTCGAAGCTTGAGAGAACCTTTCCCCTTCTTCAACGTAGGCAGCGGACTGCAAGAAAGTCGTCGATATATCAAACCGTCAAAATATTACATTTGCAATTTCAAAGTCGGAAATGGAGGCCAAGTATAAAGTGCTATGAAAGGACAAAGAAACAATATCGGTAAACAGTAAAATAACTCTATACATACCAAGTAATGAATATGTAAAAATAAAACAGCCAAAAGATTAAATTCAAAATCTAACGATTCTTCAATGGTGAGCAGGGGTGAAGTGTTCTCTCTAACACATTTCTTAGAGTACTGGCAAGAAGTAGAAGTTGGCCTGTTTCAGTATTAATTAAAAAGGGGGCTGAGCACGGGCCCCTGTAACCCTACGGTGCAAATCCAGCTTAATCTCTCTCTGCATTGAAGGACATTTTCCAGTTATTTCATAGAGAATTGTTAACAAGAAGTATTATTGATGCTTTAATTACATTTAGTGAATTTGATAGGTTCTTGGCTTCATCAGCATTGCAAATGTCGTCTTCCTCATCATCTAAGTGATCTAAATAAAAGAAAAGTCCCTTCTTTATAATAGGACTTTCATATTAAAAACGAGCTGAAATAAAATAGCGTTTTAGAAGCAGAGAGAAGGAGACAAGTCCAAAATACTTAAACCATATACTTTCAGTATAGATCAGTAAAGAAACCAAATTTTCAATGATGTTTCTATACTGATCCCTGATTGTTTAACAAAAATTGTTTTCAATAACTGTTTACAGTAAAAGCAATAACTACCAGATAATTGGATTTTTAAACATTTATAAACATCTGTAGAAAAAGGAATTGTAGTTAGAATTTCAAAAATATATTTTCTTCCTGTGAATTTTTTTCCGTAAAGTTGTCGACTCAATATAGCAGCGTAAAAGAAAAAACACATGGTTCCTACCGTGGAGGATGTACTCAGAGCCTGAATCGCTTTCTTCGCTTGAGTGTTTCTCACTACAGCTTTCTCTATCATCGTCTGAATAGAGACTTTTAGTGACAGCTTCACTCAACGAGACTGAATCCCTCGTCTCAACTTCTTTACCTGAAAGAGGTACACAAGGCAAATGTTTAAGGAGGAATGATACTTTGGACAAAAATGGTGCTATAAAGTGGGACTGAAATAAGGGTGAACATATTTAGTCACACTCATGGAAGTAATTGAAAAGCTTTGTTTAGAATTAAAAATTATAGCTTGTCCGTATGATTTTCAAATAGTAGGCCAGTTCCAAGTTTAAGGTAAAACATTTTCTACACCAATTTAATTAATCTATTAAGATAGATTCAAATAAAGCAGCATTATAGAATCTAGTTCCTGTTAATACTTGTCGAATACCTTACGCTTTAATGGTAGACAGTGAAGCAGCTCTAGATTGGATAACAAAACCATCACAATTTTTCTGAGAGAGCTTTTGCTCTAGCTAAAAATGCTTTCAACGTTTGAGGAAATTGCAAGTAGAAACTCTTGGTGTTCAGGGATCGTTGAAAAATCTTCAAAGAAACCAACGTCTTAAAAGATTTTTACCTTTAGTTTCTTTTTCAACGTAAATCTCAACACGAAGAGCTATGCCAGTGCTCCAAGATGTTGGATGAATTCGCAAATATCGAGTCTTCAATCCACTGACAAACGAGTTCTTCGCAGTATTTTCTAAGTCGACATTTGCAATGAAAATCTGCAACAAGAATATAAGATAAAACAATGCTGAAGATTACCGTAAACCGGCCTGTTTCAGAGAGCGCGAAGACGTGTAAACCGAGCGTTACAGTATGGAGTGCCAAAACCGATAACAATATTTTCTATGAATTTGAGGCATGAAAAAAGCATGAAATATTTTTTCCTATCCTAGACAAAGAGCAGTACGGCTTTATGAAAGTATGAAAAGACTTTATCAAATATGGACATTTTGAACAAGTATACATCTTAACAAGTTTAAGAATTTTTGATAAGCACGATGTTATTTTGAGATGTACACATATATCTAAATAGGTACTTTATTTTACTGCAAAGTGATTCAAATTCAAGCAAATTTTTGTCAGTTCTGAACAACATAAAGCAAGCAGGTTTTCGTATAAAACATGGAAAGTCAGAGTGGAAACTTAAAAGGTTTTACGATTTAAGGCATAAAACTGATTAAATATTAAAGTGCTTTAAAAAAAGGGAAAATTCTCATAACAACTATACTAGTGAAATCAAAGCTGAAAGTCTTACGAAAGCCGTACTGTTCTTTGTCCAGGTGTGTCCGTTTCCTTCAGTTCCATTTACAAAGGTAAGACCACAGGGAAAAGGGGGACAAAGATATTTTTTTCTTGTTTGAAGTTGGAATTATTGGGAAGTTTGATGTTAATTGTGTTTTCACGATGAATTTGAAAGTTTGAATGGTTTGGGCATTGTTCAAGTGATCAAACAGTTAATATTACAAGCTGAATATTACATTGAATGATAAATAAAAATCAAACACGGTTTGTCACAAAATTAACCAAATCTGAGGTTGGTAAAGCTGTTTACTTTTTCGTCTCCTTTGCAAAAGGTAGCGAATATGACCATAGAAGTCTTTCTCTAAAGAGGTCCGCGAGTTTTGCCTTTTCAGCAGTTCCTGTGAGAATTTATAGTTGATTGGGCGATGCCCCCTCTACCCCAAGTGGAAAATTAGACAATTTTGACAATTCAAGATAGACTGAGTTTCATAAAATCACTTATTAATTAAATGAATACCTTCGGGTTGTTATTTTCATCCTCGTAATACTTCCACTTCAAACCATCGCTGCTATACGAGAAAACATATGACTCAACCCATCTTCTGTCTTTTGGTCTTCTTACAGATAGTAGTGGCATTCCCTAGATGAAACACTTTCTTTAAATGCAAAAGAATTCACAAGGTGTTTCTATTTTTATGAGCTAGTCTAGTCTAGTAATCTAAATACTAAGGTATTCAGATAAGAAAGCTTTATGACAAAGGTATATTCTCAAGCACTGACTAGACTGGAGTTAGGAACAAGAAGAGGCTGAAATGTCGTGATAAATAGAGAGTTTTAGCAAACTTGAAAAACCCGTAAAACCAAACAAATAACTGAGTTGATTATAGGATGACCAGGGACCGTGGGGGTAAAAGAGGGGTCGAGCAAAGGTGGCCCGAATAAATACGCCTTTAGAAAGGCAACATATTCAGGACATAAATTTAATACAATCGGTACGTGGTCAGTGTGTTAGGGAAATAGAATAAAGCTTCCAGATGAAGCAGACTGGAAGAAGGACAAGCAGGATAACCCACCTGTGTCCCTATCTGTTGCACATTCCTTTCTTTCCCCATATCTATTTGTAACCACTGGCAATCATCATGATTCTTCGGGCACCATGCTCCGATAATCTTTCCTTTAGGCTTATTATTCAGTCGTGCTTCGTGAGCTTTGTAATATGGGCCTTGCTCAGATGATGCTGTTATCTGGGCGTTAGGAAACTCTCTGCTCTCCATTCCAATTGGACGTGGTGCTTGCTTTTCCATTAACGATGCTGTTGGTGACCAAAAATTTCCATTATATAACACTGTCACAGTTAACATACTAGTAAAACAAAGGATCACTTTTGCTTTATTCATAGCCTTGTATTGCAGATCGGGAGAATTTTGGAGAGATCTGTCCGGTAACGCATGTCTTCTGGATGGACACCATTCCGGGGTGCTCCGAGTATAACTAGTCTATCAAACATGAATTGCTTATCAGGGTATATGGCTAATGACATACGCATTTTTACAGAAACATTCACTCAGAAGTTTTTACAAGTGCTTGTCGAATCTGCGTTTGTTAGCAATAGATATAATTTAAAAATATCTTTGCATGAGACAATACTCAACATTTCTAAATAATCCCACTTTCAAAATAATCCAGATCTCCAAAGGACAAAGGCAACTGGAAAACGCCCATGGCATTTTCTCAAAGGTTTGTAGGTAACACTTTTCGAAAATCTTGGCTTCTGTTCGCTTCTTTTAATTAATAAAGAAAAAATAAAGCAAACATGTTCTATTTTTGTATGAGCAATATGCTTCTAGTCTCTCTAGCGCCTTTCTGGGGTTTCTCTAAAGAGGATTTGCAAATAACGCTGGATGCACACCTGTATTATCTAAACACCTAGCCGCTCCATGCGGAGGCAGGCTGATCTCTGCAGCAGTCACAGTGACGTTACCATCATCGTCTACGCATTCAACCCACACTGGTATTGGCATATCTTCTTGTGGCATTTGTCTTGCTGCTTCTAAATCCAGCTGGGCTTTGCGCTTTTTGTCAATGAAATCTTGTACCCAGTCAGGTAACTGAACTGGTTTTAGTTCCTCAGAGTTATCTTCAGCACTTACGCTGTCACCCCTTTCGATGTTCTAGAAAACAAACGAATCGCTGCGGAAATGCGGCAAATTGCATTGGAATGCATTGGAATCAAATGGAAGATCCTTGCTAGAAAATTTTGTTTCCTCTGGCGACTGAACAAAAACAGTTGTAAGCATGGGGGTAGTTGACATTTTGACATGGGGGGGGGGCAATATCTTTTTAAAAGCATATAGAAATGACTATATCAGAAATAACGTAGAGATGTAATTCATAAACATGTACAAACGGACATAGTCATCAGAGCGAGGATTATGAGGCAACATGTGGGCATATTCGAACTCGGTATGCTCTGCAAACGTTTGTTTTGAAGACCCTTTAGAGACTATTGGGGGCTCTACCCCTTGGTTGTAAGTAGAACCCAAAAATACGACCGTGGAGAATACTATTAAAACATAAAAACCCCAGTTACCACACTCAACTACACCCTGTTTAGATTCTTTTCTTGTGGGACTGAGAGACTCGGACGCTTTTCTGGCTCTTTGGCTTGAGAAAGGGTAAACACTTTTCTGGACTTTCCAAAGTGCTAGCAAACTCACACGAGTTACCCTCTTGTCAACAGCTCTAGACCAGACCCCAGTCGTCAGGGATTTACAATAGTGTAATAAATATCAATTGGAAAAAGCGTCAGCTCTTACCTCTAATAAAGAGAGATCCTCGTTGATTCTACTCTCATCAAAACGAAAGTAGCCATTCGAAGACTGCACATCTTGAGCACTACCGAGTGAAAAATAGTCGTCCACTGAACTTGCTGTGCTTCCCGCAAACGACGATCTAGAAAATGGCGACTCTTCTTGTTCAGTTAAAATTTTAGGGATATTTGCTTGCCTTTTGCGAGTAACATTCTTGTGTTTATGTGTACTGTCTTGGTGATATGCTCGAGTCTTTTGACTTGTGTCGCAATGTTCCAACTGGCCTATGCAAAGGCATTGATACAAATCATTATTATTATGATTACACTACGATTTACCTGCTCTAGAGATCTAGGTTGGGGATCCGAGCACGGCAGGACGACTTATAGAGTCGCTGGGCCCGGGTTCAAGTTTTGCCCTGGTCGTGTAACTCGTTCTCATTAGCTCTCAGCATATTTTCCCTAATCCTGCTCTTCTATCAAATAAACTTCACCCTGGAAGTAAGCTGGCGTTTTTCAAAGCCTTTTTTCATGATTATGCTGTCTACCTGGAAAAGAGGTTACCAAGCCAAAATGAAGCTAAAAGAGAATGTTGAGCTCCAAACCGAAAAATAAGAAAGAAAATAAAAAGAGGATTTTGGCTTAAAGAGCTCAAACATGCCCTTAGCATGAAGAACGGATCTCAACTGTTTCGAATCTTTCGAAGAGAAAAACATTTACTTAAATTTCTGACATAATGTTATTTTGGTATGTATAGAAATCCTTACGTTCTCTTCACCAAAATAATGGACATGAAAATTTTTGAACAAAAAAGAAGTGAGTTTTGAGGCTGATAAATGAAATAATGTAATTACCTCTAGTTTGCCAATTACGGACGGACCTTTTAAATGCAGCTAGCTTGGCATTGATTTCTGCAATTTCTCTCAAATCTTGTTGTCTATAAGCTTCTCGCAATCGCTCTAATCTTCTCTGTGCATCTAGTGCATTCTAAGAATGACGACAATAGATGACGTCATGGCAAACTGATGACGTCATAAAAAGTTATTTTAGAAATTGTCATTTCTGACCACATTAGTAGAAAGAACATGGCGAAATACTTCTAAATGTGCAAAACTATTTAAATCTACAGATTTTTTGAGATATGACCAATGGAAGATCTCAAAGTTGCTTACGGATTATTGTTTTTGACTTGGTTTATATATAAGTTGACGAACCGGGGCCAAATTACAGTGGTTTGATGGGGAAACTGCCTGTAATCATGTGGCCTAGTTTATTCTAAAAATGATAACAATACTCCCTTTATTAGCATATAAAATGATTACAGAGAAAAAGGTAATCCAACTTTATTACACAACCACATTGTGGATTTGATGAAGACTTCTACTCACAACTGTGGTGCTAGGGGGCTCAGGGAGCTCAGCACATTTGTTATTGCCAAAAGAACAGCCATGTCTATTTCTGCTATTATTTTTTGCAACATTTTGCGAAATAGCATCCCCGTTGACATTTTGATTGCAGTACAACTCTGTTTTTACTATGCATGTTACAAATGTTGCTGCAAGTCCAGATATCAAACAGATGATCAAAACGAATAGATTAGAAGTTGTGTGATGAACAATGATTCTGAGAAGCATTATCACTGTCTTTATCAGAAAATGTGGCAGAAGAAATTTTAATTATGGCTTTGAAAAAAAACATTGTATGACGCACTAAAGCTTTTCGCCTGAAACGTATCAGAGTATAAAACGTCAGAACATGATCGGTATCTCCTAGCTTCGAGACTCCTATATTTCTTAGATAAGAAATCTCGATTAATGTTCTTTCGCTTCATACTCTGAAAAGTATCAGACAGAAAGCTTTAGTTTTTCATAAAACCCCGTAATGCCTCGAATAAGCGCTCTTTTAATTTTTGAAGCTCCAGAGTGGGCGCTTATTCGAAGGAGGCGCTTAATAGAGGGGCGCTTATTTAAAAGGTAGATTTGGGTGCAAAGCGTGTTGTTCATTAATCTTTCTTGTTGAATTGCCTTCCAATTATGTCTTTGTTGGAAATTCGAATAAGCGTAGTTTCTGAAGGTTGAAGTTGGGCGCTTATTCGAGGGATAGGCACTTATTCAAGGGGGACTATTATTTGAGGGGGGCGCTTGTTCGAGGCATTACGGTATTTGCTCTTTTGCAAACAAATTTTAAATTATGTATCGCCGAAAAATTGTTTGGAAATTCTGACCATTTTATTCGTTCTGTATCCGTCTCTTCCTATGACTTTCAAAAATCGTTATAAAGCATTTCAGGGAAATAATTTGAAACTTTATAATACCTTTTTCATCAGTTCATCTTTTTTGTCCTGGGATAAACTTGTGAGCTTGCAATGCGTACATCTCGGAATGTGAGGAGCTGGGTCCTAGAAAGGACAATTAATTAAGTAGTTGATTCACGGAAAACCTCAAGCCGGACAGATATTTTCTAATTCCATTAAGAATATCAATGATATTCCATCCGAATTCCATTGATATTTTCTATTCCACTGCAGATGATTTTCGAGGATTTTCTGTTTGATTCCAGCAGCTCCAAGCCTAAGTTTTCACATCTTGAAACGAGAACACCGAATTCGGAGTTTCCTAAAGGTGCGTTCTGGAACCATTCATACTTAACATTCATTTATTGTGCGCCCAGGTTTCATTGATCCGAACTATAATCAGCCCTGCACAAAAATAAATAAAACTAACAAAAAATGCAACTGTTCTTCAAAGCACAAAAGGAACTTTGATTTTTAAAGCTTGAATCCGTCTCTTTATTTAAATCTTACTTAAATATCATTATATGCAAGGTCAAATAATTTTATAAATCAGAATTAATACGTGTTTTGCGGATGGCATCGATAGTTTTGTGACATGCACGCCCGGGCCTTCAGTTCGTACGAATCACAAGTTCCTTAATAATTCTACTTACTGAGCTAAAAATTCGACGGCCAAGTAGCAGCTTCCCCCAATACTTTTCGAAGACCAAAGCCTGGCAAATCAAACGAGATAATTGTCAAAGAAAAACTTTATATTTAGTTACGGAGGTATAGGTATTAATAATCAAGCTCCATGTTTTATTTCAATGGCGTAGTGATCATTTCGTTGATGACCTTACTCCCAACCCAACAAAGTTACCTTACGGCTTGAACTTACCTTTGCTGGCGTGAGCCACCTTACCTTCTTTGCTGCCGTGAGCCATAGCTCTAAAAGCGGCAAAACACAAGACTTACCTTTGCTGGCGTGAGCCACCTTACCTTCTTTGCTGCCGTGAGCCATAGCTCTAAAAGCGGCAAAACACAAGACTTACCTTTGCTGGCGTGAGCCACCTTACCTTCTTTGCTGCCGTGAGCCATAGCTCTAAAAGCGGCAAAACACAAGACTTACCTTTGCTGGCGTGAGCCACCTTACCTTTTTTGCTGCCGTGAGCCATAGCTCTAAAAGCGGCAAAACACAAGACTTACCTTTGCTGGCGTGAGCCACCTTACCTTCTTTGCTGCCGTGAGCCATAGCTCTAAAAGCGGCAAAACACAAGACTTACCTTTGCTGGCGTGAGCCATAGCTCCAAAAGCGGAATCCAGATTGGTTTTACTGTCTTTAACTTCGGTAAGCTATTATTATGTACTCTGCTATTAAAAGGTTCTTGCAAAGACAAATGGTTCAGATCAACCTCTCTATCAGCGTTTTCTAGTTCAATTAAAAAGTTTATCCACTTTTCTTCGAACTCTTTTTCTGTTAGATCCCCTACGTCTCTTTGTTTTTTTACCTAGAAAGTAAAAAGGATCTTTTCAACTTTTCTCAGTTTATGTTTTAAAAGGATCTTTAACACAATATAACAGAAAGGATGTAAGTGTTTTACTTTAAAGAACTGTTCTGTATGGTAATGGGACAACATAGACCTTGCAAAAAGGGACACTTCACGGATGGATTGGGGATTTCTTCAAAGTAGGGGGCAAGTACCCACTGTAATAGAAACCTTTCTTACGCTCTGAAAGGGTTTTCCTTTTGAATCTTAGTCTTGAGTATAAATGTACCGTAAATCTACGAATAAGCCCCAGGGGGCTTATTTGCAAAAATGAATTTTTGGGTGGGGGCCTATTCGAGAGGGGGCTTATTCGAGGGGAAAGCTTATTCGAGGGGGGGCTTATTTTAAAGTTTAGTATTTCCCCAAAGGTCGACATAAAAACACAATTTTCTCAATGAAATGAATTGAAAAATTTCAAAAAGTGTGAAGATCTAACAAATATTATAATTTTTTATCATCACAAAAGTCGCTTTTTGCTTTTTGGTCTCAAGTCAAAGGAAGTAATACTGTATAGCTATTGTCCTTTCTTGAAATAAGATATTATTCTGCAATTCTGCCTTCCTCAAATAAGGCCCATGGAGGCTTAGGCGAGGAGGGGTGGCTTATTCGAGGGGGGCTTATTCGAGGGGGCTTATTTGCAAAAATTATTTTTTAGGTAGGGGCTTATTCGTGCTTGGGGGCTTATTCGAGCTCGGGGGCTTATTCGAGCTTGGGGGCGTATTTGAGGATTTACGGTATTTGTCCTATAAATATATAAATGAAGTGACAACTGTCATTTAAATGGTTAATTTGTTCACGAGATGTTAACATTTCATGCAAAACGCAACCTATGCTTACGTAAATTAAAAAGGGGTACTTTGCGGGTAGAGGTGGGAATTTCTTGAAAGTAGGGGGCAAGTACAACTTAAATAAAATGCTCCTTTATGATTTGGGTAGATATTAAGGATTTACCTGCGAACTTTATTCTTACCTACAAGGTAACTATATTTGTGATCCATCATTAATAGGTTAATGTAATGGTTAAAAGAGATCGTTCCATCTAAGGTAATAATCTATGTTTACTTTAACATTATGTAGCATATACAAAAAGATCCTGAAAATAAGATTAAACCAAATTAGAAGCTCCAAATCTTCAAACCAGTTGAGAAAAATCGCTGTTTAAGTTCTATGGGCACTTACACAACTTCGCATGTGCTTCATTCCATGTGCATCGCTCAGACGCAGCCGATATGGAACATTTCCACTGCCAATACGCGATTGCTTGAATGACGTCATTACTGAAACATTGAGACTTCACTATTCCTGTGGAGTTTAGCTATGGACATGGGTGTCATTGTAAGAAAAGGGAAGTATCCTTAGAAAAAACTGTGTCCCAGTGAAAACTATGTTCCACTTGTCTCGGCATGTATTAGTATGTTGTATCATTGGCAACTATCAGCGCTTTCCTTAGTATCTGTTTGCTAGTCAACAGGCCTAACCACACAGTCATTTCTACAAACGACTGGTAAATCTGTTAAAAAGTGGTCCCATTTTCAACAGTAACATTCCCGTGTGGCTTTTGGGATTCATGAAAAGTTGTTGGTTTATATAAATTACTTGATCGTTGTATTGTTTTTAAAACAATAGAAGAAACGCATAATTCCCAAAACGCAGCGTCTAATGTTTCTCTTAAGTACTTGTCACCTCTCGGGAAAGGGGGACTGGAAATTCGTACAAAGAACAGGAAGAATCTCGATTTTAAGTGATATGCCTCATTATGGACAGGCCTCGCTATGAATAAGTTCCAAGTAGTGGGACCAAGTAGGAGTAGCAGGTCTTTAAGTGTCAGTATAAAAAGATGATAAGTACATTAATGGTCTTTGAGAAAGAGGCAAGAAACTAAAAATCTTTATAAGAACATATAGAATGAAATTATTAATAAATGATTCTAAGACGATAAATACAAACTGAAAGATGACGTCCACAAAGCGGGCAAAAACGAACTACGTCAAATTTTAAAAAATAATGTTATACGAAACGATGCTTCCTTCAATGATGCAAAGCTAGAATTTATCATTGCAAATTTACATTCAGAAATACCTCCCAACACTTTATATGAAAACAGCCCCCTTTACATTAGAACATTTGCTCAATAATTCAAAATGCATTAATATTTAATATTATAATATTTAATTCCACAAAAGTGTGTTAATCCGAACGGTTCTCTTATACCAACAAGAAAAGAGATAAAAAACATTTCAATATATTTAACTGAGAAACTACTTGCGAGAATAAGTGTTTCCATTTACTTAAAGGATAACTGTCGTCAAGAAAAAGATTTTTACCAGCAGGAAGAATAGCTTTTCAGAGCGCGTACAACATAAGAAGGAAAGTATCAAGATTTATGACATGTGACTTCTACCATGTAATAGTAGCTATTCTGATTGGTTCAGACAAGTATCTTGATTCGGTGCGTGATTTGATAACTGATGGAGTTTTATCAATTATTCAATAAAAACTTGCAATTTTCCTAACTCATGTAACTGAGACCAACAATTTGCATTTTTCTAAACCGCGGAATACTTGCCATTAGATTAAATTGTTCAAGTTAAATCTTGATAATTAGTATTCGTTATTGAATAAATAATCTGATTATTTTTGCACTTTTGTCCAAGAGAATGTGATATATGAATTTGGCGAACTATCCTAGGCCCTTAGAACACATATTGAACCAAAAGTTTACTGAAACGTCGCTGCCTTCTGCTTGAACGCTTCTCGCCTCTCTTTTGCTTCCAGCAACTCCTTCTTTTTCTTTTCCTGTTCAGCTCTTATTTCTTGTTCAAATTTATTGTCATTTGTTTGCTGTTGAACCTGAAGGAAATAAACTTTGTTATAATGCGAGGCAAGAACCCGAAGAGAGAAAATGATCGCTGTTCCTTTATTGGGCACAGGGGGTGGAATGTCATGGGGCCCTCATGCACAATGTTTACAAAAACGATAGCAAAAGTAGAAAAGGTTCATTTTTAGTATAGACAAAGGGGACTCAGCCCTACTGAGCCTCTTCACCTCTACCTGGATGAGGAACGAGAAGAGGGTATTTACTGTTTACGTCCTGGATAGGAAAAGGTAAGGAAAAGGTAGAAGGTAAGGGAAAAGGTAAGGTATAAATGTGACAATCAAACAAACGACATGATATATAACATATTTGGTTTATAGGTTATGCCCCTCTCAAATCCCAAGAAAAAATCAATATAACGATGACATGTTTACATAAAACTATTCCCATCTCCCATTCAACGGTATTATATTGATGTAATGGACAGTATTTTCGCCTCCTGCACATTTAAGTTGAGCCTCCTGTACATTGTGGACAAAAGAGCAGGCAGTGACGTTCCCTCTCTCGCTATTGGGGTATAATTTCACCTGTGGTCATCATGACAGATTCAGATGGGTGGAGATGGGGTTCTTACCATTTTAATGGAGGTACTGAGAAGGCACAAAGGAATTAAAGACACAAAGTTAGTTGAAGCTAGTCCATAACTAGTACCCTCTCCCTTTTTCTCCTGGATGTTGATAAAAGACGGAGAATCTACTGATATGCTTTGATTGTATGTATAAACAACTGGTTCTTTATATCGTTGCATTCATAAGGGGATCCTACTTGGCAGGCATCCTCATGTTAAACTTTTAAAATATAAAAAGTTTTTCAGGAGTTGCGTTCCCGTTTCCAAGGGAACTTATGGAAGGCGACTGCCAGGAGACTTTTGCTGAATATATGAAGGACTGATACTCTAAATAGAAAAACAACTTCAGCTTCTCTGCATATCACAATGCCCTTCACAACAGATGGACTAATGCTGCTATCTTCGCGTATTTCACTTATCATACTTTAATATATAATCAATTAACTTTAAATTTATATATGTAAACTTGACAATATACAATAGCATAAAAAGCGCTGCGATTACCTTGGCTTCGAAAAAAGATTTTGCACCACTAACACCTTCTTCTGATACGTTGCAACAATCTGCAATTTTCAGCAAACCCTCTACTTGCAATGTTCCGTCTTTGGCATATTTGAATATCAGCATGAACTAGAAAAGATTTATCAATCAAATTACCCTGAAAATTGGACACAGAGATCTCTCACTGCATTTTTAGAAGGTAAAAAGACTTAATACACTTGTTTTGTAAAAATGACACCACCACAGGAGCTTTTTAAGGTGCATATTAACACTGGGTAGCCTGTATTCAGATTACGTTTATGCAAGAAGAAGGTAGTCTTTTCTGACACTAGATGGGCAGAGTTTCTAAAAACCATAAGACTCTAGGGTGCATGTTGAAAATTTTATTAGAAATTAATTAGCACTGGTTGATTGTTAGGCACCCAAGAATATATAATTTGTTGCATGGGGAATAATTTCAAGAAATAAAAGCTCGCAAGCAAATGAACAAGATAGTGTAAAAAAGTAAAAATTTACAAGATTAACAAACTTTAAACTCAATAAAACTAGGGTATTAAGTTAGGGTATTTGGCTCCAAAATATAATATTATCAAGTGGCTTTAGGCTGGAAATGCAAAAACAGATAAAAATAAGCCATCAGAGAAGTACTGAAAAAGTATGCCAAACTTAGTGTTACCTCTCTAAAGCTTATTTGTCCATCATTATCTTCGTCCACTGCTTTGATCATTTCCTTCAACCCAAGATGAGTTTGTGGTTCTCCTAATTTTTCCATCATTAGCTTGAGTTCCATGAAATCAATAAAGTTGCTATGATCCATATCATATCTAGAGAGCAAAATTGGCAACTGTTTAACCACTCACCTAAACACCATAAAAATCTTTAAGGAATTGGGATTGAGGTAAACAGGGGGATACTTCTCCTAAAAAAACAAGGAGGGGCAGGAAGAAGGAGTTTGTTTTAATAAATGAAGGAGAAATAAATTTTCCTCATTACCAAAGTAAGTAAGCATTTAGTTTCTCTTGCTCTTGACACTGGGATCATTATATGCCTTTGACAAAGAGCTGCAGAGCATATTAGAGACTTGAGGGCTTGAATGTTTTTGGGGGGAGGGGGGCTAAACATGCCAAAAACCAAGAGCAAGTAAATTTTTTGCATGCCTTTAAAAACTTTATGGAAATTCCCCATTCCCCCCTCCTCCACTGCCCCCACGCTTCCATGCTCTCAGCCCTCTACAGGTGCTCAGTAAGAGGAAACCTTCAAGAAGAGAAACCTGCTTTTTTATCGTGTATGACTTCTTCTTTAGCTTCTAAAAATCCTGCATATGTGTTTATTCAGCATTGCACATGTTAAGCTGGGTAGAGAGGGATGGAACTGGAATAATGAGGTTAATGGTGGAATGAAATCTGCTCCCCCTTTGTATTTTTTGGTGAAAAAAGGTGGAAGAAGTTTGAGAAAGTTGTTTGGAATAAAGATATATATTTGTAATAGCCATGAGAAAAAAGGAGCAATAGACTAAACTGGTTTAAAGTTTAATGCATCAGATAACTTACTTTTGAAAGACTTTGCGATATTCTTTTATTTCAAGGATGGAGAATTCCTTGAATTCAGCATAAACTGATTGAGAAACTTTAGATGGAGCAGCTTCACCTTCATTGATTTTATCTCTTCTTGCCAACTTTTCTTGTAGTTCATTAGTTGCCATTTTCAACTAAAACAAAGAAGAGACTTTACCATAATATATATTTAAAAATAATTGATAAACATCATAAACACCATTAATTCGTAGAATTAAAAGAGGGGGAAATTTATTGCACATGAAAATTATCAACAAATCCTGACTGAGGTGGTCATTAAAAAAAAGAGGGCAGCCTAAGAATCCAAAACAGTGTCACTAGAATAAAACTTAGAAAAAATAGGTGTTTGTACCAAATAACAAGATTTGAGATAAATAAGAAAACTAAGCTTATTTGAATTCAAACATATAGCTTTGAATTGCTAAAATCATCAGAATAAAATTTCTGATCCTGCTGAAAAGTTCCCCTGGTCTATCAAATGATAAATGTTTGTACACGTATACTCCACTTTGGAGTTTTAACATGGCAATTTAGGCAGAAGAAAAAGATGCATTCAACAGAACCCTTCAAAATTTTCAATCAACATTTCAAGGAGAGGTAATTGTTTAGGAAAATATCTTTCCAATTTTACTCTATACTTTTTAAATATTTTCAAATGCAATCTTTGCCCATTTCATTTTCTTGAATTTTTAAAAGCCATTATCTTATGATGAGAACCATGCATGTGCAGTTTTGCAAAAGCTTGCTTTGTCAGGACATTCTTGAAATTCACATTGTCACATTGCAGAGTATGTGACAGATCTTTCTTGGCCATGGAGGCACTGACATCTGGCTCCATGGATCGTGGCATTAGAGTTGCAACTTATAACTGTCCAGTTCTACACACAAAAGTGTGTACAGCTATGTCTATATAGAAGCGAGAACTTTAAAAAAGACAAGTTAATAGTTATTTTCCTTAATCAATATGCTTTGCACATAAATAGCCTTAAGAATAAACATGTATTGGAAATATGCCTTTAATGGGTGCTTTTAATTTGCCATTTTAATATCCATAAGCTAAATTGTATGTGAATGCCAATTAAATCAAAGAGAGAGATAAGATGGGAATTTTCTTAGACCCTTTTCTCATTGAATGTATACTTGAATAAAATTTATTGATAAATTAGGTTGTGTGTCTGCAGCCATTTTACCTAGAACCACAAACACAAACAACATACCCACAAACACACAACACAATCACAAACATAGGTACAAGAGGGCTTTCAATCTGAATTTTTTTCTATCTAACTACACCCATATGTCTCCTAAATGTCTTCTAAACAAAGGGCAAATGGACAGATTTTCAATGACATCTACTGGCATGATGGAAATGGAAATACAGAGGCAGTTTTAGGGGAAGGGGTCAAGTAGGCACACTGTTCCAACCGATAAAGGGAAGTCAGAAGAGGCCCCACACCTTAGAAAACAAATAGAGTTTTAAAGAACAAGCGGGACTGCATGCAGAGTATGACAGCTTCCAACGGGATCTCAAATACGCAAGAGCAAATTTCATGTGTGCAAGTGTGCACTTAGGTTGAAGTATGCACTTCAGTTGTGTCACATTGGTGTGAAAAACTGTGCTAGAGCCTGAGGATAATCAGTTATTCAAAACAGTGCTAGAGCCCAAAGATAAGTGGTTAAGAAGCAAAATTAACCAAAATAAGAAAATGTACATGATTGATATAATTATTTAATTATCAAACCATTGCAAGATTGTATCAATCTTGAGGAAACCTAGTTCTCAGTGGCGTAGCAAGGGGGAGGCAAGAAATGACAGATGCCATCACCCCCAAAATGGCAAAAAGTATCTTTGAAAAGGGGCATTTTTTCTGGCATTAAAAAAGGTGTGGACCCCCAATTTTGTCTTGTTCAACTGCAATTTGCCCCCCCCCCCCCAACCTTACCTCCTTGGCTAAGCTACTGCCAATTATTCACTAGCCCTAAGCAATATGACACACCCATTTTACGCTCAGATCTCCACCATTTATCAATGCCACACCAATTATTAGGTATGCAGGAAAACTTTAGAAAAAAACATCTCGGGTGTGCAGTTGCCATACACTGCAGACTCAGACTGGAGAAAAAGGGTCCCGCAGATATCTTTTCTGATAGAGCTATGAAGGAGTTATGGAATTTTGCGCTTCAGTAGAAACGGTACATGAATTGTGAAAAAATAACCCACGTTGATTTTTAAAACATCGCAGGAAACAAAATAATTTAACATTCTGTCTCTCAACAGGCCTAATGTTGGGGACAACGCCTCGCTGGACACCCTACGGTCCTCAAGAGGGCTGAGTTGTCTTCCATTAAATAAATAAAATTGATTGACTAAAATCTCAAAAAACATCCCTTGATATAACTATTAACGTTTATTTTCATAATTTATTACGATAGACCAACTCTAAATTGAAAGGACTTACTACCACTGATTAGGCCAAAGTATTTCATTTACCCGTCCCTCAGAACAGAACGAAATACAGAAACTAATATGGGGCAAACTTATGTTCTTCAACATAAAGAAGCATTGGGACTGGAAAAAACAATCTTAATTTTCGTTTCAAAAATCAGTTTGTGCAAGTTAGCAGGACACAAAAAGAGCAGGTTCACTATCGACTGCTCATTTCCTTGTTCGAGTTCCTTCTTGTCGGAGCTTGCAAACTATCAACATGTTGCGGCAAGTATCAACATTCTGCGCAAGTATTAGCAACATTGCGAAAGGAAAAAGATATCTCGTTACCTTTTATTATTCTTTTTACCACAAAACTTTGAGTGATTTGAGTTCCTGAAATTCGAAGATAAGGAAGTTTGAAGTAGCGTTATCCCAACTTGGAATTGCTTGGCTGCCAGAAAAGAACTTCCCCTCCCAAACAATCCTCCTTCCCATTTGAATAGAAACATGTGTAGTTTGAAAGCGAGGATGCAAAATGAGGTGTTTGTTTTGACTGCAAAGTTTAAAATGTATACAGTTCTCGTTGAATTTCGCATTCTTCATAAAACCAGGGCCACGAATTGAATTTAAAGTTGAGGTGCCATTGCATAGAATATTTTTGGCCATCAAATATAAATGAAATGTGCTTGGACCTTCCCTTACCCTGTAAAATGTGACCCCTGCTTGGGCCACGACTTTCCCTTCTATCGAAGTTCAATTTTTTGGATAAGCCCCCATCCAACATGCCAGGTTTTACAATCCATGTTTTCAGCCCAAAATAAATGATTATGCTAAAATCAGCATCAGTGTAGGTTGTTGTCTGATCTTAAAATTGCCTGGTGATCAATTAAAACCGTTCTGTTCCAAACACCAAAAGTGTGTACAGCTCTGTCTACACGACGCTGGACACTTCATGAGAAACATGTAAACTAATGTTAACTGTAATATACTGATACCTATCTAAGCAAGAAATTTCAAGCAAGATAAATGGGCAAGGAAAATTCAGAATTCGTTAACCATTTTCTTAAACTTTCTTACAAAGCTCAAAACACTTTCTTACACGATGTTTTTATTGTAAAAGTAGATTGGAGACTGTTTTGCTTCTCGAAGTGAGCTTGACAATTTGTGAATAAATCATTTGAGTTGAAATTTTAAGATCACGTTTATAAGCGCTCCCTCATTCAAGCCCACACACTCCATCTAGCGGCTGATAATCTCGACAGATAGGGGAATAGCTGCACCTTTTGTTTTCTGCAGTTGAATCCCGATGAGACAAGCCCTACATTGTTCAGACAAAGCAGAGATTAACCTTAGAGGAGGGCAGGGAAGCCGGAACGACAAAAGTATAAGGGAGCAGACTTCAGTCAAAGGTCATTTGAAGAAGTTCCCAGCTTCTTTTCATTCTTTTGTAACTGAAAGTTTAATTATTTGTTCTGTTGTCATCTTGTTGATGGGCTAGCTGCTGTCATCAGAATTTTTAGTTTATGTGTGAGAAATTTTCTCATAAAAAAAGAACTACAGCCAGGATTTCATGTGAATCTCCTGAATAATCACAAAAACCGAGATCGAACGGCCCTTTTATGAAAACCAATTCCACCAATTCTGAATGAAAGTGGACTAAACTAATTAAAAATGAATATCAGATCAGCAACAGTAGAAAAAACATCAGTTCTGCTTATGTACGAAATTCTTCCACATATACTATACAAAATTCTTCTTTTCTTTGCAAAACACTCGGTGTTATTCTATATACAACATTTTTGCGAACTTAAGTTACACAGTAAGAGTATATACCACTTTGCTATACATAAGAGTCTAGAATAATAGGTGTGCTTGGCTCTAGAAACACATTGAGAACGGGAAAAATGGTAACTTTTAAATAGATATCAGTTTCCATATGTTTTCTTAGTTTTTAACTACAGCCGAACATATTTGTCTTTACAGATCTGCTTTTCAAACAATCTTTATGGCGGTAAAGAATTCAAAAATGTCTTTGAACAAAGATTCAAAGAAATTTTTAAGGTCTGTTTTGTGTTAAAATCCGACAATGGAGAAATAAACGTACATGAATGACCGCTCTTTCGTAGCATTTTCCAAGCAAAGTAAATAGTCTTTTCGTCTGTGGTTTGCATTATGCGTGGACCCAAACACGAGAAATTTACAACAGCAAACAGAACGTACAAACCGAAGAACACAAGCACTCTTTATAGCTCGCACCGTGCGGTACAGCAGGGTAGAGGGGTATTTTTCCTAAAATCTTCATAAAGTCAAGATTTTCAATAATTTAGTTAACGTGATTTGTCTAAAATTCAGCCTATGTCATAATACCTTAAAACCCAGCCTACCATCACTGTGAATTATTTCGGATGTTATTTTAGAAACCCGACGTTAAAATCACCAAATATAGGCACTTTAAAACGAGCCTACGTCTTCTTTAAATACACGTTTCCTACATAAATCTAGATTTCCTTTAAGAAAATATTTGTCTCTCCGTATACTTTGAAGGAATATCAAATAAAATTCGTTTCTTTCATAATTGAAAGAATTCTTCTTTAAACGCACTCCAAACATGTTATAATCAATGTGAATAAATGTTGGGTTTATGAAGTCGTCTTGCCAGTCCCATTCCAGACACGGACCTATAAAAGAAAGATAATGTCAAAAAAAATCCTGAAAATTTCAACTCAAGAAAATATAACTGAAGGAAGCTTGCCATTTGAAGCGCAAATATGACTTGCTACAGAGCGGATTATACAACGTTGGAAGGTGATCTCCGAAAACACATTTCCGTAAACAATAGATCAAAAATCGATTAAAAATTGTTAAACAAAGCTAACAGTTATTGGAAACTAAGAAGCTAAACAAATCTTCGGGTTGACTGTGAACACTAATGTTCCTGCTGGAGAAAATCCTTAAAAACGAAGCTGGATAACAAGCATCTCGATTAAAGTCTCCACATATGCTACGCGGGCATCACAAATAAAAGTATGTTATTATTTTCCCACAGCAATCATTTCGATAATTACTTATCAACCGCCATAGGGAACCCTAGGAGGCCATTTATATTTCAAAGTGATGGGCTTATGAGCCGATAATGATGCTGATTTACAAGAGAACAGATTATCTCTAATCTGCCTTTTATCCCGCTGGACCGAAGATCATACCCTGGCAGCGAGAGTCTTTCAAAAAACCTTATCAATTCCAATGGCTCTTTTCTCAATGAGTCCCATTCACAACAATACTCCGTAGTAGCTACTCCATGTTCGTTTGAAAATGTCAACAAAAAGCCCTTTTCTAGTGAAGCTTACTCCTGATAATCTCAACGCTTAAAACATTTATATTTACCTCTAGATACATAACTAATTCTTTAACATTCTTAAAAGTTCTTAAAAGAGTACAAAAGGTATCATGAATACTCAAGGACTGATAAAGCTTTGCCAAACAGCTAAGTGTTTAGAAACGCCTATTTCCTCCTCACTGGCGAAGATTCTATCAAATATACATTTTTTGAAGGTCCGTAAATCCATTTTTGATCACTAACAGGAATAGCCTTTACCACAAGGTTTTTTTAAACAATCAAAGAGAATACTTCAAAATCTGTATTCTACAATTTCTACAAAATAGCACTTCCTGATGATACATGACCGCCCAACAAAGATATGGTGTTTATGCCGAGTTAATCTTCTTGACCTTTTAAAGAGGTGTGGCCTATGGTATCACGATGTTTACATCAGGGCTTGGCCAGCTTACGTGATATGAAAAACGGTCTTCTTTAGAATTTAAAGAATGGATAGGCTGAGATCATGCGAAGAGGCAATCTCGTGGTGGTTAACTTAAAAGGGACAAAGATTTCGTGGATTTATTTTCCTTTTCCGTCCTTCGTTTTCAGTAGCTGGAAAACAGTTATATAACATATTTCCCTTTTTCAACTTAAAACAGATTATTTGTGGTTTGGCAATGGTCCTAAATTAGTATTTCAAAAAACAATGTTGTTTTCAAGTTTTCCACATTTTCATCCACTTTTTTCTTTGCGTAACTATTTGTACGGATCAAATAGGAGTCATTTGGTAATATTTTTAACATCGAAACTATCGGACAAGCTAAAACTTTTATATGATTTGATTTAAAAGCACCAGAAACATTGTTCAGCCGTTGGAAAAAAGGGGAATTTTCAAAAATATTAGAGTTGGAAAGTAGGTTAGAATTATCATACAGCTTTGATATCGTGTATTTATTAGGACATTCACTGTCTTCTAGTTTACGCAAGAAACTTAACATAATTTAGATTAGGAAATCACACCATTCTTAGAACAAAAAGTCGAAAGCATAAGTCGAAAGAAAAATCATTGAAATTCAGAGTTCAAACCTTGTTTTTGTTTATACCGACTTGTGGGCCTAAGTTAATTGTTTCTCATAACCGCAAAGGAAGTCAGTGTCAATCGATCTATCTTTGAAATAACATTTAGCCCAATGGTTAAGATAATTTTCATATTATACAAAACCCAAGTAATATCTAACAATAAGCAGCCCTTAGTTTTATTTTTGTGGTTTTCACATGATACATCACTAACGAGATAATTTTGCTGTTATTTAAATAGGATACGAAATTACCTTCTTGGCTGGGGATCCTAGAGCGAGGTCATCTTGGACGCCCCGAGATGAATCCGCCATCTTGGAATGACCAGTCTTTTCAGTTTCGTTTGAATAGCTCACTCGACGACGCTTTTTCTGTTTCATGAAATCTGAAAGTAAAGCAAAACATTTCAGAAATACAACTTGAATAAAATCTGACAACTTGAACGTTCAAACGGGGTGATGCACAAACAGAAGTGATCGGAAAATCTGGGCTGCTGCTTCAAGGAAACTTAGCAGCCAAAAAGGAAGACCACATGAGAAAATTTTATCAAAGAAAAGTTTTGGTTTGGTAAAAAGGCCGTTTTAAATTTCAAAACTCTTTTTGAAATTGGAAGTTGTTTGATCGATTAAAAGGCAAATTCCCAAAACGTATGAACCATTTTGATAGTGTTTTGGATTGGGTGCGACAAAGACGCTGCGCCTTGGGCAAAGTTCTTTCTAACCAATCCAGAGACTGCCAGGCCACGCGCCAACAAAGGGCGGCATGGACGAATTGTGACACCTGGTGTATGGATTTCGAAAATCACCCGGTTTAACGCGGTTTTTCGTCCTAAGAAATAACGCTATTGATGTTCCCACTTTAAAATATTGATCGTCAAGTTAATATTTTGCACAATGATAACTGTTGAGAAACGAAAGGTTCAATTTCTCCATAAAAATGATTCACGATCAATTAAGTTTCGAAAAAAACCGATCAAGTTGCGTTTGCCTACAGAGAGAATTAAAGAAACTTTACAAAACATTCCCCTTAAATCCCCAAGTTTACGAAAAAGTTTCTCTAAAATTCACAACAGCTATTCAAATATTGCTGCGAATTCAAACTCGAACAATCAAAAGGCCAAACAGCGGGACTTTTTCAAAAGTTTATTCATGGCTGAGGATATTCAGTGAATGGGTACGTTGATGAAAACAAAACAGAAAGAACGATCGAAAGCATTGTTGATAGCCTCGATATTGTAACGACGGTTGAACACTGCAAAAGTCTACTTAACCTGTCCTTGTGGGATAATTTCACATTGTAATAATAAAGGGCTTTTTTCATCAGATGAGAGTAGTTCTTTGTCTAAACGCAACTTACTCCAAACTTACGTACAATAAAATCTGCTCGAATCATGCTATAAAAACATTGGAGTTACGTAGATAGGTGACGCTAACAAAACGAACGAAGCTTAAATCGATTAAAACTCCTTTCGTTTTGGGTCAACAACATAACAATTTTCTCGGAAGTTGAACACTTACCAGTTATAGTTTTGTATTGCTTCTTTCTTTTACGATCAGGGTTTGAAGGGACTTTCAGTTTATTTGCTTCAGTTTCGTTTGTAACAGCTGGGGTGATTTTTACGATTTCAGGAGACTTCGTCGTAGATGGTCGTACGACAGCTTTTTGAGGTTTATCGAAAACATCTTTGTCTTTGCTTTCTTGCTCCTCGTGTAGATTCGGAACTCTTCTTTCCTCGCTGACAGGCTTTTGAGGTTCTGGTGATAGAACATACTCTTTTCTTTCGGCGATCTCTTCCCATACAAGTCTACCATTGAGTATAGGAGTGCCCTCAGAAAAATCGAAACACCATTCTTCGCATTTCTGCTGTTGTTCTTCGATGAGTTCCTGGTCGAGAACACTTTTCACTTCTTCGTGATCCACAGGTCCAAACAGATTTCTGCAAAGTCTTTTAGATGGGATTACTCCTCGAGATAGAGAGGGTAAAGTCGAAGAACAGTTTGTGATCGGTATAGCCTCCATCTTGTTTACAGATTTTGAATTCGTGAGGCGGGAACGTTGAAAAAACCGCTGGCCAAACTCTCTCTCAATACGAAGCTTGCTGAGAACAAAGGACAAGTGCTCGTGTCAGCGGTTGCAGCGATACATAATCCCAACATAATAAGAAACATGATTGGTCAATCTAATAACAATACAGATAATTTCATTGGCTAATAGACAATAAACCTGTCAATCATTTTGAAGTTACCCAACTTGATTGGCCAAATGGCGTTTTTAATGGGCAGGTGCTGGATTGTTTCTGTTTAAACAATAGGGGCGTGTTACTATGGAGATTAAACTTTACTGAACTGTGGAACTGTTGAAGTTTCCCATGACTTGCAGGTGCAACTTTTTAGCGAATACAAAACAAAGATCAATTTTAATGCTAACAAGGAGTTCTTTCACTTTTGCTAAGACCAACAAAATTGTATTAGGTAATAAGGTATTTGTAAACAGAGATTCGTTGGATTCAAGATCACGTCAAAAGCTAGATTTGAAGTAGGGCAAATTACAATGGAGCGAAAGGACACCATTCCCCAATACCGACTTCTGTTTGATTTGAGAGTTTTTTGTTTTACTGTTCGTAGCCCTGTGTGACCTTCAATAGCAGGCAAACATTTTTTTGGCAAAAGAGGGCCTGTACAGTATGGGGCCAAATTGGTATCCGATGGAAATGGATTTGTTGATATTTGCCTTGATGTGAAAACAGAAATTCACGGTGAAACACTTTGGGTCAAGAAAGCAAGGTCAAATTCTGCGTAGTTTTCTGGAAGGGTATGATTTCCTTTCCAACCGAGAAACCAATAGAATTCACCGAGAAGCAAAAAACCAGACAACCCCCATTGATAAAACTTGCTTCCTCTAATTGCTCTTTTCCGGTAGCCGGTAATGCCACAAGTATGTCAAAAACTTCAGACGATCGTAAATTTTATGACATACATTGTTTGTTAATTAATGAGTTACAAGGGGAAGTAATTTGCTGTTGGCAATGTAAATTTAAGGTGTTTTGGTGACTGACAGAAAAGTATTTGTAACTGGTTCTCATATTAGACCGTTGAATACCGAAAGTTTTTAAAATATATAAAAGGGCAACACGAGGTATACAAAAATTACAGTAGAAATAAACAGGGCGCACCCCCGCTTTGGCAGGAATGTGCCGCCAAAGCCACCAGGTTTCTGGGCTATTATATCTATGTTTCTGGGTGAACCATAGGGATAGGGACACGGGGGTCTCACCCTTCCAAAAGCTTGACAAAACGTAGGGTGAAACTGGCAACAGAACTACAACGGTCACTCTATAATTACAGGCCTAAAGATAATTCCTTGCCCCCCCCTCTGTCTACACCCCCCAATATTCTTGTATCATTAGGTGAATTTTGCCCTTGATTCGGTGAAAATATTTTCCGGTAGTCAGTAGTAGTCAAATGACGCCAAACTTTAACTTTATTTATTTTCACATCTTCTATATCTTAAAGTTAAAAACAAAATTGTAAAAATGGGCGTTTTAAACATTCTCTCGGCACTTGAAGGTTGTGGCACCAAAATCTGATCATTATCTAACCCTTGCCTCTAAAATCAGTCCCTGTGCACCAGTTGGACATTCTCTAATAGGCCCTAAGATTCCCCACCAGTTAGCCCGTAATTATTCCCCACTTGTAAACACCCTTTAAATCGTTATAAGAATTCTAATTTTCTCTATTTCCTGCACGCGGATTTTTTGCTACCTATTTGCAGCCTCACCCACACATGGTCGACGGCTCCTTTCCTCAAATGACAAATTTGCTTGCCTGTTCTCCAAACCCTTACATTGAAAGTAGAGTTAGGGGTCTGAAACACAGGCAAGCCGAGTCCCATAATATCTTATGAAAAAATCATTAGAGTGCTATCAATTCCATATTATTTTATGCTGACGCGTCATATTATTTGAACCATTCAACAAGTTCTTTTCTAAAGGTTGGCAGTAAGTTACGTCCTCAATTTCCAGCATATGGGACACGATAGGAGGAGAAGAATTTAACATGAAAAAGATAACATTTTGAAGAACAAATACATAAATGAAACAGCATTCAGTTTGCATAAAGAATTTTTGCACACCATACACATTACACAAACATTTTCAGATACCATATGGAAATTATTGATATGTATTTTTTCATGGTAATCAGTCATCAAACTATGGGAGGGACTGTTGGTTCGAGATGAAAGCAAAAACTCAGGTAGTTTGTCTCATAAGATAGGCCACATTCATTTTAGAAATTTACCCATTCATGAAGGAGAAGATTTCATAAAAAACATAGCTTTAAACCATCCCCAGAAGGTGGGACTTAACTTAAAACTGAAGAATTGCATGGTACAAGCGCTCCACAAGGGCGTTATTATATGATAAATGTGATTTCCATTATCTCTTGATTTTTAAAAGACATAATTACAATTTCTGACAAGCGTGCCATTTAGACAAAAGAAACCAAAGTTGATTCCTTTTTAAATGTGTTGTGTACTTTCGTCAGATTTATGTCTTATAATCAAAGAGCTCTAAGTTAATTAATTAAAGGGAACAATAATCTGCGTTGTTAGCTAATTGAGTAATTAAAATAGCTGAAGTTGTATCTAATTATCACCAAAATGTAACTTGGTACTTCATGAACGTTATTGCTAATTCGATTGAAATCCCTCGTAATTAGAGCAGCATAGCGCTAGAAACCCACCTTCAATTATCAAAATGATTTAACAGTAAATTCTTGTAAAATTATCTACATTCCTTTTTACAAGAACCAGTAAATTGCAGTTCAGGCTGGCTGTTCTTATTTTTTTCGAAAATTTGAGGCTGGACATTGTTAACGCTTTCTTAAATTATACGCAATTGCTAGCCGTTGCGCTCTAGGAAAGTGTTCAGGTCTCCCTGGTCAACTAAGTATCAAAACGGCGAGGTCCCTTTACCTCTCCAGATACCCTGAGAAATGTGTCGATTGTGAAGTGTTTAGATTGACAGGGAACCTAAAACCCATAAACTGGATGTCTAAAAAGCATTCGGTTATCCAACCTTTGAAATCGGGGAGCAGAAATTTGAAAACAATCATAAAAAGTGGCCTAAACATGGTAATCATTCAAGAAAATTGTTTATGTTTGACTTAGAAAAATTCTGAATTATGGGCAGATTTTTTGAATTTCACCGTCTTTCTCAAAAACTTCCTTATATCAAATTTTGACAGATTTCTTATGGGCATATTGTAATATGAAGAGAACCCTTCAACACCAGCCCGGACACGCGGGGTTGACGCGGTGTTAACTCAACCCTGGTCTCCAAATGAAATCCTCAAGGTGCTACTGAACAGAAACGTCAAAAGACCTTCACACCTCGGGGAACAAGCCGACAAGAAAGCCGCGAGGGACACCATATTCCCAAAAGAACCAACGCTAGCACACCCAGGTGACATCTGGTGAGCTGAGACCGTCCCAAAGCTAATTATCACCGCGAATTAATGGCACGTTGTGCAAAAACAGGTGTCATGGAATCAAAAAAAGCAAATTTATATTTAAATAAACACAACGAGAACCATTCAAGCAGTAACAACAATGAATAATGATTACTTCGCAACCATTCAGAATTTTGCAGTTGCTATTATGTGTCTGGTTGGCGACTTCATTTACTACACCTGTATTTCCAAGTCACTATTAACATTACATCCCCACCTTAAATCTCAGAATCTCACCAGGTCTACGAAAAGAAGATGGCGCGCGTTTTCTCACAAGAAGCCTTTAAGGTTTACCGAAAAGTAAGACCCCATTTACACGGGAGAAACAGGATCGATCCAGTTTGGGAACGATCCCGGCCTGGATCGATCCGTAAATTTCGTTTGCGTTTACACGGGATCGATCCCAAAACATTATATGTTTGCACGGGATCGATCGCCGATCGGCCATTAGGGAGGAACGCATATGCGTATTGCTTATGTCATTAGCAACTCGAATTCGAAAAGTGGTAACAAAATGTTTATTTGGAGCGACAAATAAGTGGCCCCACTCCTGAAGATCACGCTGGAGTACAAAACTTCGAAGTTAGCCGATCGACAGGACTGGGAGACTATTCGTTCTAAGTACGAGAACATCTATAAAAACTTTATAGCGGCCTACCCAAATGAGGAGGAAGAGGGTGAAACGTTTCCAACAGGCGACGCTGCCTCAATCTATGTCGAGAATAAATCATTCCCATAAGTTGAAGCCTGTTCGCTAAATTTGTCAATAAAGTTGTAAAAAAATTCCTCCATATTGTTTTGTTTTTCTCTTCTGGTGGGCGAGAAACGAGAATGCGCGCAAAATCTGATAGTACGGGTATGATGGGTATCCTGTTGTACGTGTCAACTTGAAAGACCAAGCAAATCGCATTGAATTTCTACATTTCAAATTTCTTTCCTTAAATAATACTACTGGGGTAGCTGAATTGGTCCTTAAAATAGGCCAAATACAAGCTAATTATCGGTCTGAAGGAAATCATTGGATCATTTGTCACAAGATATATGACAATTTTCAAACCATACCTAATTTTAAGGAAAATGAATCACTGCACATTTTGTTGCTGTAAATAGATGTTTTAGGCGTGCCTCTAAAAAAATTTGCTGACCACGCCTTTTATTTTGACCACGCCATTTTGCCGAAAAGATACTAGAATAATTTATTAATGCGATTGAAAAGTCATTCAAAATATCAGCATATTCTCCTTCAAATTAAAACTAAAAAAATAAACCAATCCTTGATTTTCTGCTTTTTATCTTTTCTTCATTTTTTATACTTCGACTCAGCTTCATTAATTTCTTCAGGGGGAGTACATTTGAAAACAAATCTTGTTTTGCAGAATTCTACAGAAAGTTTGACAGGCCTTTACGCAACTTAATATGTAATTCGCAAGCAGTTTTGATTCAATCATCACTCCTGTTTGTTTGACTATTTAGCCCTGGCTAATAGTGTATCTGGTATGTTTAGGGCCGCCGATAAAATCTGCAGGGCTTGCATCAAAACTGAAAGGCGTGGCCCCTGTGAGTAAATTGAGCATAAAAGTTTAGCAAACCTGCTCAAGATTAGCTCAAAATGCTTTTCAGATTTATTTGTCGCAGTCATTTTCTTGCATTTTTTGAAACGTTTTACCTTGAGGCATTGGGCATTTTGCCCCCCGCCCCCTCTTTTTTGATTGCCCTGGTTATGGACAGGCTACCGAATTCTTTTTAAGAGTTCAAAAAGGTTATCAATGCATAAGTTTTTATCATGTCACAAATTTGTTATCACTGCACCTTAACTTAGGTATTTTTCAAGCAAAGAGAATCGATCCGCAGAAAGCCAATAACTACGTTAAAGAGAGAGAGAGATAGATAGAGAGAGAGACTTGTAGCAAGTCCAAAAACTACATACCCCATTTCTCGAAAACGCCTTACTTCGTCCACGATTATAGTGGCATATGTGGCATATGAACTGATCATGTAAAAGATTTTCTAACAAAACCAAACCAGGAGGGGGCATGGCATACCTCCAGGAAACACCCAGAGAAGCTAACGCTAATCCGCCACTTAAGGTGCCGCAACAGTGACGGTTTCCCGGTCTCTGTCATTTAAATAATTACGAAAAAATACACCTGGAAAAACGCTGTACTACAAGATAGGATGGGGGTTTCGCAGTTTGAGTTCGAGAGTTTGATTCAACAAACCTATATGATATTGTCATAAAAACTCAAGCTATATTGATTACTTTCCTCTGACAACAGATTTGGTGAATGGGGTGTCGCAAGTTTCTCGTGGGACACCCCAGTATTGTTACATACAAAGGGCTTGTATAAATGCATAAATCTGTGAATTGCTTTCTGAAAATAAATTCTTTATTCAACTTTGTAGGAATTTTCAGAACCTTAGCTCTTGGAATCAAAAGGCCAGAAAATTATGCTATTTTGTGAGGATGTTGTGTTATTTTCCCACACAAGTACGAATATTATCCTCCTTTCTGTGGCAGTAAATGAGCTTTGCTTAATTCTGATTGTACCTTAAAAATATTACCCGTTATATTAGAGGAAGTCTTTGAGTGATCAAAAACATTAACCGACACTGTCTTCAACGTTTTAAAAAGTCGCTTGTATTTTCGGTAGCGAAAATGCAAAAAATTGAGAAGATACCTCAATCTCCAGTCTTCAGCTTTTTGTATAGAAAGTTCTACTTTCCAGAATATGAAAACAGGATATTTACACTTATTTTTTATAAGAAACTTGCTTTAATAACCGAGTAAACTCATTTTTTCTTTATAATAACACAGAGGCTCGGTATGCAATAAAAACCTGCGAAAATGGCGAAATCAACTCTCGAGCCTGAAACTACTGGCCAAAATTATCTGGTCTTTGTAAAAAAAAACTGTGTGATATTTGAAAGGTGATAGTTTGAAGGTTTGATTAAAATAAACCTCCTGAATGAATTTGGACTAGAATGAATGAATTGTGATGTAGTGTAAATATAGGACATACTGAGAAAAAGTATATTGTCAAGATATCAAAATATCTGTTCTTGCAAAAGGACCATCGAAACTGGCAAACTCGAAAATCAGTGGTGTAGTGCTATCAAAATAACAAAGGGGGCTCTTGCACAAAATGTTGCGAAATACAATAGCAAAAGTATAAATTTGCCAATTTTCGGTATAAACAAAGGGGGCTCAGCCCCCTGAACCCCTCTAGCACTACTCCCCTGTTGAATATGTACAAAAAACAAACGAGTGGGTTATCGGACATTCACTTTATTTGGATTCAAAGCAAAGAAGGAGGCGGGCAAACATTTACATAAACGCACATAATCCAGTCAACGTGTATTTATAAAGCTGAGAATCATAGTGTAAACAGCATATATGCAAATCAACTGCTAGGAAACAGGAAAGTCCGTATGACCAAAGATAATGGAAGTGTGATGCATACTAAGCAAAGAGACTGCCCCTTTTGATCATGTTGGTAAACAGTGTAGGCTGTGGTTTCTCAACGCAAAGACTCTTTTTTACAAGAATATATTGTTTATAAGAATATTCAGGCTCAGGATCTAAGTTTTAAGAAGATCACAAGAATATCGCTCAGCCACAGTTCGCATTTTTGTGTCTTCTTTTTCAGTAGTTTTGCGATGTTCATAACAGGGAATCTCAGAACTGACAGAAGAAAATCATATCAGATTTGAACAAGAATGCTCTAAGAATATTACAGGTTCAAAACGAACATATCGAGATAGGAAAAACATATAGTATTCTTACGAAAAAAAGAGTGTGCTCAAAAAATGAACTAGCACATTCTTCAATAGCATAAACTTCATATAATGTTTAAGGGACAGTCTAAATGGGTGGTTAGTAAAAAGAGATGAGCAAAAAAGAAGACATCACATTAAAGAACATAATTTAAGATATGGAATATTGAAATTGATGTAAAATTTGGGGTCTGTAAAATATATGAATTTCTTAAATAAACAATTTCACATTTTTAGTATATATATCCAAAAGCCAGTCTAGACCATACATAACACACTAAAGCCCTGTTTACACTACAACTTTTAACCTGGGTTGAGCCTGGGTTAACGTTAACCTGGGTTAGAAATTTTGTAGTGTAAACGCAGCTAACCTGGGTTGAACCTGGGTTAAGCCAAACCTAAACCCTGTTTACACTACAACTTTTAACCTGGGTTGAGCCTGGGTTAACGTTAACCTGGGTTGGAAATTTTGTAGTGTAAACGCACCTAACCTGGGTTGAGCCTGGGTTAAGCCAACCCTAAGCCCTGTTTACACTACAACTTTTAACCTGGGTTGAGCCTGGGTTAACGTTAACCTGGGTTAGAAATTCTGTAGTGTAAACGCAGCTTTAACCAACGAACTAGTGCTGCGACGGTACACAAACATGACATGGGATGTATAAAATAAAGAAATGAATGCCGAGCTTTATTTGAACAGACAAAAATTAACCGAACTCTTTTAAATTGCTGGAAAGACATTTCAAATTGAGCCGCTAAATTCTAAAAGGAATGCGATATTTAAAGTTAGTCATATCAAAATCTGAACACTTTGATTTTATGGTACAGCATTTGCATACGATAATTGTGTTATTGGTTAAGAGCAGGATGCTAAAACAATAAAAAAAACTCAAAACGAACTTCTTAATGCTATTAAAAAAGTCTCAGTAGTAATAAAGCAAGAAGGCTTGGTTACAGAAAATGGGCCTTACTTGAGATTCTTGAGAAAAACAAACCAAAAGTTTCCTACAACTGAACTTCAGCATCCCAATTCTAAGCATTTCCAAATGACATGCTTTAGTAGGTCCCATATTGTTTGAAACTTACATAAAAATTCCCCGAATGCTAGGCAGTTTTGCATTATTTTTAAATTTTCATTATTTCAGCAAGCAAGCAATTTGCATTATTTTATATTTGCCGAATGACTGTTTGGAAATCCCCTTTGCAAGGTCTTTGCTAAATCCCAGTGGCAAAAGTAATGCGAAGGGTGTACGGGAATGCACTCTAGAGAAAAGGGGATAGACACAAGGCCCACGCCACGAGTTTGGGGGGGGGGGCAAAGTCTAGCAAAAGTAGGGGACCAGGGCTTTTCGCCCTTTTACTGCAGCTTTGAGACTATTTGATTCGCAAAAAAGTGGGGGGGGGCATGGCTCGGTAGCGTGGGCCCTGAGACATCAAATTAAGGGTGCACAGATTTCATCATGAGTATAACCTAATGAAAGTTATTGGTCTACCTTTATTGGTCTATCAGAAAGTGCTCGATGCCGTAGACGCAGAGCTGTATAGTCTGTTTTGTATTAAACCATCTTGTTCTAGACATCAAATACCTTATTACATCAAACTAAAGGAGTGCACTAATTAACGTCAATTGGATCTCACGGACGTTAATTATTGCACGACGTTAATTTTCTGTGACGTTACTTTCAGACTAGTTGAAAATTTCAATAGTTTCCACGTTAGTGGAAAATCCATGAATAACGCAGAAAGTAAAACAGAAACATCAACAAAAATGTAAAAAGGATTTCTAGTGTTTCAGCAATACAAACACATGGTTACATAGGATTAACAAAACAAAACAGTAAATAAAATAAATGTTATTCAAGATAGTGATGGTGACGAAAATTAATGACGATTTAAAGGTGAAACATGTGCCTCTTTTACATTAACATTATGTTTGAATTTTTTTCTCTCTATAATAACCTCATTTACCTCAAAGGAGGCTATGAAAGGTTAGGTATACCTTGTGGTTGGGGGGGGGGTGCTTTGGGGATATACTTTTGAAAATAAGGAGCAGCTATTTCCTCACAACAACTCTTAGTCAATCGAATACATCTAGACACAATAAAAATTTCATTTGTCTAGGTGTGAACGTTAATTAATGTCTCCTGAAAAACGTTTTTGCCTAATCGGACGTTAATTAAAGCCCCCGTTAATTTTAGCCCCGTTAAATACAGTCCACCTTTAATAATTTGATGTAATAAGGTAGCATAATTATTATGAAATTTTGAAAAATGCGAGAAAAATCCCCTCTCTCTCTTAGTTTGAACTGCCTAAGGTATGTTGTATATGGCATTCAAGAAAGAAAGCAAATCCAATTTTTAATAGAGGGCCTATTGTGCCCCTCTTGCCTACATTCTCGTAGCAGTGGGGCAGGTTTTCTCAGAAAAGGGTCGACACGGTTTTTGCGGATCAACAATTTTCCCCTGCCCTAAGCTCTCCAAACTTTAACTTTAAAATCATCAATGATAAAAGGTTAATAATATACCAAAACCCTGGAATCATCAAAGATCTATACTTTTTTGTGCAGAAATATTAACAAATTTATGATTATCAAAAGCAAATAATTGCTCTGTAAATCTGAGTACAAAATGTATCTATATAAATTCAAGATAATTCACTCATATAACTACAAATTAATAAATAAATCATAAAAAGCATTTTTGTCTGCAAAATTTCGACAAATTCATTTGAGGCTTGTATAAATTGATATGGCATCAGAATTTTTTTGGCAAAATTCACTCAGAGATAGAAACATTGAATTAAAATGAGGGAAATATAGTAGAGAAGAGAAAAATTCAGAAGAGGAAAGGAGAGAAGAAATCAAATCAAAACAAAATACTTTTTGCTTCAGCAAAGTTAAAGAATTTTTAATTCAAACATCAAATGTTCTTCAGTGTCTTAAAAACATATATTAAATTTTGTGCAAAATGATAACAAGATAACGATTTGATTCTCATGTAAAGCTCTTTTTCCCCGCTATCAAAAATATAAAGTACTCTGTTTGATTTCAAATATTTAGAAATGAGGCAAATGAATTTTAATATTTACATAAACTGGGCATTTACATAATTTCAATATTTTTTATAAGATCGACAGTTTATAAGTAACAACTTGACATATTTCAAACAATAATTTTCATATTGATATCTACTCATAAGCTTTTTCTTAATCTAAATCGCTTCGTTTAATCTTTATCTACTTTATACATTACCTGCATCCGTCACCCTATGGATATACAGCATAGTCGAAGATATAAAGATTTGGTTATCATTTATGTCGAATGTTGTTTCTGCAATACTCACTTTATTCTTTAATTATTCAGAATATTCACCATTTCTTCAGACTCGACCATCTGATGGGGCAGTGTATCCTTATGTCTCCTCGTATTCAGACCAGCATCCTGTTGGCAAATATGACATATCGTAACTCCCGCTGAGTACCAAGAACACAGACTACACAAAGGAGTCATACTTTCATCATTCTTGTTCGTTTCATTTTCATTTCTTGTGTTCATCTAGGCAATACCAAAAGCCACGCCAAGACCACAACCTTGCAATCAAGGATGTCGGAAGCGAGGGGCAAAATGATCTTTCAGAAGGAGTTATTGCCCCTTTCAAGTTGATTTTAAATTGTTGCAGTACCCTTTTTGGCAAAACTTTTGTTGAACATGCAGGGATGCCGGATTATTCAGGGACGCAGGGCAAGGGGGCAGACTTTCGCTGAAGGCATGAAGATGGTAGACGAGGGAGGCGTGTTGCCGTGTGAAAGGCAGAGAATTTAGCCTTGTTTTGAGAAATAACCTCGTCAAGTAATACTGTCACGTTATCTAAAGCGAAATGTTGGAAATGTAGGAGCCCTATGTGAATGATGGGCATGGAGCATTCGCTGCTCGCCGTACGCTAGGATTCCAGGGCACAAAGACTAAAACGGCATTTTCTACCACCCTTCTAGCCTGTGAACCTTTTACTTCAGGTTGGGAGCAAAGGAGCACAGGCTACCACCAGAGGTGTAGTGCTAGCCCCTCTTGTTGATGCCGAAAAGTAGCCATGTCTACTTTTGCTATTGTTTTTTGCAACATTTTGCGCAAGAGCCCCCTTGTTTTTCTCATAGCACTACCTCTCTGGCTACCACCCTTCTACCCCCTCTGCCCCCTGGTTCCGGCATCGCTGTAAACATTTTAAGCGCACTTCTAGAAGTCTTACCCTCCTAAGTTATAAATGCTTCTTATGTCCTTGCTTGTGACTTCAAAATGTTAAAGAAAACATTTTTTAATTGCAACCAATTAACACTATCCTGAGGTACAGGGGTGAAGACATATCGAAACGAACCAATAGAAAGTGGCGAAAATTATCAGTGGAAAGGTCATTAATCTGCGAATAACAGAAAAATATCTTGCTCTTATACTTGTAAAAAAAATTATTGAAAATGAGTCGAATTTTATATCACCAGCTTCATCAAATTCTTGAATTTTCTACACCACAGCGTGGACATCGAGAGAGCAACGTAGAGAGAAACCCCGTTCAAACAATTTCCGAAGAGACAAATTCGTGTTACAGACAAACTGTCAAATCAAACATGTGTGAAAATAGACTTTTGATTTTAATTGAGTAATCTATATAAATTACTTAAACTTGATATTAAAATTTCTGAAAGCAAATTAATATAAATTGCCCTCAGCAGAAAAAAATTAAAACAAAAAAGTTGCCAAATATTGGACATTTTGAGTAAATAGATGCAATATTCACCAGTTCAAATAGACATTGACCTCGCCAATGAACAATACAAGTTCACCTGCTGAGACTGGCGGGCGGACAATAGAAAACAAAAGCTTACAGTTGCTGATTGTAGTTTAATTGTTGGCCTAAGCCAAAAGATGACAAAGGCCACGTGCTAGATCGATTTTCTAATTGCAGATCTCGATGCGGTATTGTTTGTAGTTCCGGGCGACACGTGCCGCGTTTTAACGATATACAAATTACTTTGGAATAACACGCAAACATTGATTCGCTTGAGAGATTGACATGCGCCGAAAGAACACGATAACGTAACCATTTGGCTCCAATTTTTATGAGGCTTTTAACGCATGAATGGGTACCGTGCTTTGTGAGTTGTAAAGGGCAACCCGCGAAAGAGGGGCTACTCCTGTCCTGTCAATTCAACACGTTCACAAACACGCAAAGGGGGATCCACAGAATATTCATAGTGGTAGTTACAACAAAGACGCATGATTTGGCACACAGAGGCGAGGGACTGGAGCTGAACGCTCGTTTAGAAAAATATATACCATTGGGCTCGAGTGTTCTGAAAGTTTCGAGTGTTTATGTTGTATTCAAATGAAAACTTTTGCAAAAATAATGCTAGGTTCAATGAAATCAATATAAAAAAACCTAGAAAACTTTCCTCGTTCGAATCAGGGGTAATTGATATACCTAGAAATTGAAAAAGACGCACTGCAAACTTTGTTGAAACATATCAGTGTCACAAAGTCTAAACATCTTATTTCAACCGATGGCAGTGTTTCTCCTTCTTCGAATTCATACACGCGAACATTATTTTATTCGTTAAAGACAACGCTTGGCCTAAAATCCCACACCTGTATCCAGTTTTATTATGACCATGAATTTAGCGATTAGGTCAGTTTGTCTATATTTCTATAAGTAATTATTTGGAATTATGTGCGAGAATGTTGCGGAGGAGAGACGGAAGGAATGCGGTAAGAGAGAGAAAATGGTTTTTTGTGAATAAGGGAGAGAAGACTCATCAGTGAGATAGGATTCGCTTTGCAGTTCGTTATTGTGGAAAAAATGTTTTGTGTGTTTTTGTGGAAATTGAAGAAGAGGGAGAAAAGAAATATAAATTCGATTGTTATTACTGTGTAAACCCTCGCCGCATCACAAATGCTCACTTTTCTGTGGTTAGACTCTAAGGAAGTAAGGAAAATGCAACAAAACTTCAGTAAATTGATTTTAAATCACTTGTTTGTGATGAATTTCTAAAAAAAACTTGAAAAAACAAGGATCTAAGATAAACACGAAAGGAGCCACAATGATGAAATTGGGTCGGAATAAATGAAAGCTAGATAAAACTCTGGTGTTAAATACAAATATAATTGTTGTGAAAGACTACAAAGTGGAAGAAAAGAAGCAACCTTCAAAGAATAATATTTCTAGCATGAATTCTTACTTATTTATCAAATGGTTTTATCAACACAAGATTAGAGTTTATCTACTTAGATCGGAATACCTGAGTTTTGAGATTTTGTCTAGAAAAAACTCGAGTTTATCAGGCAAGATTTTTCATTATAAAATGGAGGAAATTAAAATCTTGCGAAATTGTAAATAGGCGTGATTGTAAATTGTATATTGGAAATTACCATTTCGCCTTTCGTTATAGATATTTGTAGTAAAATTAAACTCAAGTTAAAATAGGATTTATTTTAGATTGTAAATATTGAATTGTAATTAGGATAATTTGTTTTTTATAATAAATTCTGTAAATATTTTAAGTGGAGGGCCCCTTGAAAATCAGCATTGCTGAAGGGCTACTCTCCTTAAACATTTGAAATGAAATGAAATAAAATGAAATGAAATGAATGAGGGGGAACGCCGCGGCAGAGCGCCGTTACGAATCCTAAAATAATTGAGCTGCAGCGTCATACTACCTACCCAAGCAAACAGTAGCGTTATGCCACTTAAACATCGGTATTATTTTAGTTATAAGTATAAATAGCCAATATTTTCATTGGAAAATATAGCAAATAATTTGGTTAGGCGTTCAACACTTGTCTCAACCAAGGTTCGAATGAGTATGAAAGTGATTAAAGTCACATGAAGATATCGCAATTGCATTTCGGACGTTTGCTTATATAAATTGGGCATGTATAGTTCGAGGATCCTTTTGTTCGTGATTGTGCAGTACCGTAAGAAGGATATTGTTCATTGGTCAGAATAGAGAGAAGAATTTTAGAAGAAGTAAATGCATATGGTTACCCATGTCATCTACTATTATCTGAAAACGAAAGCAAACCAAATGGTTTAACGTTATGGAAGATTCAGAAAAATGGAGTGGCAAATCGGCAAGCCGTGTAGCAAAATGGAAACAAAAAAGTGGACAGTGAAGATACCAATTTCAATAATGAGGATGCGAAAGACTTAAAAAGGGACGAAAAGGTGACCTGTAGAACATCGCACACATCACTTAAATGAGATGCATTAAGTATAACGCAAATAGTTAAATGTTCAATGCAGAGATGTCTTAAAAAGCACAAAATGTGATATTTTTCTGAAAAACGCCAATCTAGCGCTGTTTTTGATTTTTTACTTTTGTGTTATGCTTCTTAAGAATTTACCACTACATCACTGCATTAAGAGCCGAACATTTACACCGATCAAAACTTTACAACCTTTGAAACTTAACAAAGATTAAACTAGCAAAACATTTACACAAAACATAGTCTTTAAAGTTCATCTAGACTCAAGGATAATCAACTTGTCTAAGGAGAATAAAGAAGAATCAGCTGTGTAATGGGATACATTTATCATAGTTGCTACCCTCTTGATCCCAGTTTCCTCTCAACCTAGCTTCTTGGACTTTTCATACCATTAACCATTGGAAGACTTCTCATAAAATAAGGAACACATTTTGGTATGGGGGTGGAGGGGTGCTCTAGGGTGTGGAAATTCTTTTTTATGAAATCATCGTTAAATAAATGAGCAATCGAAATTGACAACAGATTGGCTTTAAAGATCTCTAGCAACTGTAAATTATCATTGATTGCAGGTATACATAGTAAAAACAAACCTCTTTCACAATTTGTAGTGAAACACTTGTGACACAATTGACTTCCCTACTTTCTCCAAATCAGGCATCTCCAGTAAGAGAAACTGAAATTTCTGTTCCTTTATGCTCATAAATCCAACACAGAAAGTCCGTGCAGTGGATGTGACAACAAGATCAAGGGTAAAAGATGATTCTGGCTGGCTCATACTTGATTTATTGTTTACTTGATCTGAGAAGAAAAATATTCAGATACTGTATTCACAAGTAACTACCTAGAACAGCAGGGGAGGGAAATTTCTGTGGGTTTGTCCCAAAAAATATACCAGAGCAGTCCTAAGAAGGGGCAAAGGGACGCAACAATCATAAACCTCATTAGCAATTTAGAAGCAATTGGTAGATTTTGTTATCATGAATCATGATTGTCTTTCTTTCAAAACTCTTTATATTGGTTTAAATTCTTGGTTGACCAATTTTTCATTTCAAAAAAACCTTGTTTGCTTAAAAAATAAAAAATTGCCTGTTCTTAAAGTGAAATTAACCTCGCCAAAATAAGACATATCTTATCTGCTTACTGTTGAACAAAATACTAATACTTACATGAAACATCTCTTTTAACTGAATTATAACCATCTTTGCCTAATCCCTCAAAAGGTTTGGTGTCCTTTGTTAATTTGATGGCAATACAACCAGCAAGTTTGTTATCAACTCCCTTTAAGATCTTTGAGTTTAGAAAAGTACTTTCAAGTAAATTTGAATGATTTATCATCTCTAAATCATCAAAGTCATCACCGCAACTACTATCTAACTTATGCCATTCATCCACAAAGCTCTTGGCAAGTGTAGTCTTGATCAAGTGCTCCCCGCAACCTGAGATACTACTTGCATAGACAACATGCCTTTGTCTTGATTCTCTGTCAGACGTGTAGCACCCACAACCAAAACATGCTGCTTGACCAACTCTGCCAGAACGTTTAAGAATAAGACCTCCACTTGATGCAGCTGTACAAACATTTCCATATGTGTCAACACAAATTGCACCAACTGTATCAAGTCTATCCTCTAAGTTAAAAGTTACATCTTTCCTATCTTCCTTTAATTTGTGTGCCTTGCAACTGATACCATCTTCATTGGAATTGGGAAAAACAGACTTTCTTTTTAAACCAAAATGTTCCTGTTTAGTTTCTAAATTGCTCGTGTCTGATGAATCTTTACAATTTGAGTTACAATGATGAGATCTCATGACAGCTTTTGCTTTTTTGAAAGTCTCAAAAGCGTCTCTACTCACAAGCTCTTTATTATCTGAAATTTGGATGCCTTTTTCTAATGCATATATTTGTGCCCCTTGCCCTGCCAATATCATTGGTGGCTCTAATCCATTTAGGTTTTTACTTTGATCTATAAGCAACTCATATGCTACTCTAATCGGGTTTCTCACACCCTCTATACAAGCAACAGCAGCAAAATTCCTGGTGCTACTCTCCATTAAACCTGCATCACATTGTATCAATCCATTTTCTGTTAAGTTAGAGCCAAACCCTGCATTTGTCAAATCACTCTGTTCTAGTATGCTGACAACTTCATTGGTGATATATGAAGCAGCATGGCCCTCTTTTGTCAATCTAGAGGCAACTCTGCATGCTTGTTTACACAATGATTTGTATTGTGCCATTTTGAGTTTGGAATGATACCCTGCTCCAAGGTGAACAATAACAAATCCAGGCACTTGATATTTTCTGGAATCCATAGCTAGTAGAGAACAAAACTTAAATTAATTATGGAAGTAGGAAATAATAAATGCCAAAATGTACAATTTCATGAGGGTTGTACTATAGGGCAGGTAAAATGTAGGGGTCTACCGGATCAGGATTTTCAGAACCTGGCCGGTGCCGGATATTCCACGAAGAAATCCGGCAAATCCGGTTCTGGTCAGATTCTGAAAATCCTGATCCGGTTTTTACCGGATAATCTGGCCATTTATGGATTTTTCAGTTATAAAAAGTTTTGAGCCACTTTGCAAAATAATGTTTAGCGAGAAGATCAAAGAGACCCATTCAGGGTTGCCAGATTGAATTTACAAACTAAGGCTAGACTGGTGAGCAATTTAAGCCAAAATGCTCATAAAAAGGCCAAATCAAAAACTTTCTCAAGAATCCATCAAGCAGGAACTGATTATATTTCTACGCTTAGATAAGAATCTTACTTTTTTCCAAAACCCTTTGCTAATATCAAGATAATATTTAGGTTAGATGATAAAAATTGAAATTTGGTTAACACTTTGTAGTTAACTACTAATTATTCCATGAATGTAGTAATTACTCATTAATTTTAGACGTTCTGCTGAAAAGGCCAAGAAGGTCAAATTTAAGTAGTAAGCAAAAAACAATTTTTCCAGGCAATCTAAATTTAAAAACCAAAAATGAAAAATTTGGCCTCTGGTCGGCAACTGGCCGGAATTCGGAATTCACTGGCAACTGGATTTTCAAAAATCGGTGATCCAACGCCGGATTATCCGGCCTAACAGATATCCGGTACATCCCTAGTAAGATGGCGTAGAATTTAAATTAATTGGCTATGAAACAACATTGGCAAAAATATTGAAATGGAGGGAAACCCCCTACTATTTGTGTCTATTTGTGTTTTATTTGGATCAATACTATCATATTCAATGTGGATATGCTTTTGAACTTCTAAAGAAGTTGTGAAGAAGTACCAGACATAGGAAACCACTTTCTTTTCACATGTAAAAATGGATAAAACATTGGAGAATTTAGTATTTTCTTAAACAGCAGCTTGCTCTACTAAAAATTATAAAAATGTTGACAAAATCACAAAATTTACATGTTTAATTTTAGAAGATCTTTTGCACAGAGCACGAGGGACACAAAACTTCAGCACATATTAGCATTATTTTAGGGGAGCGATTCTCCCTTCATGTTCTGTTTAGGAGAGCAATTCATAGCTCGCCTCAAACGGCCAGGCCATTTGGAAGCATCCAATGGTTACGACAACCTGCAAAAAGTGTTTGGGTGTAATGGGTGTTTAACCAAAGTAGTAGGCGTTACCAAAGAATTAAGAGGGCAAGGCAAACAAAGGGTCCGCCTGTGGCCTTGAGATCCGCCTGTGGCCTTGCGATCGGGTCCGCCTGCAGGATATGTGATCTCAACCCATGGATAACATGGAGCCCATGTTATCAATCCGGAGCCCATGGATAACAGAGGCTATCCATGGGCTCCGGTACCAGTGTTAGAGATCACAGAGCAGCCCAAACATTTTCACCCCATTTAAAATAAACTCACTCACTTTCAAAACTGAAACCTTATAGGTCTGCTTATGTCTAATGTTTTAATCAAAAGGCTTTTAAGGAGAAGGGGACTCAAGGCAAATGCAAGCGGCGACCAGCTCACAATTTCCACTAACATCATTCATTTTGAAACAATTCCACTGGGCTATCTGTGTAGATTCTGCTTTACTAAAATGAAAATTGAATAAATTTTTAAGTGGCCCCAAGACCTTGAAAATGCAGGAAATATATGCTGTACTTTCTCAACATACCATCCGCCATTTTCGTAAGTTTTTCGTTCCGTTGTTGCTGCAGTTTGTCGAAACGAAAACGAGGTCTTATATACTGGTCTTGACTCTTGAGAAAAATGGCGTCCGCATTGGCAAGGATTGCTGTCCGGAATGTTGCTCTTCCGAGACGAGTCTTGGGGGCTACCACACAAATGATATCAAGATTAGGTATCTGAGTTGTTATATGTTCCGTGAAATTCCTGTTGTATTTTCTTTTTTATTCTAATTAATGTTTACGATGCTTGATGCATGTCAGCAATTTTAGGATGGTTACTTTCCACTCTCGCTAAGGAGTTACGCGCAATTCTAAAAATCAGAGTTAAAGATCAGATCGTTTTCAGATCCTTTAAAAGAATTCGTTTTACCGTATTATAGTAAACCAAAAATTTGCTTAAAGTAAATGCAGTTTTTGGAAATTTTTGAAACAAAAGCATGAACCAGTTTAACAATTATTTTTTCTGCTATCAGATGCAGTTTTAATTACTAGTTAGTAAAATTATTACCATATTGAATCCTCTATATTATTTTCAAAGGTTCCACTGCACCACCAACACCACCTGTGACTCCTGTGAGTGGGCCTGATTGGGAAGACAAAGGCTGGAAAAATGATGGCATGGGTATAGGCGATTATCCAAATTTGCCTGAGCATTCACAACAGTTACGAAACCCTTACCTCACTTACTGGGATCAGCAAGATAGGAGAAACTTTGGAGAACCAGTGAGTGACATTTTATAGAAATTGAATCTTTGACTCTACTTTTAGTATTTTTGTGTATATTTAAAACTTGTTAGGTTTTTCATGAAAAAGAGCAAGACTTTCTAATAACAGCAACATTGCTATTTATTTTTATAACAATTCCAAAGAACATGTCTTCAAATCCAGACTTCCCTCATAAGAATATTTATCCTTTATTTCAGTTAGGTTTGTCCGTGTTAACTGAATTTTTCTTTATATATGTTTTTTGAAATTTCAGAACAAAATGAGAGCTTAGAATTATAACAGGTGGGTTAATTGTAAACATAAATTATTTTATTAACAAAACATTTTATTGTCTTAAGCTCCATGAAGAAGATGATGCAATTGGCATGTGGATGCCAGACAGACATGATGAATCAACAACAACTGTGTAAGTTTACTTCTTATCTGTGAGGTTGAGATATTATTTATTTTTGGTTGTTAGTAAATAAGCAGTAGTCTTCTTGATCAGTGGCATTGCCCTCTAAAAAAAGTGCAGGGAGAGGTCTTGGGACATTAGCACCCAGGAAAAATGTGTGGCTGTTTATATAAAATGAGGCAACACCCTTTGAATATACTGGAATCAAATGTCTTCCTGTTTCAAAATGCAGCCATACATACATTTTTCAATTTTATTGATCTATCTGCCCCAACCAAAATGTTAGACTTGTGTTTTTGGAAAAAAATTACCCAGCTTTCTTGAAAAGATGGGGTTTGAAGACCATATTATATGTTCCCTTACTTTCATTAATGAATTTCATTTATTTTAAAAACCATGGCATACTACTTTCAGAAGCCATATGTCCATATAGATTGCAACTGCATGCATCTTGATTAAAACTACTGAGATGAAATGCTGGCATGAATCTAACTGATCTGGAATTTGGTTGGTTTAGACCAAACTACATTCCCCTCTACAGATAAACTCCCTTTAATTTCTATGTACTTTTAAGAAAAGAAATAATTCTTTTATATTTTACAGTGCCGAGGCCTGTAGAAACCTTGCCATTGCATTTGGTCTGCTTGGCTTTGTCTACTATCTGTCAACATTCTACAATGAAGAGAATTCTAGTGAAGTGGTAAGAACATATCTTTATGCATACATTTTTGTGAGTATGTATCGCAGTCTAATGTTGTTAATGTTTTTCCTTGATCATATTGAAAATAATGAACATCAAAAAATGTCTAGATAGAACATAATTTTTTCAGTAGCTACCAAAAGGTTCTGATATATGATAATTGCCAAATATGTTTATAAAAAAACACTATATATAGACTGAGAAAAATAGTTTGTAAAAGGTTATTTTTAATTAAGTCATCAAAAAACTTTACACCTTATTCAATTATATGCTATTCACATAAGGCTTTTTTACAGCCACAATTTTTTCTATAGTCAAATTTTTTTAAATATGATTCTTTCAATGATGTCTATTATCAAACTGTTTTGCTGGCTCAGTATAGGAATGCAGTTTTGTTGATATTCATGATTATCCAAAATACCAAGATTCTAGGTAATGAAATACCAAAATTTATGTACTTTTTTTAAATTTGCTCTGGTTGATTTTTAGGTTCCCAGAATGTATCCATTCAACAATCTTTATCTGGAAAATGGGGGTGACCCAAACGCAGATCCAAGCACACAACCTGTTAAGCGTATCACAAAGTCAGTTTATGGTTACTAGAGTGGACTGTAGATGTATATATAACAATTATTTGTAATTTCTGTGTTGAAATAATCATTCTGATTGCTTGATTATTTGAAAATTTTTTGTTGCTTATCTGATTGCTGTCGACCGACTCATCACTGTGACGTCACAAACTGGCCTTGATTTTTGCAAGCAATACCTAATTTCAAACTCTGATTAAACACACTTTTGCTGGTCAAATTATGACAATTTTTGTGTCAAAAGTATCGGAAAAGATGGGAAAATAAAACTCTTAAAAAAAAGCAGGACATAAAATTTCGCTGCATAGACACTTTAAAGCATTTAGGCAGAGCAAGTCTGATCTAGAGATTCCATGTGTAGGAGCAATATTTTAATTTAAGGAAGCTGCAAGAAGAGAGTTTGATGTGTTTCTGACCTCTCTCTCTATACCAAACGGATATTGTTTTGCAACAGTATGTAGAAGGCTGCACTAAGGTTGCAAGTAAAAAATTATCTTCCATGGGTTTGACTTCAAGTGGGCAATCTTTCAATGATAATGGACCTACTTTTCTAAAATCATGATTTGTCAGTCATTGCCTCTAAAATGTTCGACAAAAAATTGTTGTTAAGAATTCTTCCTCACATTAAACAAAACCAAATTAAACCGCCAAGGTATATGGGTATACACGCTCGCACCGTTTTTATTCATTGTGAAACTGAATTATGTTTCATGGCTTGCAAGACAAAGTAGACTATATCCAGAAATGACAATGACTGACACAGATTATGCTGATGACATAGTCCTTAACCCTAATACAATCATTGAAGCTAAACTGCTTCTGCAAAGAGTGAAATAAGCAGCAAAACTGGAAGAATTACATGCAAACAAAAAACTGAATACACGGGATGGTTTTGAATCAACCTTGTGGTTGTGGATGCAGAGGACAGAAACTGATGCCAACGTACGAATAGGCATGTACAGCGATAAACAGAATGGCAAAAATTTTAGATTCAGGAAGACAGGAATCCTAGCCAAAAGTTATTGGACTGGCTGGCCAATTGTTGAAAAAATACGCTCCTTTCCCCCACAGTCAATGTTAATACACTTATTTCTACTCATTTCAACTGCTGTTACCTGGGTATTTTCCAGAAAGAGCAGGGCAATTTTTGTATGGTTTTAAGTACATTTTGGAAATTAATGGGGACACTCCATAGCCTTTTCCCCGCTTCCGCAACCCTGCATGTCCTTTGTTGACTTTTTTTAAAAAAAACCAGTAAATTGGGGCTAAAACACATTTTAGGGTGGGGGATAAACATGCTAGAAACCAAGAGAAGGGCGATTTATGTATGGTTTTAAGTACATTTTGGAAATTAATGGGGACACCCGTAGCCTCCTCCCCGCTTCCGCAACCCTGAATGTCCTTTGTTGACTTTTTTTAAAAAAAATTAGTAAATTGGGGCTAAAACACTTTTTAGGGCGGGAGATAAACATTCTAGAAACCAAGAGCAGGGCGATTTTTTCATGGTTTTAAGTACATTTTGGAAATTAATGGGGACACCCGTAGCCTCCTCCCCGCTTCCGCAACCCTGAATGTCCTTTGTTGACTTTTTTTAAAAAAAATTAGTAAATTGGGGCTAAAACACTTTTTAGGGCGGGGGATAAACATTCTAGAAACCAAGAGCAGGGCGATTTTTTCATGGTTTTAAGTACATTTTGGAAATTAATGGGGACACCCGTAGCCTCCTCCCCGCTTCCGCAACCCTGAATGTCCTTTGTTGACTTTTTTAAAAAAAACTAGTAAATGGTGGCTAAAACACTCTTTGGGGCGGGGGATAAACATGCTAGAAACCAAGAGCAGGGCGATTTTTGTACGGTTTTAAGTATATTTTGGAAATTAATGGGGACACTCCGTAGCCTCCTCCCCGCTTCTGCGGCCCCTGCATGTCCTTTGTTGACTTTTTTTTAAAAAAGCTAGTAAATGGGGGCTTAAACACTTTTTAGGGCGGGGGATAAACATTCTAGAAACCAAGAGCAGGGCGATTTTTGTACGGTTTTAAGTATATTTTGGAAATTAATGGGGACACTCCGTAGCCTCCTCCCCGCTTCTGCGGCCCCTGCATGTCCTTTGTTGACTTTTTTTTAAAAAAACTAGTAAATGGGGGCTAAAACACTTTTTACGGCGGGAGATAAACATGCTTGAAACCAAGAGCAGGGCAATTTTTTTTATTGTTTTAAGAACATTCTGGAAATTGAAGGGGACACTCCGTAGCCTCCTCCCCGCTTCTGCGGCCCCTGCATGTCCTTTGTTGACTTTTTTTAAAAAAAACTAGTAAATGGGGGCTAAAACACTCTTTGGGGCGGGGGATAAACATGCTTGAAACCAAGAGCAGGGCAATTTTTTTTATTGTTTTAAGAACATTCTGGAAATTGAAGGGGACACTCCGTAGCCTCCTCCCCGCTTCTGCGGCCCCTGCATGTCCTTTGTTGACTTTTTTTAAAAAAAACTAGTAAATGGGGGCTAAAACACTCTTTGGGGCGGGGGATAAACATGCTTGAAACCAAGAGCAGGGCAATTTTTTTTATTGTTTTAAGAACATTCTGGAAATTGAAGGGGACACTCCGTAGCCTCCTCCCCGCTTCTGCGGCCCCTGCATGTCCTTTGTTGACTTTTTTTAAAAAAAACTAGTAAATGGGGGCTAAAACACTCTTTGGGGCGGGGGATAAACATGCTTGAAACCAAGAGCAGGGCAATTTTTTTTATTGTTTTAAGAACATTCTGGAAATTGAAGGGGACACTCCGTAGCCTCCTCCCCGCTTCTGCGGCCCCTGCATGTCCTTTGTTGACTTTTTTTAAAAAAAACTAGTAAATGGGGGCTAAAACACTCTTTGGGGCGGGGGATAAACATGCTAGAAACGAAGAGCAGGGCGATTTTTGTATGTTTTTAAGTACATTTTGGAAATTCATGGGGACACTCCGTAGCCTCCTCCTTGCTTCTGCGGCCCCTGCATGTCCTTTGTTGACTTCTTTTTAAAAAAAATAGTAAATTGACTACTGGCTTGAGAGTTATCATCTTTTAGTATCGAATAGCATTCTGATAAATGGGAGTTTCCCTAGATTGCGGAAAATTTTCTTTCTAACCGACATTGCTTCCTTTAAAGTGCCCAGATATTGCTTCCTTTCATCTCATTCATTCCATTTATCCTACTTCTTTTACACTCTTCTTTTAATCCTTTCTTGGATGGAAATATATAAATACGGATTACAGTAGCAAAATTTAACTACTTACATTTCAACTCCAAGTTTCTGCGTATCAATTAACTTGACCGTCTTTCGATCTTGATAAACATCAGCCTGGAATGAACGAAATCTAGGGTGAAACAATCGAACAAGCTAAAAAATTATTCACAGCATTAATAATAAATTGACAGTGATATATTCAGCTTTAATAGGGTTAACAGAAGTAATAAATGTTCTTGATAAAACCCATAATAAAAACGCCATATTCTAAAAACTTACATATATGAGAAACACCCAAGCAACGAGGTTTGACATATACATTTTTGTGGATGAGTTTTTGGCCTGTTGAATCTTAGTTTGCTTCTTCATCAACCGAACTAGTAAAAAACTGTTTACCGATCTGTCAGAATGTGTTCTATGCGGTATTGAGCTGTATAGTTCAGCAATGAATATCAACGAACTACAGTTAAAACAGTTCTACACACTACCAAATAATGCGGAACAAAATACGAATACTAAGAAATACCAAATAATAATGCAATGAATTAATCTAAATATCACAGAAGAAGGTCTTTACACGATTGTAATTCAGGTTTAGTAATCGAGAAAGACACTCCGACCCCCCCCCCCCCCCCGCCCAAAAAAGCAAATTATCAAAATCAAAGGAAACTGTTGTCCAGATTCGTTCCAAATAGGCCAATCGAGTACAGGAAAAATTTATTAAGAAATAACTATACATGAGTAAACGAACTTAGTTTTAAATGTTGAGAAAAGTAATGCATTTAGGCTAGCACGCATGAAGCAGAAATAGAGAAAGTGTCATACTTTAAGCCAAAATAAGTTTGGCAAGACAGTTATCATTAGGCGTTTGAACTTGTTCCTCTAAGGTTGCCAGATCAGGTTGCTGGATGGGGAGAGGGTGAGCAAGTGAAAATCTTAAAATGAGTGAGACAAACCCTCAGTCCTAGGGTCAAAGAGCAGGCGTAGCAGTGGGCTTGCCCCAGGCTCGTAGTTGGGAACTTTCCTCAACTTATCCTGTAATTGTTTTTCGCCCTGCCCATTTTGCAAGATGTTTTCGAAATATATACATGGAAAAATAATGCTTTCTTTTGTCCTTCTGATTCTGACATTCCTTTGAATAGAAATGTGAAGGAAGTCTTTCCCAGCGAAAGCATCAAATTTCCCTTATGTAACTTGTATTACGTAACTTCCTTGAGCGAAACTGCAACCACAAAGAACAAGTCGCTAAATACTGAAACTGATCTTTCGCTCCTTTGCAGAAAACTAACAATGGACAAAAGATCATATCTTTTGGCAAGCCTAAGCTTTGGAAACCACTTGAGCCGACGTTAAACAGGCACACTCCCTTACCCAATTGAGGAAAATATTTATAAATACTCTACAATATTAAAGCTTTTTCTGTTAATTTGATGTATTTTAAATCAGGGGTGTAGTGCTAGGGGGCTGAACCTCCTTGTTAATGCCGAGAGTAGCAAATTACTACTTTTGCTATTGTTTTCGCAAAATTTTGCGCAAGAGCCCCCTTGCTATTTTGATAGCACAACACCCCTGTTTTGAACTGAATCCACATTTGCCAACACCCACTTAAAGCAGTTCTGATAGACTGACCGCGTTACAGTGCCTAAATAATTAAAAAATAACGAGTGGACATTGATACAATTGCATCACGGCATCCCTTGCCATCCGCCAGTGCCTTTCACAAATAAAATTTGAAAAATGACAGATATCAAAAGATGGGCACAAAGGTTATAACAAAGTCTTATAAGGAAGAAGCTCGTACTGGCCTAAGTAAAGTATGGTTGAGCATATCGGCAAACAGACACCCTAGTAGCAAACAGGCAACATCCATACGTTCTTGTGTCATCAAGGTCAGTCATCACAACCAGTTGCCTGATGATCGCATTACTTGCCTGATGATGAACTCAGAGTACCTAGGAACTTAGCCAACTTAGATCTGTTCTGTTCTGCACATCAAAAGCGTGTACAGCTCTGCCTGTAATTTTCAGCAATTTTCATGACAACAATCACGTTTATGAACCTATTTTGATTAAGAACCTGTAGCAGTTTTTAGGCCAATTTAGCATATTCTTTGAACTAATTTTTACAGGATTTATATTAAATAATAAAGAATAATTTGGATTTCATACAGTTAATAAAGGTTTGATGCTTAATAAAGGTTCCATAAAGGTAAAGAGATTATAACACGACAGAAAACATCATAGGGCCAATTTTATAAGAACCTAAACTCTAAATAACTAGCGGAAGAGAATCCCACCTAGACTGATAGAAAAACGGAGTTCGCATATGTGAGTTTTTACTTTAGTTGTGTCTATGACAAAGTCAATATACGGTTAGCTCAAAAGGCCCTTTCTTTATCAAATAGAGTCCAACTGAAAAGATATGAAACCGATGCTATAATAGATTTGCTCCCACCCTAACTACTATGCTCACCCTACTCGTCTACGCAAGACCCTTAGGATCAATACCCGTTACTCGGGGTGGGTTATTCTGGTAGAAATCAGACAACTGTGGTTTGATATTGCAGTTCTGTAGAATTTGAAAATGATTTTCCTTGTCAGTGTTACATGAATACCAGTTCAACTTCACCGAATTTGAAGGAAAATGTGCCTAATTCTTTGATTCGACACGTCCAGCCCTCGTATGGATCTTGAAAAATCGAATTCGCAAACTGGTCACCAGTGTCGTCAGAACAACATTTAAAATAGGAGCATATGTTGTTTCTCATTCAATATCTTGGTACTCAAGTAGAAAGAGTATAGTTTGGCAAATAATGAGGGGGCTGCAGAGGCCCAAAAAGTCTTTCACCATATACTACTTGACATAAGCTTCAATAAGAAGTAGAGGTGAGGACTGGGAAGAGGCAAGTAGTGAATTGTGTAGATTAGGTACTAGCAATGGAAGGAAATCTGAAGCTTAAAGTAACACGATATTGGTCCTGGAACTAGCAAGATTTTCTTGATGAACCACCTAACGATTAATGAAAACCTTTTTTTTTATATTCTTCTACTTACAACAGTAACCTCACTTTACAGGTAGTTGCTATCGGCTAGCCTGGTGACAAGTTTACTAATTTTACAAAAGTTATAACATTTAAATAAAATCATATGAGTGCAAAGAATAATAATAATAATAATAATAATAATAATAATAATAATAATAATAATAACAATAATAATACGATATTTATACAGGTCACCAGATTCAGCTTGATAAAGCTGCTATCAGTCTGGGACCTGTTTGGATTATACTGATTGGACTAAGCAAATATCGTAGATGTCCACAAATTAGAGCCATACAGTCCCCCATGTATGTTTGAAGCAACGGATGAACCAATGGAGAGTAATTAGATCCATTTTACCGAGAAGGGATCAACGGATATCTTTCTGCTGTCACGCAGAATGGGAATCAAGTTTGCATCGCAAACCACAGATGGCAAAGTCTGCTTATTGTTCATTGCAGCGCAAACCAAAACGGGGTTCAGTTTCGTTGTTCCTGGTTCATGTCTTGACAGATTGTGACAGGAAACAGTTTTTTTATTTCTTAGAAGAAATAAACAGAAACTTTAATGCATGTGAAAAAAGTAAGGGCTATCTCGATATATGACTGCATGTGAGAATAACATAGAAATGCCGACTCATTTTTGATACATTTATTAATGATAGAATCACAAAAAATGAATGGATGAAATCAGTATACGAAAAGATCAGTGGTGGCGCCAGAGGGGGGGCAGGGGGGGCTACAGCCCCCCCGTCGGAGGAGGCTAGCCCCTCCGTCGGAAGATAAATTATGCTTGAATTTTTTTTGTCGGAGCGAATTTTTTAAGTTTTGGCGGAAATAGAAATTTCTAAAAGGACTGTTATCAGAATTCAGGAAGCTCATCCCAAAACAACTCATCGACACATCAATTTCATGGTAAATAATAATCTGTTATAAGAAGTTTGAATTGGTTGTTTAGATGTTCAGTACCAGGTGTTTTCCGCATGCTGTTAAATTTGATCTTATGTTATGGATAGTGCAGTTCGTCCAAATCTTGCTTGCTATAACCAACCTACAACATCGGAATATTTTTGTGCGATAGCGATATGGCAACAAATGTTACCCGTTTCAGTGTTAGATGTAGTATATGTAATGACGTATTTAACAATGATTACGCTGCCCGCCACACGAAGTCCAAGCACAAAGATTTGGCTGCAATGGGAAGGACTGCTCCTACGACGGCAATAGTTGAAACGGACTCGCAGCAGAGAAAAATAAAAACATTTTTTCAATCAAAAGGCGGTACTTTTCCAAAGAAACGAAAGGTTAATGATTTTGAAACTGAAAGAACAACAGAAGACCCCGAAGAACAAGAAGTTGAAATTTCGAAAATTCAAGACGAAGAGCAAATCGAACGTGGTATGTTATACGTTTTAATATTTAAGTCCTTTTAATACGAGGAAAAACACTTAGCAAAGGGCTTCAGCCATAAAAACAATCAAACTCATTTACGTAGTAGCTAAGCCATTTTACCCCATCCCAACCATACATATTTGTAGTGTTTTGCTTCTACGTACACGTTTTTTTATTTATAAGAAACTTGACTCAAGCCCAGAGTACTAATAGTTTCCAAATTTCTTATTTTTTACTATTTTTAAGGGAAACCATCTATTACTATTTACGATAAATCCTTCTAGTTTTTTTTATAAACAAGTTCCTTATTAAGAAAAAAACGTGTATTTTTATAGGAAACCTAGCTCTCCAGAAATTAAAAGTTTCTTATTTTCGGACCTATATAATATGGGATTTCACTGCGACTGCGACATATTTAAACAAATATACCTGGCTATGACTGGATGAGGAATAAACCTTGTTAGACGTATAAATTTCTTCGTTTTATTTACAAATAAAAATAATTTTTTGGATGATTTTGATATTAAGAGTCACAAAAGATTGATTAGTAAAAATGCCTTTTTGTCCATCTCCCAGGAGATATTATAATCTTTTTCACACATGTAAAACAGGGTAGTAAATCATTTGTTTAAACTTCCAGGTACAACTTCTAGCTTGGACCCCGAAGTCACGAATGTAGATGCTGACAACTACGTCACCATTTCGGAAGCCGAACAGTCGATGTCGGACATTGTGGAAGCAGCAAATGAAAGCGACAGCAACGAGGATATCGAGGAAAATTTGGAACAGTTGGAACTCGAGTTGGAAGATGAAGTTGATCCTGCAGGATTATCAGCCGAAGGTATACTAACTAGCTATCAGATATAATCGTAACTCTCCATTAACCAGCGGCGTAGGGGGGTACTAAAAAGTGGAAGGGCGCGTGAAAAAAGGGCACCTTGGTATGTAATTAAGACGAAGGCAAACCCTGCTAGAAGGGCACGGGGGCATGCTCGCCCGGAAAAGTTTTGCATATAAGCAGCCACTTTGGCTCCCATAGCCTCTTTCGCACTAAAGCTCAAAGAAAAGTCTAAAACAATGAAAAGAGGCACTTCTCAGATATAAAATAGGGCACTGCCAAGAACTTAACAGGAAAAAAGTTTGCAAAGTGTGATGGATAATTTTTTTCGTTTTAGCACTTCAAGGAGATTCGAGAGGACCGCAACTTACACTATCCGTCGCTGGCCCCAAGGACATATCCTCAACCAAAGACGGCGGACCTGTGCAGCCTCGTAATATTTCCTTCCCTACACATTTGATTGGCAATCAGCATCGCGCATTCACACCTTTGCTGTATGAAAAGTATCCCTGGATTGAGTATTCGCAAATGGAGGATGCCATCTTCTGTTTCCACTGTCGTAATTTTTCAGAGAATCGGAAGGATCCAGCGTTTGTTAGTCAAGGCTTGCGCAATTGGAAAAGATGCTATGGCACCAAAGTGAATGATAACAAACTCTTGCAACATCAAACCAGCCATCTTCATGCCCAAAGTGTAGCTGCTAAAGCGCACTATGAAAACGTTAAGTCTGGAAATTTTCAGACCATTGCCACACTTCATGATGCCGCTTATTCGAAACTGGTTAAAGACAACAGGCATTACATGCGAGTGATTTGCGAAGTCCTGCTTCTCACTGCTCAGCGGAAGATTGCCCAACGTGAGACTGGAGGTTCATTTCGTGTTGCCGATATAAATAAAGAAGCTCTAGACTATGGACCTTCTTGTGGTAATTTTCTTGCGATACTTGGTCTTCTTGCAAGGCATGACCCAGTTGTTGCTGACAAAATCCGCACTGGCCCGAAAAATGCAAAGTATACTCACCACAGCGTACAGAATGCCATCTTAGACATTATGAAAGACATGGTTCTTGAGCAAATAAAAAGTGAGCTCAATAAGGCTCAGTATTTTACCGTCCTTTCAGATGAGTCTAAAGATAGAAGCAAAAAAGAGCAGCTTGTTGTTGCAGTCCGTTACTGCTACGAGAATGCCATACATGAGGAATTTATTGGCATTGCTGAGGCGCAAAGTTTAGATGCAGATGGTCTTTCAGACACAATAATTGAACGATTGCAACGCATCGAAGCCAACATGAAAGCATGCGTGGGGCAAGGCTACGATGGAGCTTCTGTTGTTTCTGGTCACCTGAATGGCGTTCAAAGGAAACTTCCTCTGAAAACCGGTGCTGAAATGGCTTACTACGTCCATTGCTTTTGTCATCGATTGAACCTTGTGATCGTCGATGTTGTGAAATCAATCAGTTGTGTGGCAGACATGATATCGCTATTCAGAAGCCTGCATTCTTTTCTGAGCAGCAGCACCGTTCATGTACGATGGGTAAAGGTCCAAGAGGATCACAAGGTTCATGTGATGGAAATTGGAAAAGTTTCTGACACGAGATGGTCTTGCCAGGCGAAGCAATTCAATGTTTTCTGGGAGCGGTTGGATATCTTGGTGGAAGTCCTGCAGGATGTGATTGACACAGATACGAACCCCGGTCGCAGAACAGAAGCTACTGGTTATCTTCTGCAGATTGACAGGAAATTTGTGAGATACCTGTTTGCCATCCGACACGTCTTGAACAAAGCCAAATTTGCGTCTGACATGTTGCAGAAACCCTCCAATGATTTGAGTCAAGCCATTGATCTCATTGCAACATTGAAAGATGAACTGGATGACTGTCAAAGCAGGGATAAGATTCAAGAGTTCTGGGATACTGCCGAAGAAGCAGCGGATCGCTTGGAATTGCCGGAAGAAAAAAGACCACCAAGAAAGAGGGCAACGCCTGCTTCTCTTCGAGAGTTTGTTGTGGAAGCATCTTCAGAGCCTCAAGTAGCAAGCGGGTTTGATGGCTACGTACAAAATGTCAAAGAAATACTAAACAGAACAACTGCAGAACTTTGCAAGCGGTTTGACGAAAAAAACATAAAGATCATGAAAGGCATAACTGCATTGGCCCCCAAGTCGAAAAGCTACTTGGACCCAACAACTCTTGTCAATTTTGCTGAGCTTTTTCAGTCTGAAATTGGTGCACTACGCAGTGAAATTGCCACATTTAAATATATGCTCTCAAGAAAAGAAGAAAAACACCGCCCAAGCACACTTCTGCAACTAGAGGCACACTTGGAAAAGCTAAATGAAGCTTTCTTTGAGCTGCACCGGCTTGTATCCATCGCATGCACTTTGCCAGTCTCTTCAGCCGAATGTGAACGCAGCTTCAGCTCTATGCGCCTCATCAAGAGTGATCTGCGCTCACTTATGAAGGACGAGCGTCTAGACAGTCTGATGATGCTAGGTATTCATCGTGCCCGTGGAAGTGCTCTTGACTTGGACTCAGTAGTAGACAGATTTAAGGCTAAGTTCCCGAAGAGTAGAATTGCTCTGTGAAACAATTTTGATTCTTGGACTTGAATTTTCGATATGTAGAAGTGCGTATTCCACCGCTTAGGTCTGTTCCTATAAAGTTACGTTGTGTTCCAGTTTTCCTTAAGTTCAGTTGGTTGCTTTTTATTTAAATTCATACTTTCCAAAGATAGGCCCTACTTGAATTGGCAACGTTTGATGAGTTGTAAAGATTTAGAGTAGTTTTAAGCTTATCTAGAGGCAGCTTTCAAAAAAAATTTCCAGGGACGCCGGAGAAGGGGGGCGCGGGGGGGCAAGCGCCCCTCCTGCCCTTTGCTAGGAGGGGCAAGGGAGGGGGCAAACGTGCCCTTAGTAATATGTCAAAAAACGTAGTAAAAAACACGATTACACCATTTTGATAGCATTTTTAGCCAATCTAATGGGTGTAGCCACCAAAATTTTCCCGGGGGAGTACCCCCGGACCCCCCGAATCTTCGGCTCGCAACGCTCGCCTTCGGTCTCCAGTACCCTTACAATTCCTTGTCGCCCCCTAGCCCTATCGTTCTCTAAAAAAATTAGCCCCTCCGTCGGAAGTGCTAGCCCCTTTGTCGGAGGAAACCTAGCGCCACCACTGACCTAGAGATGGATCATAAGAAGCCAGTTATTGAAAGCTAGCATGCTAGAATCATTGCCAAAAGTACTCGGAACACCCATCAGTTTGTGTTTTCAATTCTATTCTCGAATACTTCTATTTCTGCACACCCTTCCCCCTAAACAATGTTGATGGTTTAGAAGAATATCATAGAAGTCGCAGAGAAAAGATCGTACTTCCTAATCCTCTATGTCGTTTTGTAGTAAATCAACATTGTTTAAAGAGGAAAGGGGAATGGCTGAATTTGCCTTTGAAAACTGATATTAGTGTACCAAGACTTCTGGCAGGCATTGTAGCTGACAAGGACCGCGGAAGCGGGTGGCCACAAGAACTTTAGCACCCCCCAATTATTTCCGAAATGTACTTAAAACCTTGCAAAAATCGCCCTGCTCTTGGTTTTTATTGTGCTTAGCCCCCAAAAACGTTTTAGCCCTCACAATCTGTAATATGCTCCGCGGTCCGCGGTACTTGCTAGCTGACCATATACATTGGAAATCAGAGCAAAACCCAAATCAGCGCATGAAGTCGAGTTGAGTCTTTACTACACTAGATTTCTGAGAACGGTTGTTGATAGACGAAGATCGAATATGCGAAGAAATGCAACCAAACAACCCGCTGCTCTCTCTTATTGCGATACTGGAAACTACAATTCTTGCCAAGTCTTGGCAAACTAAACTAAATTTATGCAAATTATTAACAGCATTCGCCTCGCCCCCTCTCCTTCCTAACACTGTTGTTTTACCTAAGTCTTTAGAGTAGGGAACTGGGGATGATGCGGGAATTGACAAACGCATGAGTTTTGTTATCTACGCACTTGCCATCAATGCAGAATCTAATTCAGATCTTATTCAAGGAAATTGACATGGTAGACAGTTAACACGGATTCTAAAAAAAACTGGTGAATTTCCTTTGCCTTCATTTTCTAGGTCGGTAATTTTTTGGGAATTGTTTAAAACTATTGTTTTGATACAAACGAATAAATTGTATTTTATTTTAGGGATAGGTAGAAAAATTTGCCAATTCCTTAAAATCCATGTTAACTTTAAAGAATTTGAAATCTATTCGTTGAACCCGCGTTGATTTTATCTCAAAACTAAAACAGGTTCTTAAGTGCCCTGGCCTACCAAACAACGGTCTCAAACTAGGAGAGCTTCAAGAAAAGTCCAGACAGGAAAAGACTCTAGATTTTCTAGCCTTCTGCAAAGTTCAGGAAAATTTGTTATGGCACAGTCACCGAAGGAATGGTTGATGAGAACAAGTGAAATCAATTACCATAATGAAACTAAAAGTCGGACTTATGGGGAAGAAAAGGAAAAACACTTTTCTGGACTTTGAATATGTGAAATTGGCAAAGGATTAACATGTTGAAAGTGTCCTTTGAATTTTCTAAGAAGCAAGTTTTTCTAGCGTTAAAGGAAAAAATAGAGACATCAGAGGTGAGATCTATTCAGAAGTCGCTTTTTGAGCTGCCCAAATAAGCTGCCACCTTTCTGATAACAAAATATACAGCAACAGAGGGACAATAAATGGAAAGTGAAAGGCAAAGTGCACATATCAACAATTTCTATAAAAGGTTTACAAGAAGTGGTTTGTCCCTCATTAGTAAACACCATTAACCAGGTGTAAAATACATTTAACAGGCAATGACTTGTGCATCAATCTGTATGAAACTTACTTTGTTATGTAACAAGATCTTTTGGTTTTCCTTATACCCACTTTTACAGATCACACCCTTTTTTAGAAACTTTGTCCAAACATGTTACAGGAATTTGACATGGCTAAAAAGCCAGCTACAGCCTCAAAACCACTTCTCATAAATGCAGTTTATAAGCTTATATGAATAAACATGCTGCCAATGGACAAACAGAATTGAAGAACTAGAAAGAAGATCTCTAAAAGATTCTGTGAATATTGCATGATAACTTCACCAATGTACAGGTATTCACCCTGATGAAGCCCTAAATGCCTGGGTGACTTTTGGTTGTAAAAACTGGTTTTTGTTCCTACATTTTGTTTATAATCTACATCAATTGTTTATAAGTAGGACTAGGTCACCACCTTCAATCAAAGAAAGACAGTATGTATATAGAATTTTGCAGACCTCTCCCTGCCCCCAGTTCACTGATGATGTGCACAAACTTTGAAGGGGCAGGATGTAAATGCTTAATTATATATACATGCACAATGACTGACTGGTGTTTATGTGTTTGTCTCAACATTTACTGCCAGGATTGCAGGCACAAATTCATATTTCATAGTCTGGGAGTTATTTGGCACATGGGCTATTCCATGTATCCAAAACAACTGCACAATTGAGGAAAAACACAAAAACATGACTGAGACATAGTCTTGTTGTTATTTCAATAATTGGAGAAAACATTGTTGAAAACATTGTTGAAAAAATTGAAACAAATAAAGAAAACTTAAAATTGGAAAAACTGTATAATCAAATTTACCAAAGAGGTACAATATCTAATCCAAATAACTTGAAATGTATCCACTCTTTTACATTGGTTTTGAATTTTTATTACATATTGAAAGTTTTTAAAAAACCAGCTTGGAAATCAAATGGTTGCTCAATTTATGGTAACTTTTTGCAATGGCTTTATCTGATTGGAATTCTATTTGATGATACCTTTGAACAAAGAGAACCAATGATGACACGCAGAACCATCCAGATGTTGATAGGCCTGGTAATTCAACCTGAATTCGCTGGGGCAATCACTGTGATGTGTTAACCCTGATAGATTGGCCTGCAGGCATGGTTCGTGTGGGACAATTTGTGCCAATGTGGACCAATTTGTGTGGGACACAAACATTAAGAGCTAGGCCTATCAGTATTGCATCAGCTGTGGAAATAAGGAAAGAAGATAATTAAAATCTGGTAGTTATAATCAGAAATTTATCAAGATATAGAGATATGGGTTGAAAGATTTCAACATGATCGCAATATGTTCAAATATGTTGAACATCATACAACATAAGGATTTGAATTTGTCAGTATTTTTACATCTAAATTGTAGGGTGTGAAACAACATACAGAGATCATTGAAGTTACTCCTAACCATCAAAGGAGGAGTTAAGATTTAAAACAAAGAAACTTACAAAGGCTGCAAATTGGACTATTGGACAAATTGGACAATAAAAAATTGACTTTTTAAAAAAAGATTAAATCAAATGATACCACAGCCTATATTGATGGAGAATTTCCATAAAATGAAACCTCAAAACAGGAACCAATAACTTGGTTTCCATGAAAAAGTAGACCAAAAAGTAATGGCCCCTACCATTTCCTCTCTCAAGTGTGCTTTTGACCATGAGTAGCACTCATCAGTTTCAGTTTCAGTGTCTGCACCATTGATGATTAGTATATCAGCTATATCGTCAAGATTTCCACCAATTGTTAGCTGCAGTGGTGTGATACCAGTATATGATCTTGCATCAATGTTGGGTTTAAATTCGTTAATAAAGTTCTGCACATGCCAAGCATTGCCCATTTTCACTAGATGGTGTAATGGAGAAAACCCAGCTTTGTAATCCTGTTGGGGCAAGAATTACTTCAGTTATTGATCACTTAAAACCCATTCACAAAACAAATATAACAAAAATATCATTATTATTCACATCTTGTGTAGATTGTTGTTTATTTGATAAAAAAACAGATAAGAAACCCAGTAACATAAAACAAAAAAATGCATGACATAGGATTGTGTAGGCTCTGAAAACTCACCCATGCATTGACATCTGAACCAATATATTTCAGCAAAGAAGCTGTTCCAAAATAACTATTCATTACAGCAAGATGGAATGGAGTATATCCTGTAAATGAAATACAATGTTATGAACATTGAGCTGAAATGGAAAATTCACTGTCAAAGACTGCAATACCAAGAAAGGATGACAGAATTTTTAGAGCAATTAATTCTATATATATATACATTATTTGATTTTCAAGTTGAGGACAGAAGTTTCAATGCAGGTTGTAGGGCAAAAATGCTCCTACAAAAAACATGCCATAGGCATCAGAAAAAAACCCCAGGAGGACAAATGATACCACATTGTGCATATTCTCCTAGAATGGGTAAAAGTGAGAATCAACTAAGGGAGAATCAATTAAAGGACTAACTCCCTGCGAGAAATTAACTTATCATTTATATCTCCCATTTATTCATCACAACAAGAATATTGAATAAGCACCTTCAGCATTTCTTGATTCCAAAAGGACTTGATAAATGGCAGCCAATTCCTTGCTACACCTGCAGAGGCTCTCAGTGAACAGTTCTTTCAGCCCCCTATCAATGCCATTGACAGCAACAATATGAATGATGTTATTACCATTCATGTCACAGAGCTCTAGGTCTGCACCAACATCTACAAGCTTCCGAATCACAGGTAAGGATTCTGTGATTACAGCTAACATCAGAGGTGTCTGTAAGGAGAATTTTATCTATGAAAATTGGCATCCATTTAAAACTTAAATGCAACTAACACGAGTTTTTTTTGAACAAGGAAAGATCAAGTCAAAAAGTTCTTCGATTCAGTAAAATTGATGGTAAGCAGGGTTGGGTAGACAGAGAAACACCACCTGAAAACTGCTTTATATGGGTTGAGGAAATGCCTCAGGAAACACAGAGAATGGCTCTCAATAGAGAAATTCTAAAGGCATTATTTGAACACTTATGTCAAACTACAAGGGAACTGGATTTGAATTGAAGAAGAAGAAAATGAAGTAGCAAAAATATGCCATAAACTTTTGTCCAAAGAAAGGGTAAAAATTGTTCAGGTCTTACCTGTCCAATTTTGTTTTGGGCATTTATTGACGCAGATGATGCCAAATCAATAATTCTTAATGCTAAATCATCTTTTCCATTAGCAATGGCTAAATGTAACAAGCTGCAAAAAATATTGATTCGAATATGCACAATAATTCTCTATTTACTTTATTTCATCAAATTTATCTTGCGAAAACAATTCTATTAAAACATTACATGATTATAATAATTATTTGATACAAGAGGGATATATGAGTCTGTTTGCTGTGTACATAAATAAAAAAATTTAATGTGGGCTAAAAGTGCACATTGTTTATTAACAGCCGCAATATCCCCGTAAAATAACAAAACAAGTGATTAAATCACACCCAAAACTGCAACTAATCAAATTTATATTGATTGCTGACAAGTATCTTAACAATAAAACAAAAAAAGGGTGGGAAAGTACGGTTATTTCGAGGAGGGGAAAAACCGTAGACGAGGGTCATCTGGAATTTCCCTCAGAGTCGCCAAGAATTCCCCTTGGCCTAACAGACGCAATAATAAACTGGCTGAACTTAATTTGAACAATTTTCTAAAACTAATCAAGAATAAAGAAGAATTTAAGTTTAATACAAGTAAGAAGCTCTCACCTATCCCCTTCCTCATCACCTTCGAAGTAATAACCATTTTCTTTTTCTTCGGGGCACGAATTGCAATTTGACTGGAATTCGGCATTTACAACTTTCTCTTCGACAAGTTGTTTGTCGTTTATAGTGAGCGACTCAACTCCTTCTCGAACGGATTCGTATGATTCAGAAAAACCTGAATCTACAATTTCTGCAGAAAATTCCTTCTTTTCCATTTTTCTTTTTGTTTCTTAGATGTGGTGGAACTTTTGGTAAACGCTCGTGCATTTATATACTGCACATATCAAAACGAGGGAAATTCCCTTCGAACGCCTCGTCGATTGACGTAAATGCATTTTAACCAATGAGCTTCTTCGATCAGATCAGCTGACATTGTGCGGAGGGGGGTAGTAGAGGGGATTCACTCGTGACATAGGTTAACAACAATGCTTCAAATGCACAAAATTACTCACCAAACGTTCGTGCAGATCTTCATACTGTGATTTATATAAGATCCAAGGAAAACCACAATCCTGGCAAAAAACTCGTGAGACTTTTTCACAAATGCAATCCATTCCTTATTTGAACTTCCTTCAGTATTTAATTTTTCCTTGCTCACAATTTCATGTAAAATATGCTTTTTAAATCTTCCAATCGTTTATGTTAGCACTATCGTATCACTTGTAATTATTTAAAATATACTGATAATGAAATGTTGAAGTTGAAGTTGAACCCCTCAACCCTATACCAATGTTGAAGTGACGGTATGGGCTAAAATCAAATTCTGGGACATGTAGCTCTCATACGACATCAACATTGATATAAGGGGAGGGGAGAAATTGATATGTCTCTACATTTCTTGGGAACAATTGATCTAGCATGCCAAATTTTTAATTCAATATTAAGGAGTTTTGGCCACGATTGTAAGTTTTCATCATTATTATTCTGTTTCAAGGTACAAAGGCCTTCCTGGCCCTCACTGGGGGCTTGAACCTGCATCTGGCAACAGGAGAATTCATTTTTTTTGTTCTTTTCTTCCTTACTGCAGCATTATTACATAGCCTTTGGAAATTAGATGCGGGGACAAGCCTTATTTTATACATAGAGGAGGACAACAGCCTATTGTTTAGAATAATGGAAAGCCACTAGGGCTAGAGGGGCAATTGCCCTCCTAGTTAGTAGGTTGAAAAAGGCCCTGTATTATTATCACCTCACATCACGTAACAAGATGAAAATCTGGGACTCAACTGCAAAAGTATTTCAATGACGAAAGGACAACAGCCAAGATGGCAGTCCTTTCCTACTTCAAAAAAGGGGGTAGAAATGGGTAATGGGTGAATCATAATACTAACAGATCCATCTCTTGACTTGCTCTTAGGGTGGGTGACCTGAGATCAAAGGATATGAAAGGGTCTAGATTGAAGGGGAATAGCCTGGGGTCTAAGGTTATCCGGAATTACAGAAGGTTGTTAGGTTTTTACTTCGTCGAACCTTTCTTCGTCCCCCATTAGAGCCTGAGCGCGTAATCTCCAGAGTAACAGTTTCTCCAGCTTTCAATCTTGATTTCAAGCACACAAGACTGCATGGTATTTTTACTATTATTGCAGCCAAATGGAAGAAAAAATGGCTTCTTTAGAGGTGAAATATGAAATGAAAGTGTCATAGAATTTTGCAGCGAGCTTATGAAGTGCAAATGGATATATAATTTTAAATTCTACACAATTTCACAACCAATATTTATTACAGTTAGATTTGGATTGATGTACAAACCACGATTTATCTTTTGATTTGTGAAATAGGCATTTGAAGGCATTTAAATTCAGGCCAGGAAAGTTTGTAAATATTCGAAGGCCTGAAACGAGTCATGGTTGAATCAGAGGGAAGTTCCAATTTGCTGAGTCATGCTAAGTTACCTCGGTTTCGTAAAGAGGCAACGTACGTCCAGTACCTTGTGATCACGTGAAATTTCAACGGTAAGGCCAAAAGCAGATGATCCACTGCAGAGGGCCCTACAGAAGACTCCTTCAATGCTGTAAGAATCGATAAATCTTTATTCCAGAAATGACTTCTCAACATGGCCAATAGTAATAATAACAATAATGATAATAAACACGTAATTTACAGTTGGATAAATTACTTATAGTTTGTGCTAAAAAGTACAAACATCTAGACGCCAACTTGCTTAAACTAAATGAGGCTAAATATCAGCAATACTATTAACATATATTACAATCGCAAACTTCGCCTTTTAGTGAATGCATTCATTGCAAAGAAGTTATATTTAAGCTTTATTTTTGCTTTTTAATCATATCTAAATTGCCTTTCATATTAAAAAGTTTTTGATTGAAATTCTTGCTGATGTCTTAAGCCCTGTCTCTTAAAGTTCGATCAGGTCTACTTTTGTTTCTAGTTGTCTCGGATGTGCATTTCATATGACTTTCGTTGTGTCCAGGAACCGCAGAAATGGGGGCTATGGGGGCTTTAGCCTTCCAAATTATTTTCTTAATCTACTAAAAACCATACAAAAGATGCCTTGCTTTTGGTTTTGAGCATGTTTAATACTCCCAAAATGAGGTAGTCCCCTCAGAATATGTTCCGCGGCCCTTGGTTGTGTCTGTATCGTTTTTGGGTTTAGTGCAAAGGGTAAAATCAGGCTCTTTTGAAAAGAGGTTTCATCACCAACGTAGAACACCGACGTGTATAGGCTACGCAGGCACCAGATTCTTTCAGAAGAAAAACCTTTCGAAGAGGAAGTATCTGGTCTTCTTGGCCTTTTTTTGAAACCCATTTTGAGTGAGAAAGATGCGTTCATACCAAGAACTAGCCAGGATGCAGACATTACAAGCGGTTGAATATCCTCTTATTCAGACCCTATTTACAATGCACCTTTATATAAAATCAAAAATCTAAATTGTCATTTTGAAACAATTTAGGCATCCTCTCCTGACACTATTTCTGTTTCTGCACCCAAAGATGTGGGTTCAGACTCCTGAAAAAAGCTCAAGAATTGTTTTTATACCAATTTGCTATAAAGCAGGTTCTATTTTCAAAGATTCATAAAACTACCTTCAGTCAAGAGACTAAGAGGCAGCAAAAACACTCCACATCATTTTTGTACTTCCAATAATGAAAATTTTATCACATCTTAATCAAACCACATTAACATGAGAAAACATACCATAATCAATTATTTCAATATGTTCCTTGACAAACGAGAGTAAAATATGACGCATAAACACGTGACCTGGGACTATGGTGACGTAATTTGGCGAGGGGGTAGCTGCAAGTTATTTTTGTCTCTCTCGAGTTTCTGCTTTGGATTTATGATATCATTCACCTACAAACGGGCTCCTCTTTCAGAAATTCAATTCATTTCAGGGGGAAAATTTGGTCATAAGAATTTCAACAGTATTATCGATCTTTAACTCTCTTCGAGCAATTTGTCACTTTCGTGAGCAATTATATCAAAATTTCTGTCGTTTTCGCACCACCCCGATCACTGGTCCCACAGAGCCTTTGCATGCACATCTACTGGGAGCAGCTATAAAATAGAACTAAGAACAAATTGTTCCCAAGGATTTTCCACTTACTCTAAATAACAATGGTTAAATACTTTAAAGTCAAAACAGACGCCAGTGTAGATGCTATATGAGAAAATTTAAGTTCGGCCGTTTAGTTTACATTTAACATAAAGGCTAATAATTAGCCTGGGTACCAGAGCCACATAAATTCGATCGTAAAAATAGGAGATAGGAGTGGAGCAAGCAGTGGCCTCGCTTGACATTCCAGACTAGGGGGGTAGAGGGTCATGAATAGAAAAATTTACTGACGAAGACACAGATTGAGAAGAATTTAGGTACTATTTCACCTACTGATAGATGAATTTACCGACAAACTAAAGATATTGTAGACAAACTGAAGATTTACGGACGAATTCATGAAGAATTGGGGATGTTACACCCCTTACAACCCCCCCCCCCACGCTAGCTACGCCTCTTGAGAAGCGGAGGAGCTCTTCCGCTTGGCTTTTTTGGTAGATAATCATTTGCCACAAGCAGCATCCATACAAGATATCCATTCTAAGAGAGGCATGCTCAGAGCTGCGAAGGGAAATATTCTTGTGAATCACAAGGTCACATACAGGGTGTAGCAAAGAATTAAGGGAACATCTATATAGGTTTTCGAAATTGTTTCTGATAGGATTTTTACAGTGAATGAACATATAAGAGCATGAAATCGTTAATTAACAGATGCAAAGAATCTCCTCTAACCTTCAGCGAATAGCCCTGTAGCCTCCCTGATACATTTTCCTTCATCTAATCGTTGGCAAATAATATATAGCATATTCCTGTAACAGGGGAAGGTTATAGTCAACAAAATATACATGCATTCGAAAAGGGAGCAAAAAGAGACGGGGGAGGGATGGAATGCACGACAAGGTTTCTGGAAGTACTTCATATATAGATGCCCCAAAAAGGGGACCACTCCATAATCCATTTTTAAACCACCATCTCCTAAAATAGAGTCAAATAAAAATATCTAAAATCAAAATTGGTGCTTGAAGATATCTCGACATAAATTAAACTTATACATATGTATGTACCAATGTAAAACTCCATCTGATGAAGACAACGACAAGGTGGAAGATTTTCTCCCAAAGATTCATTCTAAGCCATTAAATATATAATTTAGATAGATTATATATATAACGATGCATTTTGAAGTATCTGTACTTAGAGCGTCACTTATATAGCTAATCAATACATACAAAAATAAACGTTTGATGCACTATATAGCTGTTTTGACATATACTAAATAATTTTGAAGAAACATTTCTAGAAGTAACTGGGACTGACGTCTCCGTTATCATTTGAACTGGCTAGCATTATCGGATGCATGAAAGAGCTTGCAAAAGGAGCACCCGACACGCCTTCCATTAGAAATTCCATAAGAAATAACCATTGGAATAAGTTGGAGTCTTGTCTCAGGCTTTCCGTAGGGCCCTAAATGCCTCCGCTACGCCACTGACAGTGATGCACATTCAGACGTTGAATTATTGTGAATCAAAACTACATCCATTTGACATTTGACATTACATTAAAAACATATTCATGACTCTATGCTAACAAATATTTTTCTCGCTAGAATCTTCCCAGGAGTTGCTAAGGCGAAAATTTTTTCCAGTCTTTAAACTTGGCCTCATGTTCTTCCTCATATACATCCAGACAAGGCCAAATTCAATCAAAAGCATCACTAAAAACTAGAATATATTGACTATATGTATTTATACACACAGTTGGACAGATAAAATTTCTTGTATCATACATCATCAACTGAACCAACGTCTTCGCTTGCCCCAGCCTGCAAAAGGACAGTCTGAATATCCTCCAGGTCGTTTTGTTGGGCCAACCCATAAGGTGTGTAACCGGAATAAGATTCAATGCCCAATTCTGGTTGAAATCGGGAGATAAAGTCTTTTACAAAGTCACTATCTTCAGTTAAAACTGCCAAATGCAGACCAGTGTAGCCAGCTCGACCGTCCTAGAATACCAATGAAGTAACTAAAATATTTACTTGATGAAAAAATAAGTCAAGATTACGTAATACAAAAAAGCTAACGTGTGGTGCAATTCAGTCTTCTCTAGGAGTTTCTCTCACGTAGTACAAATCGAGACACCACATGAAGAAATTTTAAAAACCATTTGCTTTTGCGAAATTCTAGCCTGGTTACCAGGCTCACTCTCTAAAAAATTTCTCTTATTCTTTATAGAGTGAGTCTGATAACCAGGGTGGCAGAATCATTAATCATTGAGAAAAGTGTCTAGAATGGCAAATATACGTAATACACTTGGCAATACACTTGGCAAATATACGTAAAAACTAGCAACCCCCTCCAAAGTTTTGATCAAATTCTTAAATTGTCTAGTATTTTGTGCTGTCTTTATTGATTCTGAGAGTGAATTCCAGATTTTAGGCCCTTGAAAACTTAATGATCTGATACCATTATAGGTAGTTTTGGCTTTTGGAATGTCAAGGGGGTTTTTGAGACGAATGTTATGACCTGTTGTTTTGGTTACAAAATAGTCGACGTTCTGAAAATTTCCCCCTCTCTTTCTCAAGAGACAGAGAGGCTATCAAAAACTATCTACTTCGCCAACGATAACTAACCCTCCCTCTAACACTGAATACAATAGCTTGCTTACAGCAGCAAAGTTTGCATGTAAATCGATCTCTTTCTACAGGTCGGTCATCAGGTCTCTTCGTTATCCGATTACAAGGGGAAAAACCTTCAGAGCATGAATGGCGACCAGAAAGTCCTTCTGTTCTGTCAGCTTGTGGTTTCGAATTATGCATTGTTCTCGTTATCATATCATAAGTAAAACCATAGTCACAAGAACCTGACCCCGAGAAAAACAAAACTGGGGAATTACCTCATCTCTAAAGTAAGTTAACGGGAAATATCCGACGAGATCGTGTTCAAGTTAAAGGGTGTGCCGTGTTGAGGGACTTTAAGTTGGAGGGCATGCTATGCTAAGATTTCTTTTTTGATTCAGTGAATGCTGCCATCACGGTTGAAGGGAAGAAGAAGCAGTGGCGAATCTAGCCTTAAAAATAAGGGGGGGGGGAACTTTCTGTTAGAGGGGCCAACGCTAGCCATTACTTTGCGAACTAGTATAATGTAAAGCAATGGCGTGGACGCGTGGCGGCTCAAAATTAGCTACAAGGCACTAATTTTTAGCACCCCCTAGAAAGGTATGTCCTTGGTAAAGCTCTATCAAGGCTGTTATCATTATGCCAAATAATTTTATTAGTGGCGTAACGAGCAGCTTCGTACCCTAGAAAAAAAAACAAAGAAAAATAGATGCTTGAGGCCCCTAAAGGTGAGGGACCCTTTGTTATTTAACTAATGGTAACTCTGGGCCGTTCCCCCTTGAGTTTTATCTGTTCAACGATAATGCGTCATGGACATTAGAATTTCAACAGAAGAACTATACTTCTAAAAATGAAAAGCTAATAGCTTTGTAAAGTTGACTGGTAAAATTTTTCCATAGTAGTTATGCCTTATATCCAACCACCATGAGATCAAGCAAATCATTCTGTTACACAGAATTTCAAATCATAGAATTTCGATAACCAATAGTAGATTGCCAAGGTATACTGGGATGGTATTGGTATTTCCCTGAGCTGGGTTCCAGAACGAAAAGGTTTTCAATGGGATGTAGAGAATCTTGATTTGGGCTTACCCTGCGCACCCCACTCCAAAAAGGTATATCTCCGTGATACTATATAACAATTATAGAATTTAAATGATTGTCAAGAATGAATTCTTCTTGGTAACTACAGAAAGGAACCAAAATTTCATTAATTTTCACCTCGGTTACAAACGAAAATGCTTATCAGGGCCTTTAGCTTGTTAATTAAATGCAATAAAGATTGCACTGAGCAAAATTAAGAGAGCAACCCTAACAAAAAACGATTGAGCAACTTTCGAAGAAAACATTTAATTTTCAATAAAAACTTTCAAAAAACTGGGGGCCAAACAAGGGGGAAAGAAAATTTCTGGTGGGGGGCGGGTGGCGTGGCACCCCTGGCTCCCCGTAGAAATGCCGCTGAGAAGTTTGAAAAAGGGCCATTCTAAATTGATAACCCTAAGTAGCTACCGACTCAAGAAAGATGCCAGACAATATTCATAAGCTTTTTTATAATGTGTAAGTATATAAGTATGGTGGTTTGTGTGTGGATTGATTTTGACAAGAAGATGGGCGTAGTCTGTAGTATTATCGACGGCGAGAGTATAGACGGAGAGAAAAGTGTGTTTGATGCAGGAAGGAAATGAACACAGGGCATGCCCCCCCCCACTTTTTTTGCAAAACAAAATGGCTTTTTTAAAAATCTTTTGTTATGATTGCTAAATTTTCCCTTGACCCGGCCCCCCTCATTTTCTATGCTGCGTCAGAGCCCATGGAACACTGACCATTTTTGGATCACAATTTATCAAAGCATCAAGGATATGCCATTAGAAATACGTTGTTGAGAAAAATCAAGCAACACTTTCTTTCCCAAATGTATGAAAATTTCATCATACATTCATAAGGAGCTATGTCCGGAAATATTGCACCCTTCGCTAAAAATGGCCGTTTTTTTAACTAAATAAAATTCAAAAAGCTGTTACAGAAATGGAAACTTTTAAGCTGACACTTCAAGCGGGAAATAATAGAAAATTAATCAAGGAATTATAGTTAGGATATGAATTTCAAAAAAAATTCGAGTTTCTTCTATTTCTGAACAATATTCATGATTACGAACAGTGGTGGCGCAAGGGGAGGGCTAGGGGGGCTACAGCCCCTCCGTCGGAAGCATCCAGCCCCCCATCAGAAGAAATTTTGGGTTATTTTCGGAAGCTGCAGCCCCTATGTCAGAAGATTTTTGGCGCCACCTCTGATTACGAAAACGTGAAAATTGTGCTTTGATGAAAGGTGTACCTGTAAAATACTTCCTATAAAAAGGTCTTCTTAACAAGCTTGAGAGATTCTGTAATTGTAAATTCAGAGATACTTAATTTGTGCTTGAGTGTCTAAAAATGTTTAGTTTCCTTATGGAGCAACCGAAAGTTGAAAATCAAACTCAGAAAATAAAACTGAAGCTCATTTAGGGGATTACATCTAGGGGCTCATTTAGGGCTGCCACAGTTCTGAGCAAAAACATTTCATCAAATTACTTAAATACCTGAAAAAGATCATAAATAATATCAAATTAATTTTTAGAAACAGAGCTTAGCTAGCTTGCTTCTCAGGTCATCACCCCTTAGTGCCTCTTTTAAAGGACCTACAGAGAAAGTTGGTCAAAAGGGTAAGGTTAGAACAACTGTCAACCAGAGTTCATTTTGCGTAACTGTTGGCCAGAGCCAAAATAATGCATACATAGTTTAAAACAATATATAGAATGAATAATACTATTTAATTTATAATGTTTTGAATTATTTTAAACATTCTTCAGAATCTTTTAGATTTTTTTCTTCCTTCCTCTAAGTGCAATTGTGTTAAAGAACCTTGAACAAGAACAACAAAGTAAATGGCATATCCTTCAAAAACAACAAACTTACCTTTGCATCAATATCAGCTCCAAATCTGAAGAGAACAGTGCATGAGTACATGTCTTTCCCAGTTACAGCAATATGGAAAGGTGTTTGACCTGAAAAAAAAATACTTTTCTATGTTCTATGTAGAAACACAACAATTTTCACCTACTGATAGACGATTTTGCCGAAAAACCACAGAATCCATACACCAACTACAAATTTACCGACAAAATCATTAAAATTGTGGGGGGGGGGGTGTCTTGCTAGCTACTCCCCTGATTATAATGCTCTTTTTATTTATTTCTATTCTATTGCACCTTTTATTGCCCCTCATTTCTCGAATGTTTGAGACTGGACACTTGGTAGGAAGCTGCTGAATTGGTAGGTGACGTGCTTTAACACTGAATATCTTTCAAAAATTTCGCATTTTAAAATTGGTTACCTGTCTGCTCTAAAAAATTATTTTTCTAGGGAAAGGACCAGTCCATGTGATAGCTATCTTCATCTTAAAAAGCATAGCCTAACCTTTTTGCAAGGGAAGAAATTGAAAAGACTTTTCCATAAGTTTTGGTTTGAATCAATAAAACGAAATTATGTGGAAAATCAATGAATAGGAAGAGAGTAGGTGCAATATAGTTCTTTCTGAGCATTTTTCAAAATATTCCCCAAAATATTTTATCGTCGACGGTGGGTGTTTTTAAGTTTGTCATTTAGGAGCATGTAGTTAGCTGTAAATACAAGATAGATTATATGCTTGAGCTACAGGGTTATAGACCTGGAGGGCTTGGGGTCAGTCCCAATTGTGAATGCCAAAAAGTAAAGCTCCTGTAGTTTTGCTATTGCTCTTGAGACCTTTGTATGAGGATCCCTTGTTCTCTCCTAGCAGCAAATCCATGAGGGAGGGGTAGGGGGGTTACTTGCACACACACACCCTTCTAGCTCCATACCACATCCTATTGATAGAAATGGAAGCTACTTATTATACATTAGATTATTAATTTCTTTACAAGGTTAATGATAATATGTAGTGCAGGTTTATGTAACAAAGCAAGACAAACCTCTTCCATTTCTTGCATTTGCTAATACAGTCAATGCTTCTTTGTCAATTCTTTCAAATATTTCAAGCATTTGGTAGCCACCTGACTCTGCACAAATGTGCAATAAATTATTACAAGCTTGATAATCAAGAGAATCTGTATTTACACCTTTGGCTAATAGGCTTTCTACCACAAAATAGGACTCCATTTTGATGGCTTGAATCAGCGGTGTCTGTGAAGGACAAAGGCAAAAAAATCCCAATCAAAAAAGGCAATGTGGAAAATAAACCATGCATGAATATGAAGCAATCAAATTCTTTTTAAAACATCAGATTCTTTATCTCTGCTGTCCAAACATGATGGCTCAGTTGTTAGAGGCACGACTACAGACCCAAGGGTCCGTGGTTCGAGTCCCTGGCATGACCCAACTTTCATCCAGAGTGGGGAGAGACGCCAGCTCTTTGTGATTTCAGGCATAGGAATCACAAGGTGTGGTCACATCGAGAGGAAGGACCAGGACACTGCTCAATAAGCATTGCTTCTCAGTGTCCTAAAAACTACCTTTGGATGCTAGGTAGCAACAAATACAAATAAAAATACAAAATACAAACACAACTTGGATAATTTGCATTACATTTATCAGCCATTGCTTTTTTAGCAAGGAAAAACAGGCAAATAGGCAAGCAACAAAAGTTAGACAAATTTGTTTCATCAAGCTAGATGGTATTGTTAGAGTGTACCCAAGAGAGAAACAGAAAAAATACCAGGACAAAGAAAAATAATCAAAATACACGAAAAGTGGGTCAAATAAATTGAGTGTCTTAAATTGATGCTTCAACAGCTTCTTTTACACTGTTGTCAGTTTGAGAATATTTCTCATTTTGAGAAAAAAGACTTTGAGAAAACAGACATTGAGAAAAATTGATATTGCTTCAACACAGCTTGATATAAAAAACTGTGAAAATTCAAGAATACACAAAACAGTATTGAACAAAAACCATGCCCTTACCAAGCCAAAATTGTTTTTTATTTCAAGAGTATCTTTGGATGCAACATTGATAATTTTCAAAGCAGTATCTTGATTACCATTTTGAATGGCAATATGAAGGAAACTAAAAAAACAAGACAACCAAATATAAGAGATGCCAGGGAATGGTTTAATGCATAATATGGATAAAGGTATATTTCAGTGCATCATACAAATTATATGAACAACTAAGTTCGAAATCCATTCCAAGCCTGGTTTACCCCTTAAATGAGTTTTAATGTGTATTAAAAAAATTTAAAATGGTAGCATTTGTTCAAAAAACTAAAATTAGAGTTGTGTCTTATTCAATCATGTCCCAAAAACAAAGTTATCATTCTTGCAAGACTTATCTCATCACTTTTGAATCTTCCTTAGAAGGGAGTCAAGTAATTTTTCAGTCAAGTCATACAGATATTTTGAATCTCAGGTGACTAACAGTCAATATGACCAATAGCTGGTTAGTATTTGCAATTGCTTGACTCTCAGGGATGTAAACTGATGAATATCTTTGGAGGGTCAAAGACATTAAATTTAAAACCGATGAATAAGCCAACAGTTTTGTTCCAAAATTGCAATAAGGTTTACTTGCAGAACTATAAAATTATACTGTTCTGTCAATTCCTTAGGGAAAAATCTTAGCATATGTGTTTTGCAAAATTATTCTCTGGAATTATTCTTCTGTGAAATTAATCTGAGCATAGTGTCTTAGAATTTCTGATTACTCCAAAATTTGCAATAATTCAAAGAATTTCAAAGATTGGGAAGTGACATCCCACACAACCCTCTGTATTTATGTGCCTGTTGACTCTCCTCATTATCAATCAGGAAAAACAGATTATAGCTTATTTTAACCAGTAGCCTAGTATCAGTTTGCATTCTTCAACTATGGTAGCGGAACATCCAGTATGTGGAAAATTTTGATGCATCTTAAGTGCAGATTCAAACAACTGGTTGAAACAAGAAGAGTTTAGAGCTATGGCCTCAGTAGAATTTATTTAGGCACACACTTGTAATTGGCAGATATTACCTCTTTTTTGCAGACTACTTGGGTGCTTGATGTGTCTTTGTAGAGACTTGGCTTGTATATCTTGTACCCATTTAATGTAATAGATTGAACCAGTAAGTTATATTTTTGACTTTTACAGAAAGCATTTATATTTTGATGAAACATTTTTTTGAAGTGTTCTGTAAATGTATAACAATGTAAGTGGTAGAATGTTTTGAAAAGACCTATTTGGTTTCTTGCAAAAATATGCCTCAAGCAAAAATGTCTCAAAAACAATAGGAAGCATGCTATAGAAAGACATACAAACCAAGCCCCTCCCACTCTAAGACTACATTGCTGCAAGAATATGCATCCTCATTAAAGGTTTAAGATTTTTGTTGAATTTCCATGATGCATCTGGGTTCAAAGATATATAGGTATGTGATTTATTCAGCCCATTCATGCCCCAAAGTGGTCCTGGAATTTTACAATGTCTAGTCACGCACCATTTTTGTTTGAGTTCAGCTTTTACAGCAAGCATTGCAGATCTGTATTGTTTTGAAACCTGTAAATCTTTATTAAAACGGATAAGTTGGCTTTGAATTTGAGACAAATTATGTTAAAAGGCGAAATATCAACATTCTTCAAAATGCTTCTCCTCTGACGCACCACATTTTGAGAAGAATATTTCGGGCATACCGGCCCTCGCTAAAACAATAGCAAAAAGTGAGAAAAGGGCCATTTTTTAGCATTTACAGAGGGAATCAGCACCACGAGCCCCCCTGGGCCTCCCCGAGCCCCTCTTAACTCTACATCTTTGGGACATGCCAAAACATATCCAATTTATCCTGGCTAGCAACAAATATTTTCCTCTGAGAAGTCGCGGGACACGAGCACTAAAGGCATACAGTTAGGAAAGAAACCTAGAAGTTAAATAATTCTTACCTATCACCGTCTTCGTCTTGACTTTTAAGTTGGTCTAAGATATTGGTGTCGCAAGAAGCCGATCTTGAATACTCGGGTCGTCCGTTCGTGAAACTCTGACGGTGTCTTTCTTCCAAAGCAAATACATTTGCAATTTGGCCATCGCAATCTTCTGTGAATCCTGAATCAGTATATTCCTTATCGGCACTTGAAGTTGAGCGAGGCCTCGTCGCCATTTTGTTAACGAATAAACCCTGCTTTCAAGTCATAATACAGAGAGTTGAAATTATCGAGAAAGGAACTAATAATTAAGAAATCGATATGTTCCTTCGAGGAATACTAAAACTTCTTCAAGAGTTGGTCTCAAAGCGAGGCTTGAAATTTACTAGGGATTACGCATAATAATTACGCATAAATTAAAATGCGGTACTGAAAATTTCTGTAGGTTTTATAAACTCAAAACTTCTGAAAGGTTTTTTAAGCCCCGGCCAAACGAGCTAACATTTCACCCAACATTTCAGCCAACGCGCTCTTTTCGCATGTTGGGTCAAATGTTGGGTCATTTGGTCACCATGTTGGGTAACCCAACATTGTTGGAAAATATGTTGGCTGAATTGTTGGATCGATTTGAAACTGGTCAAAAATGTTGGCGGCTGTTGGATAGTAATTAAAATAATCCCTACTGTTCAAGGTGCTGTTTGGCGTTGTTGGCTCGTTTGGCCAGGTTGCCCAACATTTGTTGGCTTCAAACTTAATTTATAGCGCTGCGCGCCAAGTTTGAATTTGTGAAGCAGAGATCAAAATTGTAAGAAGAGGAGCGTAGATTTGATTGGGACGACTGAAGAATATTGGATAATGGAAGAGTACGAAGAAAGAGATTTAGTGAGTAAAGATGAGTACGACGAGACCGTAGAGGAAATGAATAGAGCTTTGGGGATAAGAAAAGCGTTGCTTTCAAGATCAGGGATGGCAGGCTTAGGTTGTCTTGGACTCAATCCGAGTATCCCAAAAACAGTTGTGCTAAATGTTGGGTGAATTGTTGGATCGTTTGGCCAGCCTTCCTAACAACTCCCAACATTGTTGGGAAAGATGTTGGGTTAAATGTTGGGCGAAATGTTGGGCGAAATGTTGGCTCATTTGGCCAGGGCTTTAGTTGAAATAAAACTCATTTGCACTGTCTGTCATTTTCTGGAAGGGACACCGACGGCAGACAGGTTTTGAAGGATTTTTTGCTCTCAAGAAGTACAAGCATACTTATTGTGGCCTTTTTAATAGTATAGGGCATGATTTCTTCCAAAAATTTGCTTTATTACTAAATGGAAACTTTTGGTTGGTTTCCTATGTAGAGTTTCTTATAAAAGAAAGTGTTATTGCCTCATATCATGTACCCAAATTATTCGACAGAAGAGCGTAAAAATTGCTAGAACCACAAAACCCTATTTTCAAAAATATCATCTCAGCTGAACAATATTTTAATTGCCAATCAATAATAAATTTCAATGCAATATTTTACATGCCGAAGGACGGTTTGTACAAATAAAAGTTTTTGTTGTTGCTGTGCTTAGTAAAAGATTGGATAATCGAATAGAAGGCCACAAGTTCTTTGGAGTTAGATAACGATCTTTCATATATGATACATCCAGCTAGGGTATGTTTGGATATGTGTTTCAACAGGTTGGCCCGGTCGTAGCTTTCAGAGCAGAGTTTTTAAGTGATGACATCACGAGAATCCATCCTTAGAATTTCCAAATTTGTATCCCATAACCTGAAAGACCACTATGAACTACCTCAGTTAAATGTGTTACGGATAGACTGAGATATGACAACATGAGCACAATCCCTTTCCCCATTAAACCTCTGTTTACAGGTTGATCTCTGACCAAATCTTTCATTTGCCAAATCTCACCTGATTTTTCAAAAATTTAATTGTTTTGCATACTTAGCAGTTTTTAATGATGTTCTTTTAGCTTATGTAGTAAACAATACCAATACTCTTAAAATATAATGTTTGTGACGCCAAACTCATCTTTACTCTAGATATTCAAGGCTTAGAGTTTATGCTAGAGTACATTGATGTCAAAAGACAAATCAAATTACTGCTTAAAATAAAAACAGGAGAAAAAACACGCTTTACTAAGAAGGCAGCTTATATACTTTATTTATATACCAAATAATTATTTTTAGCTTTCAAATATACCTTTACAATTATTTTAACAAAACATAGATCCATCGTATTTAGTTCTTTTTAAGATTCTAAATATGATGTTTATTAGAACAAGTGAAAAATCCATTGATAAATGATAATAAAATGCATCGAAAAAAAGTGTTGCACTATAAACAGTGCCACACTTGACGTTTTACCCATCATAACCCACGTAGCATTTTGCCAGGGCCAAGCTATGCGAGCTTTTGCAAGCTATGATAAACTCATGTAAGCGAGCTTAGTAACCTCGGAGAAAACTTAAGTAAGCCAGCTTGGTAAACGCAGGGAAACTTAAGTAAACGAACTTGGTAAACTGAAGTAAGCCAGCTTGGTAAACGCAGGGAAACTTAAGTAAACGAACTTGGTAAACTTAAGTAAGCCAGCTTGGTAAACGCAGGTAAACTTGAGTAAATGAACTTGGTAAACTTAAGTAAGCCAGCTTGGCAAACGCAGGGAAACTTAAGTAAACGAACTTGGTAAACTTAAGTAAGCCAGCTTGGTAAACGCAGGGAAACTTAAGTAAACGAACTTGGTAAACTTAAGTAAGCCAGCTTGGTAAACGCAGGGAAACTTAAGTAAACGAACTTGGTAAACTTAAGTAAGCCAGCTTGGTAAACGCAGGGAAACTTGAGTAAATGAACTTGGTAAACTTAAGTAAGCCAGCTTGGTAAACGCAGGTAAACTTTATTTAGTGGACTTATTAAACTGAAGGTAAACTCAAGTAAGCATGCTTGGTAAACTAAAAGTAAACTTAAGCAAGAGAGTTTTGTAAACTCAAGCAAACTTGAGTGAACAACCTCTGTAAACTCTTGTGAACTCAAATAAGCGAACATAATAAACGCAAGTAAGCGAGCTTGGCAAACTCTTGTAAACTCCAACAAGCTAACTTGGTAAAGGCAGGTAGACCCATGTAAAGAGGTTGGTAAACGTAGGTAAGCTCAAATAAGCGAGTTTGATTCTCCAGGCAGTAAAAATAGCTCATGAAACCAAAGGGGCCTTCATTGCGGAGAAAAAATTATGAGCTATGGGGGGCTAGGGGAGTGATTTTCTTTAATTACATAAATTGCACTATAATGAAAAAATGATGATAAATGCAGACATGAGGTCTTTTCGGAAGTATAGACATAAGGATACGGGTACATTAAAGGGGCTTTCCCCCTTTTTATCATAGCATACAAAGATAGGCCTAACAACTTTTACATGTTAATCAATAAGTTGCTTTCGCTAATGAAAGCCAGCATGTTAATGACTGAACTTTTCTTGAGGCGGTGCTGCCTATTATGCACTGCTTCAACGCCACCCTGGCTACTTTTCTAAATTCACATTAGAGAAAGTGGTAAGAAACATAAATTAACATTCAAGTTGGGCAAACAACACTTCTGCGCACAGAGCAAACATTAAGTTTAATTGCATTTATGTTAGTGAAGTTGCAACTTTATGAATCACAGGACTGTGTTAGCAGAACATCAGTATCAACATATCTGAGGGTAGTTTCTTATTATCGTGTCGGCACATCTGTCATTGTGTGTTCCATGAATGTTGGTCTGAGATGCTTAGCTGCAATTAAGATAGCAAAGAATAGCATATATTGCAAATAATATACATTGAAAAATCAACGTCCTAGTCTTAAAACAATGCAAAGGTTTTGTAAAATATGAAAATATGGAGGGGAACATCGATTCGAGGAAATTTTTACCATGCCAGTTTTAAGCTTTAAGGTTGAAGAAATTAGCCCGTTTTTCAATAAGACCCTTTTTCTGGAGATTAAAAAGAGATTATGCTATAAAATTTCTGTACGTTTTATAAAAATTAAAATTTCTGAAAGGTCTTTTAGTTGAAATAAAACTCATTTGCACTGTCTGTCATTTTCAGGAAGGGACACCGACGGCAGAAAGGTTTTGAAGGATTTTTTGCTATAAAAACCTAGTGAGTTGAAAACATAACGGTTGGCATTTTGGAATAAGAACCCCTATTTAAAAAGATCCAAGTCAATCTGAACATCGGAATCGGTTCTTGCTAGCAGACCACGGTGAAAATGGTGAAAATAGATCAGTATCCATCACATCTTATGCTATTTATATTAATTAAATACACAAAATTGATAACTTTAAATATTTAATGAAGTGTGCATTAGAGATAAATGAAACTGATAAAATTGAAAGATGTCCATCCAAGAGTATCTAGCAAGTTGATTAATTCCTATAAACGTCTGAATAAACACAATGGTTTAAACCATAGAAGAATTTAAAAACCACTTTGAGAAACTGAAAAGCCTCATTGTCTGTTCAACCTAAATCATAAATAGATTATATGGACTGAAAGGCGAAATTGTAGGCTTTGTACAAGGATATTTACAGAATAAAGCAGCATTTTTCTAAAATTTGGATTGATGTGCCACAGTACCTCTTTGCAGATACGCTTTTGCCTTTGAAAACAACAGAAGCTAGAAACACAAACCTACTCTATGGCTTCAGACTTCACTCTTCTTTGCTGCGCTGTCACTATTTGCACCCGTATCGTCACCCAAAGTTGCGTCATCTAAGAATGTTGAATCCGTAGGCGTTGCTACAAATATATGAAAGAATTATTGTCCAAACCACATACAAAATTTAGTTTAATTGATACAGCAACTATTTATAATATTTTTTGCTCTCATTAAAATCTAACCATCTATCTCGCACTGTTTTGGGAGACAGTTTAAAGGCATTCTGTCACGACGTTGATTGATTATAAGAACAAAGGGATTTTTTATTGTTTCCAGTCCCCCTTTCATTTATGGCATTGTAAAAAATATGGCGGAGCGCTGGAATTGTGTTCAGGCTATTGTTCCAGCTATTGTTCTCGTTAACCAATCCACAACGAGACAGATTGCCTTTAACTGACGATTGAGCCAATTAAGCAACATAGCAAGAAACCAAGCAATCAAGCTAACAGGCAATCGAACAATCAGGCGAGCAAGCAATCAATTGAGCCAATTTATTTGTCTCCTAACCAATGCTCAAGGTTTATTCAGCTAATGCTGAAATGAAGTCGGAGAAAATTTGAATTGACCAGTTATTCTCAATTTAGAAAAGAAAAGAGTACTAGAGAAGATGCTCAACTGAAGAAGTACTTGAAAGGGAATGCTTAAGAAAACGATAAAGTACTAAGCGAGTTAAGTGCGGCATTCATAGAGGATCTGTTTGATTTATTTTCTTTTGATAGTGCTGAAAATGTAGGGAATAGAGTCCTTTTTCTGAGAACGATTCCATTCCCATGAATCGTCAAGGCAAGGAATAGCAAGACTCGTTCGAAATTTCTTAATCATGAACATAGAGCATTGTCTACTAAAGCATAGCGTCGATGTGGTAAAGAACAAATAAAATAGGAGACAGGATAGATCCTTATGAAGCACCGTCATTCATTAGGTGTGGATCAGAAGGATATCATTGGAAAAGAAAATAGAAATGCTGTTGAGAGACTAGTTGTAATAGTTCCTGCTTTCTTCATGAACTGTTTCTCAACTTATCAAATACTCTTGGTCACATACGGATAATATTTGCAATGTTGTTGTTAAATGACAAGACCAACGCTCACCATTTTCGTCTTCTGCAGTGTCATCCCCATTTAAAGCATTTATATCTTCACCTTCTGACATATCACTTGTGTTCTCTCCGTCACCCATGTTATCCATTTCCGCATTTTCTCCTGGCCCAGTATCTTCAGCATTTGCTTCGTCGCTGGTTTTTTCTTGATTGCTATCTCCAGCACCATTATCAACAGTGGCATCCCCACCTGTATTGTCTCCTTCCGACCCTGCTGTTTCACTATCCACGGAATCACCAGCTGTTTCACTTCCGCTGTCATTTCCAGTCACAGTTTCAGTTGGGGAATCCTCGGCCCCGTTTTGGCCATCTCCAGTATCGGCAGTTAATGCAGACTGGTCACCATTGCTGGTAGTGTCATTAGTCATAGCATTCGTGTCTGAATTTACTTTTTCTTCATCCTGTTTAGTCAAACCATGAACTGATTCTGACGTAAGCGTTTCCGCGGTAAACCCCGTGTTTAACGCGGCATCATCGACACCAGACTGGAATGTCTTCACCTTATCCTCTTTCTTATCCTTGTTCAACTTGTTTTTTGGCTTTGTTGTTGGTTTTTCAGTGGCCTTAGTCGTTGCTTTCTTTTTTTCTTTGGTCGTTGGTTTGTCTGTAGGCTTCACTGCTGTCGTTCCACCTGGGGTAGTTGCTACTGTAGTGGGGGCTACTGTTGATGGACAAAGAGTTGTCATTACGGGAGCTGCTCCATCAGCTGGCTCTCTGTTTTCTGCAGTACTTTCCTTTTCTTTAGATTCATTGTCTTTTTCCCCTGAATCGCTTGTTTTCTCTGCACTTTTTGTATCATCTCCTTTGGTTTCCTTAGAATCACTCTTCGTTTTATCATCATTTTTACTGTCTTTATTTTCTTCGACTTTCTTCTTGTCGCTCTCGTCGTTATCTTTTCCTTTATTTTCCTCTTCTAAAAGAATTTATTATGTTAAGTCATGAAGTCGTGTAGTTCTTAAATGAGCCCAGAGCAAACTTTTTAGAATTCCTTTAGCACTCTTAAACTGACAATAGAGATTATTACATAATATTTGCTGCATGTATACAGACAGTTGTAGCTACATTGCATATTCCAATTAACTAGGAAATCCTAATCAACATGCAGAAGCATGAAAGAGGCTGTACATAACCAAAAGATACTGCAACTCCAATAGCAATTTCAATCAATCCATTTACCTGAGAAATTTGTAGAATCCTTTTCGTCATCCTTCTTGCTATCAGATTTTTCTGAAATGCATTCGAAAAAAACATTTGTTAAAAACCTGTCTAACTTTGGCAAGTTGTCAAAAACTACCGTAGTTGCAGAGCAATCAGAAAGAGCCCTGAATCTTAGGCTGAGTCTTGGGCGGGGTCGAAACTGCATGAGAAATCTGAATGAGAAAGAAAAGTTTCCATGTCTTCATATGGTGATGTCTCGCATCATGTTTATTTTAAAAGCAAGCAAGCAAGCAAGCAAGCAAGCAAGCAAGCAAGCAAGCAAGCAAGCAAGCAAGCAAGCAAGCAAGCAAGCAAGCAAGCAAGCAAGCAAGCAAGCAAGCAAGCAAGCAAGCAAGCCAGCAAGCAAGCAAGCAAGCAAGCAAGCAAGCAAGCAAGCAAGCAAGCAAGCAAGCAAGCAAGCAAGCAGCAGACAGAACAAAAAATATCCAATGATTTGGCAGACATTTCTACAAGAGAAAGGCTGGATGCCTAACCATTTCATAAAGCTGAATCCAGATAGTTTGATATCAGCTTAGTTTTAAAAATAAGAGATTTTCCTCCAGTCCAGATTTTCCTACGTAGAAGAGGCTCAAGCGCCTCCTTTCTTATCTTGCACCACCCTTGTGCAGGCTGAAGCAAGCACGAAGATTTCAAGAGTGCTAAAATCACAATTAAACTTAAATCCATGAATATAACGAAGCTTACCATCTCCATCCTTGGCTGCTCCTTTTTCATTTTCATCAAGGGGTGCTGAATCGGTCGGTGCAGCATCTCCAAAAGCATCGTTTTTATCTTCTACAACAAATAATTGAAATAATTACAAACATCAAGGTCAAAATTATCCAGTATGGTTTTAAAGGTAAGATAAAAATGACAAAGAGTGAACAAAAGCATCAAGAACGAAAAACAGTTTGGAAGCTACTAGGTTCATCTATGGCCTATTCCTGAAGCAGAACATGCGAATACGTAACATGAATAAAAATCATTGAAAGTCTGCAGATGAGATAATTTTTGTGTTGTTTATACAGGGAAAGAGAATCACACTGAGACATGTTGACACCTTTTTGGTGCAAAATACTGTAAATCTATAATCCTTGCTTACACAGTTTCTAATGCAAATACACTCATGCAGTCTCTTATATCATGATTCGATGAGCTATATTTTCATTGTTATGGTTTGCGGTGTCATTGGAATGAAAGTTCAATTGGAGGAGAGGGGTGTCTGAGAGAAATGCAGGGCGTGTCTGAGAGAAATGCAGGGCGTGTCTTGCTATTTATGTATGTTTAATTCGCCACAATCATTTTACTAACAGGTAATGAAAGTTAAAAAGTTTAAAATACAATAATATAAATTAAAAAACAAAGAAAAACACCCTTGATTTCAGTGGCAAGGATAGCATCAAAAGGTCAAGCTGACTTTATTTTCATAATGGTCCCCTTAGAGATGCTGGTTTAACAGGAAAAGAAACGAAGTAAAAAGGATGATACAGAAAATTGCATTCAGAACTTCTTCATGAAGGATATGAAGCATGGGTAGAAAAAAGTTTTCTCCTTTTGAAGGGGGAATATAAGTAGATTACTTTCATGTCCAAATCTTAAATACTTTGTTAAAGAGGTAACTGCAGAGAACCTTTATCAGATTCATCTAGACTGGCGCTCTCAGTAGGGCTAGCATCAGGATCGTCACTCATCTCTTCCTCTAGAGCAGACTTCTTGCTTGCTGTCACCTCATCAGAGATCGAGTTACTTGACAAGTCGGATGTACTTTGAAACAAGCGCAATGGACTCCTTATTGGCCTAGCTAATTGCTAAAAAAGACAACATATCCAACATGATTAAAGTCGCACAACAAGACATTATATATACAAAATAAGGCTTCGTTTACACGATACTGAATTTCAATCAATGCGGTACGACCGCAATGCCTTTCCATCTACTCGGATATGCCAATGAATACGGTACGAAACGAAAACTCTTACCCATATAGAAATCGTGTATCGTATCGTGTAATGTAACGGTACCGTGTAAACGACTGAATCCTATACAATCCTGAATAGAAGGCAGCTAATGATAATTTTCATCAGTCGCCTCAAAGCGCTTCTAACAACACAATCTATTACTTTGAAGGTCCAGACATTTGTCTCATTCAAGTGATCAGATCGAAGCAACCAAAAGGATTGCAAAACTTTTCCAATAAGAAACAAGTTAATATTATTGACAGAGTGATCAACAAGAGCAGTATCTTGAATTAAAGAGTGGAGGGACCATATAGTAGAAACGTTAGGCTGCCAGCTTTCAACAACACATGTCGCTAAAAATGCGGGAGGGGGAGTCGTCTCCAGCCCCCTCTCACGTGGTCTCTGTTTTGGATGAAGTTTCTACAAGAGCCTTGTGATATTTCCCCTTTACTCGTGATATGTCAGAATGAGATATAAAATTCTTCAATCCAGACTTGAAATATGAAAGCAGAAATGTTTACCTTCTTTGCTTTTCTTGCATATCGAGTTCCAGTTACTTCCTTTACCTTTTGATATTTCAATCCTTCCTTTTTAGGTTTCTTTCCTTTCGATTTTCCAGGCAGTAAGACAGCTTTGCGTGGAGGTACGACAGCTTTACGAGGGTGAGACTCTTTCTTCTTAATTAATTTCCTTTTCTTCGTTTTTGTCTTTTTTGGCTTGCTTGCTTCGGTAGGTGTTCGCTTATCTCCTTGGTTAGGCTTTTGGCCCATCGTCGCAGTTGCAGTTACGATAATGTCTTTTCCAACTGCATTTTTTGTTGGCTCAGCCTGGAGTTCGGCGCTCACTAAAAAAAAGGAATTCAATTACCTCTAGTATTAAAGAGCATAATTCAACAGAGGAGGGGGATAACAATATAACCCTTCTACAAATTGTTCTCAGAGTCTTAAACTGTACAAAAGTGAAAGATACATATTTAAGTACCACACATGCTTACAATGTGTTATCTAGAGTTTTTGAAGCACAGAGGATCAAAACTTCGAATCATAGCTCTTGAGTATTGTCTTGAAGCCACTTTGTATATCAAGTGATCACTTCACATTAGGTGAATGTGCAGGATAAGAATTGTCAAAAAATTGCTATATGGTATAACCTTCAATAAACTATACTTTATATAATCAAGGTTTTAACAGTGCTTTGAATAACAGTAACCATTACGGTGGCCCACAACGGCCATGGCACGATCTTTTTTCACGGCACAGTTATATATTTACACGGCACACATATACATTTCCACGGCACAGTCCTATATCTCTGACGGCATACTTTCATATTTCTGACGGCACACTTTTATATTTCTGACGGCACACCTTCTTATATCTCACGGCACACTTTCTTATATCTTTCATTGTGATTATTCTCACGTATAAATATTCTGGATAAAAATTCTGGCCACTATTCCATCACCATCATGTTCAGCAAAACGATCATTCAGCTCACTGAGGCACATAAGAACATATCTTCGTAGCACCATGGGACAGCAAACCCTCATTAACATCGCGCTTTATTCAACTATACCCCATTATTCAACTCTTGTCCATAATAAAGATTTCGACAAAATAATCGATATATTTGTTGCCATCGTTGAAGAGATTTGTACACCCTTGTCTGAACTCAACCCGTACGCCTATGGGCGGAGATGCAGTGTTTTTATCCAAATGTGCCATAGATAAGTACCATCTCCAAGAAACGTGTAGGACAAAGTTATCTCTGGTGTACACATGCCACACTGTGCAGACTGGCCGGCCACACCAGCCAAGATTTAAGGTCTGTGATCCCACTTTGACGAAGTGAAATTTATCTTAAATTAATTATCCAAAGATAAGTTTATTTCAAATCACATTCAGAACATGGTGCTCCTTTTCAGTTATGTTTTCCTTACTAATCGGGCTAAACGCCTCGTTATGAGAGTGTGGAAAATGTGCCGTGAGAAATAAGAAAGTGTGCCGTAGAAATATGTAGCTGTGCCGTGAAAACAGATTGTGCCGTGGCCGTTGTGGGCCACCGTAAACCATGAATCAGAGCTGTTTTACTTGTTTAACTTAGAGTTGCTTAGTCTTCTTAGAACACCGTATTCTATATTATTGTACAAGAAGATCGCATAAAATAGAAGTGTGACAATGAATTGAAGTATTCAAAACATAAATATGTAGTTACCTTTGTCTTGTCTTCCAGGGCGGGCAAAACAAGCCGATATGCTTACAGCAACAATACAAATTAGGAGAGAAGCTTTCATTTTCTTCTTGGTTTATCTCAGTTTCAATACAGCCTCAACTTGTTGTGAATGTTTGCAATACTTGTTTGTGAGTTCTCAACGGCAGCTGTAAGCAAAACCACTAACAATGAAAACTTACAGGCAACTGATAAGTGTTCTTGTCTATCTTTAAATTTCTTCAAAGCTTTGCAACGCCAATAAAAATTGTCTGGCATCAATTTACTCAGTTCAAGATCAAGTTCATAATTATAAGGTTTAAGGGGGTGAAATTATCTAATGTCTGCAGCGAATCTATCTTACTGGTGTTTTTTATGTTTACCAAATGGTTGATTGCACATTCATGAGCGCGATTTGATCCTAGTAAACACGCCGATTGAGACGTGACATTGAGTGATTGAAGCTTTAATTAAGGGTCATGGCAATACAATAAAAAGATCATTTAATGGAACATCCCTGGAAACAGTGAGACATCAATGAAACGACATCGATAACCTAAACGACGTCTAAAGCTATAGACGCAATCTGCAAATAAAAGATAAAAATTCATGTTGAATTCTTGCTGGTCATAAGATCGCTTACAGATAACATATGACTGGAAAATGAAATCTAGAAATCTGGGGACCATTCTAAAACTTTGGTGGGTCATAGGATCAATAGACCAAGAAGCCCTGGAATACACTCTTATTTTTTATAAGAACCAGTAAATTTAAGTTCAGGCTGACTGTTCTTAATTTTTTCGAAAATCTGAGGCTGGATTGTTCTTAATTTGTTCTTAAATTAAGAGGGTGTCAGCAGTGCTATTGCTAGCTTTTTCGCTCTAAGGAGGTGTTCAGGCCTCATTTGCCAACAAAGTGGGTGAGACAGCCTTAATTTGCTGACAAGTTTGAATATTCACCGAAAAAGCACCAACACATCGCTAAAAAGCCTCAAAACTGGTCAAAAGTTAAGAACAAATTAAGAACAAGCTGAGGCTGAGCTTCTGCAAAATGCAATTTTGAACATCGTTTTTTCTCAAAATCGAGGACTTTTAGCGATGTTTGGGTGCATTTTTGGTGAATATTCAAATTAGTCAGCAAATTAAGGCTGTCTCACATACTTTTTTGGCAAATGATGCCTGAACACCTCCTTAGAGCGAAAAAGCTAGCAATAGCACTGCTTACACCATCTTAATTTAAAAACAAATTAAAAACAATCCAGCCTCAGATTTTCGAAAAAATTTAGAACAGTCAGCCTGAACGTAAATTTACTAGTTCTTATAAAAAAGAGTGTATACAAGATAAGAAATTAATAGTGCTTTATATTTCATATTACTTTATAATTTTAACTGTCAATTTAAAAGGTGGTACGCTCCGATGATCGAGTGCTTATTGCAGTCATGAAAACAGAGCCAAGGACTGTGGCAGTCACATGGTCGAAAACAGCGAGGAAGCAAATTGAAAACTTAAGCCCTGCCTAAATCCAACCTTTTTCGTTGTTTTCTTTAACAAAGTTAGCGAATCTGAAAAGTGTGGCCCAAAGGTGGGATGAAGACTTTTCTGAACTCTGGGTAAGAAAATTAGGTGCACTTCATGAGGCTTTTTTGAACGACTTTGAAAAAGTTAAAAAATGGGTAAAATTTTATGGGGCCTTTTCATTCTGAATGTTTGTAGTGATTTCAATATTGTAAAATAGGCCATATTCCTACTCATTTACGTTATTCACGGCATCACCTAGCACAGGACATTCCCTTCACCATTGTACACACGTTCATACATCTATGTCATGCTGATTTCTTCCCAAGTCTAGATCTTTCCTTCTCCATTACATCATCATTAGATCATCCTAACTCATCCTTAGTCAGCAATTTGATTTCTGTATATATGTTTATTTGTATTTGAGTCAGTTCAGATGAGTGCAGATCAAAGCTCCACAGTCAACACACTCTCTCTCACTGGCTCCGTGTTCTCTGCACTTTAAATAAGATTCGTCGAAGTAGCATCAACGGTGGAAACGCAAAGGATAAATATAGGAACCACGGCAACCCTTGCAACATATTAGCGTTCCTTTTAGAACCAAAATTTTCGATGGGATTCATTTTCGGTGAAGAAGGGCAACGGAATGTGTCTTTTTTTGTGGTAACTTCTTTGAAGTAGAAAATAAATCTTGGGATATCGATTTTGGTAAAATCAAACAAGATCATAAATTTTGGGACTGATTTTCATTTACTTGATTGAGTTGTTGGAATTTGCAAATTTGAATTGAATTTAAGAGTATGAATTTCATATTGTATCAAAATTTTAGGGGTAAGGTTACCCGCCCTCCACCAGATGCACCCTACATCCAAGAAATTTTGTCATTCCCACAGCCCAGCACTATTCACAAGGCAATTGTAACAATGCTTAACAGGTATGAAAAAAAAGCTTTGAACATTTCACTGGTCCGTCTGAACAACTCAGTGATTACATTCACAAGACGCAAGTTGTACAATACATTAGAGAAGCCTTAAATACCTGTATGGTAGAACTCTCAGATTGTCCGCTCCCGGTAACTTCATCAGCCTATTCCGGTCCGGAAATACTCGGTAGTTCGGGCCATTAAAAAATTAGCCATTGCCATCTGTTCTTTTGGAAAAGAAAGATACAGTATTTAGCTTGACTTATGACATCAAAAATATATATAATGAATAAAAGATTAAAAATGTCTTGACTATCTTTCACTTTGCTTAGAATTTTTATTAAAGCATACGCTTAGAAACGAAAATTATGTATATATATGAATTGACATCGGATAAAAGCATTTATAAAGGTTTTGAAGCAACAAAACAAAGTTAACTGTCACTTCACAAAAAGCTTGTATTACACTGTCGCAAATCAACCCCGTGAAAATGTACATAATGAAAATGTACGAATTAAGCTGCTCCTCAATGTTGAGGGATGGCTCCTATTCTTTTTACTATAACGCTTCTTTTCACTAATGTGAGATGGGATTAAGATTGGACTCATTTTAGAAACTGGTTTTAGGACAGTAAAGTATGAATAACTTTAAGTTGAACTTTAATACCAATAATAATTGAAGTATTGTTATATTGACAAAGACCAAACTGGTTGAGCACAGCTGGTTATACAGCCATCAAACCAAAAACTTGTTCAAAATATACAGGAGCTACTTAAAGGCATCGAGTCATGGTAAATAGGCCTTCTCTATAGGGGGTCATTTTGTTTCGGCGTGATCGCTGCTGTTTCATGTGATATTGGCATCCGTTGTTGTCAACTTCCTATTGATGGAAATTGTTTTGTCAATCATTACGAGGTATGTTCATGTGACCAGTTCCAGGTCAACCAATAGCATCGCAGTCATGAAAATCATGAATTTTGGCACTTGGGGTATACCCAATCCATTTTATAATAACTCAATGCCTTTACGAAATAGATCAGCTGTTAAGATTTTAAGATACGTATAGCAAAAGCTAAGATGTTTTTAGAAATCTTTAATTTTAGAAAATATATTTCAGTATTAGCTGTGTCAGGTGGCGGAAGATCTTTGCCGCTTGAAAGTCAAACGCTTTCCTCCCTACTTCAAATCTGACTTTTGGCAAAACAATTCTCTCTATATTGTCTCAAGTATGTTGTGTTATACTTTCCAAAGGAATTTTCAAAGGCGTGTGGTTTTGCACTATTTAAACTTTAGACCCAAAAAGGAAAAATTTCACTTTGCATACAGCTTTTATTTCAAACTTTCTAGTTCATAAATTTCGAATATCATATAAAGTTCATATAAATTAATATTATATAAAATTAATAAGTCTAATTACAAATATTTATTAAAGAATAAAAGTGAATGTTACGATTGTCTCTAAACTGACATCAAATTGTCCAGTTAAAAACCGAATGCATTTATTACCACATTAAATTATCTCCAGATAGTTAACATAAACCTCATCTACATTTGTGTTAAAAGTTGTTTCTTTTCTAAAAAAAATTTACCTTATGTTGTTATATCTGATCTTAGCTGACATTTGAAAGATTCTCTACTTGTTTGTTTCTTTATTCTTTTCTTATTAAATTGCTTGTTGGCTGCGTTTTTCGAGGTGATCAGAGAGTTTTTAGTTTATTGCCCATCTTCACTACTAGGCATTCCTGTAAGTCTGATTCCGTGATCTTTATTTGATTGATTGAAATGCAAAAGATCGAATTCGACAATCTGCCCAAGCCATCAGCGATCATAATTCTGACGTTTACATCGCCAGATTCACTTTAAATGTTTTTTTTTTCATGACCTTTTCTTGCCTGCAGACAAGTTGTGCCTGAAAATTTTTTCTGTCGTAGCACATTGCCTTGTTGCAAGTCTTGATAGTTACGCTGTAACATTGTAATATTGCAAACAAAATAAAATTTTGTCCAATACGACATAAATCGAGTGCGTCTCAACTCGAATAGGACATAAATCAAAGACAACATAAATCGAATACGATATAAATCGAATACGACATAAATCGAATACGACATAAATCGAGCGCGATATAAATCGAATACGAAAAAATCAAAAACGACAAATTAGACGGTTTAAGTATTGTTTTAAGCAACTGATTCCTAATCTCATTGACGTTTGATCCTAAAAAATGATGCCATTCTTGTCAGATAATATAGTGCTTATCCCAAATTACATAATTTTTTTTCTCACTTCTACTCTGATATCAAAATGATCTTTATGTTTGTTGCAGCGCAAGATATCAAATACAGCTTGATATTTTGATAAAGTTAGTAATTGTTGTAAAGTCTAGGTCGGAGCATAGAGATAATTAATTTGTGAGATTATGTATGTGATTTTCGTAACAAAAACGTGCTTACTACACACTCAGCCACAATAGCCAACTAAATAACCCTTGAGGTCATGTGCTGAAGCGATTTATCACGAAAGACGTGTCAACGCAGTGGTCGACGGGAGAAAGACTGGGCACCACCCTATTCCCAGGACTCGATCGCTCCAATAGTAATGATGATCAAAAATGAATTTGGCAATCTGCCAAAGCCATCAGCGATCATAATTCTGACGTTTACATCGCCAGATTCACTTTAAATGTTTTGTTTTTCATGACTTTCTGTTGGCTGCAGACAAGTTGTGCCTGAAAATCAGATGTGCTATCAACAATATTTAGATGTGCTATCAGCTAAAAATTATTCCGACAATCTATCTGGAAAAAGCCGATTTTTTACTATCTTACAAGTCTAAAACCGAATATATTTAACTATGCCGGCATGATACGTCGTCCGATTTCTACTCTCTCCAAACTGTACCGTTAGGGTATATGCAGTTCGACTGAGCGCATGAAATTGAAAGCATTGGATAATTCTTTAACAATAAAATAGAGCTAGTGAAAAATATTCTGAGAACTACCCTAATCTGAGATCTACACAATTAAATTTAAAAAAACATTAAAATGGTGCTGATTGCCCAGTACTAATTCGCAGAATTCTAGAAACCATTTATCTCTAAGAGATACTGACAAGGACAATATATTTAGTTGTATTAATGATCAAATATTGTTGTTTTGTCAGAGTTTCAAATGGTTGTTTCCGGTCCAAATCTGATAGTTGATACCATATTTGTTATTATAAAAAGAAAAAATATTTGCAATTTCGAATACAATTGTGTAATAAGCAAAATATCTGAAGGAACATTTTACAGCCAAACTATTATAAGTTCGAAACACCAACAGAAATCTTGCGAATTCGAAAACTTCAATTTTTTTCATTTATCCGAACTAATTTAATCTCTCGTGCAAATTAACATCGAAATTCCTTCCAAAAATGCAAAATACACTAAATCATAGACATATTTCTTTTCCTTGAGTGTTCTGAATGTTATTCTCTGAATGTGCAAACAAAAACCTTTGCAAAAGAGGTACCGATCGCTGTTTCGACCCAGCGATAAACAAGCTCGCTAAGTGGCGTAAACAAACAAAAAGCCGCGAATCGACGCATCCACGGAAGGCCTCGATTCGCGATTAACAAAAAGAGTTACGCCGTTTGCGAAATTCCTCTTGTCTTAACCTTTACCCCGAAATAGATTACGACAATTACCAACCTATTCAGGGCTCTTCTTGTTTCAGAGGCTTATGCATTTTCACCTGCATAATTTATGAGGTCAAGGTCAGATCACATGATCGCACTCAAACGAAGCAGAACGATCTGGACGCGGTTGGCAAGCGTTTCTGCAAACCAGGGTTCGCAATTTTGCTTCGATTTTTTGTAAAGTTTGATACATTATCTCGCCTGAAGCACAGGAAAAATAATATCGTTGTACTGGTATTTAGGGGTAAGTATGCTTGCATATAACTCTGTTACTTTTTCTGCAAATTAGGAGACATCGGTTGCGACGTCGCAAGGCCTGTTACGAGGCTTTCGATGTTTTGCAGAATATTACGATGCATTGCGTTAAAAGTTTGTTAACTAAAAGAGTCGAAATCTTTGTCGTTACTGAATTTGCAAAACCTTCAACGCCATATTGTACTATCAATTACGTTCACATTTCTACCTGTGAATTTTCATTTGCACAACTTATTACTTTCCAGGAACTTTAAGGAATTTTTGACCGCAGTGAAATTACAAAAATGCGACTCTCTCACATGCTAATCTATCCCGGGAAGTAACATTTTGCGAGAAATGGCGATACTGTTTACCGTTTTCGTGCGCGTTATAAGAAACGTATCATTTAGTTTATGCAGAAAGATAACGAAATTATCTCAGACATGCCTCAGTTCCAGGAACGCATGTTACATTGTTTTAGAATGCTATGGCTTTTTATGGTTACACAGCATTTAAAGATGGTATACAAATGGAGGGTTCGACATCTCTCAAAATGGATCATGGCAGATCCATTTTTGTTCTTTTAGTAAATAACTTTTACAGCAAATAAATTCACGCAAATAATCTCAATTGGTTTGGCTAGGCCTAACTCTATCAACATTTGATTAGCAAGTAAACATTGTAAAAAGACGGTTGATAACGCAATTTCTCGTTTTGTCTTTATCTAAAGTAACAGTTTTATATAGAGATTTTGCTGTATTTAATCTAGACCTGGTATGTCAATGATAAATTTTCTATTTCTTTGCAGATTCAAAAAACCTCAACAATGAAGTTGTCGTTTATATTACTAGGGTTTTTACTTTTCGTTTCGTTCGAACATGGACGTAGTCGGCCTTTAGACGACGAAAACAATGGTAGGTGTATCATACTCACGGTTTAAACCTATCATATCTAGAACGTAAGTTTTGCATTTCTTAGATTATGTTTAATTCAGGAAATGCTAGGGGGGGCTTATAGCGAAGCCTCTTCACAAGGGAAGGACGTGAGGGAGAGATGAAGAGAGAGAGAAAGAGAGAGAGAGAGAAGAGAGAGAGAGAGAGAGAAGGAGAGGGAGAAGAGAGAGAGAGAGAGAGAGAGAGAGAGAGAGAGAGAGAGGGAAGAAAGAGAGAGAGAGAGAGAGAGAGAGAGAGAGAGAGAGAGAGGTGAGATCAGGTTTGTTGGTTTCAGTTTGGAATAAAGATATGGATCTGAGGGACAAGAGGAGGGTGAAGTGTTTTAATGTTTACAAGTTTTGAGAATGGAACAGGCGTTATGGGGTAAAAAGTTTGTACGTACTAAGACAATTACAAAAATATCATAGACGAAAAGAAAACGGAAAATATGAAAAGTACCAGGTTTACCCCGAGGTCAATTGTGTACAAGTAGGAATATTGAGGCAATAATTACAATCAAAAGTTTTTAATTGTGATGATAAGGGTGATCAGAAACAATCAAACGTTTTCCATATTCACCTTGACATGCTCAGGTATATTTGAAAAAATTGTTTTTCATATCTCATGTCATTTTTCTATCATTCAAATGTCAGTCACATTGTAAGATGTTGAATACCATGAAGCAAAAGTTGAAATGTTAACTGATGAGATGACTCGAGAAGACTGGTTTAACAATTGCAAAGAAAGCCAGAATAACATAGCGTTTAAAATATTCCTTTTCTACCTAGTCAAGGAAGGCGACGATACGGCAGCCGCTGACAAAAGAGACAAAGTGGCAGTAAACAAGAAGAAAGATGACGGTCCTAAACCAAAGAAAAACGACCAAAAAAGCGGAGAAGAACGTCAGGTGACAACAAAAGCTCCAGAGAAAACTGTTGCAACAACAACAGCACCAATCAAACCAACCACGCCAGCAGTTGTAACAACAGCAGCAACAGAGCCTTCAAAGGCACCAGTAACAACAGGTAAGATAGGGGAAGAACATATTCAATGGTTCAGGATATCAAAAATCAATCTTCTTTTCTTGTTTCTCCCACTGTTGTTGATCTTCATCTGCAGCAATCATTGTTTAATTCTTTCAACAATGCTGTGTTCATTGCCTTCCTTGTTTTATTTAGCATTTCAATTTTTTCTTCTTTTGCCTCATTTGTATCCTCTCACTCTTCTATCTTTCAGTCCTCACCTCTCTCGTTATGTCCCAGAGCCATTCATTGCTTTTATCGTTCTTTTTTTCTCCGTTTTCATCTGCTTTCTTAACCGACTCCTTCTTCCTCTTTGCATCCATTTCAATCTTCTTCTCTTCCACATCAAATTCATTTATTTTTCTTTCTCTCTTCCTTCATCTCCCCCTATTCTTTTATTCCACTCTATCTTCTTTAATTCCCCTTCTTCTTCTTTCTCCTATTATATATTCTCTTCTTTCTATTGATCCCAAAAGTATAACCTTATACCCTCTCTTCTCTTCCTTATATATTGTGCCTGTCTTGTGTTATGCTGTGTTGTGTTGTGCCTGTCTTGTGTTATGCTGTGTTGTGCTGTCCCTGTCTTGTGTTATGCTGTGTTGTGTCGTGTTGTGTTGTGTTGTGTTGTCCTGTCTTTTCTTGTCTTCTGTAAAACACCTCATGATCTTCTATGACACGGAAAGTTATTTTCATTGTAGCAACTTTGACACATCAATACTTTATTTTTGTTTTTCTTTTCTTCTAGCACCAGTTACTGAGGCCCCAAAACCCACAACAGTGCCAGTGACAACTGCCCCTGGCTCTACAGCGGTTGTTACCACAGCTGGCCCAACCGTTGTCACAACTGCAGCACCATCTGTAGGTCCAACAAAGGTTCCTCCAGTTCCAGAAGTGGAAGGTGATGTTGAGAACTCAGCAAATAACACAAGGAATATGAACGGTAAGTCGTGTACAATTTGACTGAACTATTCCTCAAATTCCAACGATTGTTATGGAATGCTTTATGGTACTTCATAACGTTACGAAGTACTCAAGTTTATCTGGCTTATTCTTCGAAGGTCATATTTTCCTAGAATATTAATGTACCGTATTTCCTCTCATTAACGCCGCCCTCTGATAAACGCCGCCCTCTATTGAGCACCTTATATTTGTGAACTTTAAATAAATTTTCACACAATATTTTGTTTAATATATAATTTTTACGTGTTTTTAGTAAATAGAAAAAAGGTCTGTTTTTATCTTTTTTCATCGCAATTTTCTTGTCATTTTTCATTTGACAAACTTTTCAATAGCAAACGCCGCCCTCTATTAAGCGCCGCATCCAGAAGTCGGATTTTGTAATAAACGCCGCCGCTCTCTTTAGAGGAAAACGGTATTCGTATCAAAGATATATAACAAAATCTTTCAATTCTACCACAAGGTGACACAGACTAAAATGTTTCTTGCCAAAAGATCATTTATAGCTCCTTGTTGATGGTGTGAGAATGTTAGTAATGAGGATCTGAAACGATAGTTATTGTTGTTGTGAATGAGAGAAAAGATAGAAAGAGAATTGAAGGGGAAATATAGGTTGGACAGGTAGCAGAAGACGTTATAAAGTTAAGTAGGGGAATATCGAAGATGAAGAGAAACTGAATTATCGTTTTTATTTATTTTCATTCTTGTATGCTTCGTTACAAAAGAGGCCTAAATTACGGCATCTGCGAAGTTAGTAAAAGCAAGTCAATCCTTCAAATATTTTGAAGCTTTCTCTTGAAACTCTCTAGTCCACTTCAATTTCTTTCTTGGAATTGCTTATTTATTTAAGATTCTATAGACCTGATCCTTCCCCAGCAAAATTCGTTTTATTTTTTTGTTTCTTAGTAACTCTCCCTGCGATTATTTTATTTTCGGAAAGATTTCCTTTTCCTTAGAAGTATTCCATGTTTTTGCATGAATAACTTGTATCTTGGAGGAAAACATTGTAAGTGACTAAACATGATACTTTTTCACAGCTACAACATTCCATGTTGCAATCAGATTCACAGCAGAAAAATGGACAGATGACCTTCAAATCACAGTCAATCCAGTTTATGAGCGAACAAAACAGATGCTGCTGACAGCTGTGAGAAATTTTGTTTTTGAACTTTGGTGAAATCACCGAGAAATACTCGAGTTTTCTTCAAAAGTTTATCGTTTACTAGCAGAGTGTCCATCCAAGTCTCCTTTCGGCTAGTTAGCAAACACTGACAAAACTTTCAATGTAAACAATAAAAAAGGCCGTAGCTTTGGTGTGGTGAATGAAATCCTTTTATTATCACTACCCTTCTATTATCTAAGAATGTTTCACTCACTCACTTTGTCGGCAAACGGGGCCTGAACACATCTCTAGAGCGCTATAGCTAGCAATTGAACTGCTTGCACCCTAATAATTTAAGAGCAAATTAGGGATCCGGCCTCGGGTTTTCTAAAAAAGAACAGCCAGCCTGAACTTCAATTTAATTGTTCTTATAAAAAGAGTGTAATCTTCCTCATAAGCATCAGCCATGCAATCAACACTTTGCATGGACTCTTGATACCTGCTTCGCAAACATATTTCTCTTGACAATCTTACATTTGCCTTCGCTGTACCTTAACTGTGCCTTACCTTTACATTTTACTTATTTTCAGATTGAAAAAGTCTACGAAGGCGAGGAAACTTTCAAGCAAGTCGTCCTTATAGGCTTCAGGTATAGAAAACAAAATTTGTCACACAAAATTTAGTCATCTTGTTTTGATTTTGATCCTCTAATTTAAAGCAGACATATTTCAAACAATTCTACGAAGGCAAAGATTGCTTGACTGAAACATCTTTGTTCATATAAGATAAAAGTTAAACATGCAATGCATCACTTACCAGATATCTTTTTGTCTTAAAAAGTGACAGCCAAGACCAGAAGAAAGCAGCAGAGAGAAGGGAGACGTAAGTTTACACCCAAACATCTTTAGATTTCTAAAACAGAAAAGGGCAAAGCAATGATGAATTTAGGCTAATAACACGGTCAGCATCAATGATTGTAATATTGTGAATAACAAATGAGTCTAAATAAAGGAAGAAGCAATTATTAAATTCGATCTTTGCGTCAACTAAAACGAATTGTGAAGCGGTGCTGTTTTGAACGGAGACGTGGTTTTTGTCGGGTAACATAACTTAAGAAAATGATCAGTTGATGAAAGTTTTTCATTTCATAGAGAATGTGAAATAGTATCATTTTCTGACGTCTCAAGCAAGGCCAAAAAAGCCAAACGCCAATCCACTACTTTTAGACACGTTTATCTAATTATTCTTCCTCGGACTTTGAGAAGAAAAATGCTCGTTAGACATATTGATACGCCACATAATTTGTTGATACGCCGTCGAGGTATTGATACGCCACAGAATATAAGGGGAGTTGTACAATCTTTTATAAATGCAACGAAAATACCAAATAGCGCTTTTAGAATATAATGCAGAGAAAAAGCACTTCTTCCCATATCGTAACTTTAAGATTTATGAAGAATTGATGAAGGTTAAAAATGATATCTTACCTGTTAATATCTCCTGTCCAGTGTTTATACCAATCATTACCGTTGAAAAACAGTGACAACTTTTGTAAGAAAATATTCTCAGTTCGATTTATTATTTTTCATTATTTCAGTGTCAAGGCGCCACTGCCAGGCGTCGTCGCGGACTTCTACGTTCGATTCCATTCATTTGGAACGCATTTGAGGAAACTCTCAGACGAGATCAAGGACGGAAAGTTAGATACACACCCAGTTTCAAAGAAGTTCATCAGAGCTTGTAAGTATCATTTTATCGTGATGCCCAGCTTCAATTAGAAAACAAATGGGATTTTAGCGCAAAAAGCATTGACTAGGGTCTAGCTGAAAATTCGGGGTCATCCCCACACCCATCTTGCACAATGCAAGTTGTTAAGATAGATTGAGAACAAACTGAAGGCTTTTCTCAAACGAAGTTTCGTGAGCCAATAGAACAACGTTCCGCTCTTTAATTGTACTGTAGACGTTGTTGCAATTCCCTGCTGAATGTTGAGTCCCTTTAACTTGCAGATACTGCTGAGCCAAAGGGACGCGTCTGCACTCCAGACTGCCGCATACAGTGCTATTCATACTGCGATCAAGGATGCTGCACAGTGCACACCTTCATGCCAGTTGACATGCATGCAATTGCACCTGCACCCGCTCCAGCCCCCGTACCACCTCCACCCCCTCCCCCACCACCACCACCACCTCCTGCACCACCAGCATATCAACCACCACCACCACAGCCAGCCCCATACCCTAACTATGCCCCTATGCCCGCACCAGCTCAGGTACAATCAGCCTGCCCACCAATCTGCAGCACATTCTGCGGTCCTCAATGTCCAAATACTTGCTGCAACTCATACAGTGCACCATCGTACCCTGCATCATACCAGGCAAGTGCAGCCACTCAGTACCAACCAGTGGCATACCCACCTCCATACCAAGCCCCATACCCAGCCGCTTTTCAAACACAATATCAGGCACCAGCAGCCCCAGCAGCCGGTTGTGGAGCAGCAGGATGTGGTAAATAAGCCAGAAAAAACCGGATATAAGGAATATTAAACCGGAGCTATAATGGCCAATGGTCAGCGTTAAAAGGCTCGATGGGCCTAAAAGAAGATCCGGAGTCATGAATCAATTGGCAGAGGACAACTTTACAGAATTGCTGTGGAGTGCCAAAGAAACTTGATTGTGGATATAATGTGAATTTTCTACTTGGTACTAAAATTATATGCTTATAAAGATTTTTACAGTCTTCCTAATAAATATTTTTAAAGGAATGTTTTCTTATAAAAGTAAAATTTGTATTATACTATGACTTAGCTGGATAGGTCTTGAAAGTTTGTTAATAGTTATTTGTTACATGTCCGTATTTCCCTCTATTGCGGTACTACTTCTCTTTGCATTTGAAACTGCGAAAACAAGTTAGGTAATTAGACCAGACGGAGAATAGAGCAATGGTCACTCGAGGGCGAAATTTATGGGACCAAGTGATTAAGGGGGATATCATGGGCATATTGAAAGCAGAAGAAAAATCTTAACACTTTTTAAAAAACATGCTTTATTCAAATTTTGGTCCATGAGTTCCAGATAAAGTAGCCAAATTAAGGTGCTGTCTTGAATATGGAATTTGACAAGAAAGCGATACCTATGGAATAACGCTTATCTAAAAGCAAGGAAAGTATCAAGGGGACAGGTTATTCTCCTGACGTTAACTGCAGCAACATTAGTTCCCACAGACCGTCCTTTTGCGAAGGTATTCTACGACCATGATGTATTTGTACGAGCTTGTATGTAACAATGACAGGAAGCAAGGCTGCCAAAACTTTCAAAATACGGGGGGGGGGGAGGAACTTTTCTTGCGATAATTGAATAAGGGGCAGTTGCGAGTTCTCTTTGAGGATGTGTTTTAGATCACCACGGTTAATAACAATTTTTGACAGGGTGAATAACTAATTTTCTCCCTAATATGAAAAGCAATGCTTCAATGTTGTTAAATACCATAGATCTCCTAATACCTAAAAACCAACATCTCTAGTGCAAAAGCACTCGTGAGGCCCAACACCCCAACACTGGGGTGGAACAAGAGTGAAAAGACCACGAAACGTTTGAGTACAAAGTTGCAAATATTAGATGTTCCACGAGAAATTTATTTATGATGCTTTACAGCAAAACTGATATTTTTTCAGTGGTGTAGCTCATAGTATTACAGGTAGATGAAGCCTATGCTTAGACCAAAGGCATAAAGACACGATAATTCAGCATTAAAAATTCTTGGGATGCATTAGACGATTCAAGCTTTTGAACACACTATTGCTATGTCACATTTGAACACATTAAAACAACTTTACATTTTCAGTAACAAAATGATAAACTGAACTAAAAACAATCGCAATAGTAAGAGCAGCTTTAACATTTCCTAACGGGGCTCTGGGTTTATAATTTCGAGGAAAATTCAGGCCTGCCCATGGAAATTTTCTACCTATCTTCTTTGGCAACCAGGAACATTACAAAAAACCAGAAATCAACTCTTACTAACCTCATGATATTGTTACATAGGGCAAAATTTTACGATAACTGCCTAAATTTCCATTTAAATTCCCCATGAGGGGGAGGGATACTTAAAAAATTTCTCTGTACCGTAAAATCAGCAGAGTTAGCTTTTAAGGAATCTGCTTAAAATTTTGGCACTCTAAATTGCCTTTGCGTATAAATTCTCTATTTTCTAGCTTCGCATTTTGATACACAGGTAAAATATCAGGAAAATCTGTCAAGGAAAAGCTAAATTTGTTCGATTTATTAAAAGATGAATCAAAATTCATTCACACATGTCCAAAAGCGGTAACAAACCATCTAATCTGTAATGACGTGTTGGTTCCAAATCAATTCCGTTGACGTATTCAGAGGTTTGAGGCCATGGATGTCTACATTGAAACAAATAAATGGATTACGAAAAAATCGGGAAATGGTGAAGAGACTCCTCTGCTTATTAAAAATTTCTAACATATCGCAGAAAATAAACCAAAGGGAAGGCATGGTGTTAGAATGAAAGGAGGATTCATATCTCTATATTATTCACTGTGGCCTATACATTTGCTTAATCTGCAATGAAGCATCCATAGAGAATGCGAGTAATAAATGATGCTTAGACCATACTTTAATATTTAGAGCTGAGAATTCCATTCCCCCTAAAAAAGCTGTGAATTGTATCATAGGGGGGGGGGGGGATTCTGGTTTTTAAGAACCTTCTATAGCCACTGCAATGAAAACCCAATCTATTCCTAACAATTTTATCCAAAGTCTAAGATCATTTATCCGCAGAATTCCTTAAACTTCGAAAACCTTCTGGGGAAAAGAAAGCAACAAGGGCAATGATTTGGGGCTGTGAGCATAAAATTGCTAACTCATACATTTAAATCTTTCGCAGCCCACACTTATAAAACATATATTACTGTCAGAAATTTGAATTTTAACATAAATATATTTCCAGATACACACTTAAATAAGAAGTTGCTACATTAGGAACTCTAACTCATTAAGTAACCTTCACTGCGAATTTTCAAGGATTTCATAGCCCCAACCCTAGAAATTCTGAATACGAAATATTAGGTTTTGAAATACCTAGCAACTCTGTATTAACAGCGCACCTCATTTAGGCAAAAATGTTGATTCCTCTACACAATCGGGTCCCGCACAGCCGCGTTGCATTCAAAATCAGAGAAACCGCGCAACACAGCATACTAATGGTACGATCACAAAGTAGTCAAGGTAGCCACGCTAATGATAAATTCCGCACGGTGAATAAATCGCGCCACCGATAAATCGCGCGGCAGATAGACCGCGTGACATAAAAACTGTACAACAGATTTAGTTCCTAACTCGTGAATAAAATACCAACAAAATGAAGGGCAAAAAGCTCCCTCAGAAATCATGCCCTAGATATCAGAAAATCAGTCATAAGGCTACGTTCCCACATTATCGAGAGCGAGTTGGGCCGTTGGTGCATCGGCGCAAATCGCTAAGCCTACCACTAATCTAAACAGGAAGCGGTTTTTTTTGAAATTTTCCATAATAACCCCCAAATTTAATTGATAAAAGGGATGGAATGGACAAGAAAAGACTCTTTTCCCCACTAACAGCCGATGCACCAGTTCTACCTGATAGCATCCAAATAAATGCTAGCAGCATAAAGGAATGCCTAAAGGTACGAAATATTTTATTGAATGTTTAAGAGAAAAAAAAAGAGGGAGGGAGGGAGGGCTGGGAAAATAAACAGCACACTCTATTCACCAAGCAAAGTGAAACCAACACTTTGCCAAACCTTAAATACCCCCAAGAATAACCTAGGGAATGAAAACCGCCATGAGCCATAAATGTTGCCCTAGCATTACTAAACAAAACCCCCGGAGGCCAAGACTACTTCGCAATACCAATAAACGAGTAACGCAAATGCAAGAGAACAACGAGAAAGCGCGAGGGGCAAATCACTCCAAGAAAGTCTCGTACACCTTTTGTGAAAATCCTATTGTTTCATCTGAAAATCCCCGGAAATCCTTTTGTTTTAGGCAAAATCTCGCACGCTATTTGCAAGAGTGAATCGCCCCTCGAGAAAGCGTGGCACATGAGACCAAAATTATGAATAACAGTCAATAATCAATTCAGGATTAACAGCCAATGCAAAAGCCCCTCGTGAAATTAACTCTGATTAATTTTAATTAAATCATCATTTAATCGCACGATTGGTGAATCCATCAGGGTACAATTCATAAAGCTTTTCAAATATATATCAATCCCACGAGATATGTGTCTGTAATATTTGGTTACAAGCAAAAAACGAAAAATAATGAATACAAGGATACTAATTTGTGCATTTTCTAAATATTATAACCAAAAAATTCTGGGAATGTAAAATCATCATTTATAATACAATTTAGATTATATTAATTAGATCGAAAGCGTGTGTTAACAAAGTTAAAAATGGTCTTTAATAACGATAAAGACGCGAGGATTAGCATTCAAGGCCAAAATTTTTGCGTCGGAAAAGTTTTATCAAAGTGACGGTTTTGATAAAGATTTCTAAACATGTGGAAACTCGGGATTTGCATTACAATGTGACAATGCATGGGCCAGCATGCATCTGCCACGGAAAAAGCAAAGAAAATTTATGCAGATGGTTCAAATAACTTCTACGTGAAGCATGGTTTAAATGCTACAAAAAAGCTAGATATTGCATAGTTCTTCAGCCGGGATTGTTCAAAAGACATTTTCATGTAAAGCATGGTTTAAATGCCTCGCTAGATATTTCATAGTTCTTTTGTAGGTTGTCCGCGGCAGTCATTCCTTATATTCCATATTTCATAATGATTCAAATCGTAAAATAATTGTGGGTTCTACAAATTATGAGCTAGTCGACCTCTTGCTAGTAAATCTTAGATCCTAATTTCGTTTTTCGTGGTTAAAAAAGGATATATTTCTCTAAAATAAAAAGACAATGAAAATTTATCAAATCGTGTTTAAAACATTTGGGGGGGGGTTAAAAACAAAGGTATAATGATTGGGGCGCATAAAACGATCGTTTTTCATTCAGACATGTCAGTTTTCGCATAGATTAGAATGCAGATACATACGACTCTAATAAAAGGCTTCGTGCTCAAAAAGTAATATGTGCTTGATAATATTCCTATTAGCCTTCGTTGTCAAGTTTTCGAAGTAAATCAAATGACTATTTGCAGCTATGACGTCATATGGTATCATTGGAAAACCCATTTCATTTCTTTGATCTTACTGCAGAAAAAAGAGTAAAATAAATCACTTTACATGCAATGTACCAAACAAGTTTTAGGTAATTCATCTGCAGAGGTCAAAGTCACGTTAAATAGGTCGAGGTTTGTTACTAAAATTTTAATATTAAGCATTAGCTAACTGCTGAAGCCTCGTTTTAATGATTTAGGTTTAAAATGGCTTTGAAAAAAGCAAACATTTTACAACATATTGGCTAAAAGCTTTCTCAGCGCAAAATCGTCAGAATAAGGGTCCGAAAGAACACGATGAAAAATGTATACCCAGTTGTTAGCTTTTTTTCCGTATAAGTTCTGTACCGCCAAAAAATTGTTCACGATTTAAGTTTACTACTTGAAACAGTGGTTAACCTTTCTTTTCACGCGACAAGCCGCGGATTCGGGTTATCACCCCCAACCTCACTGCAATCAACTGGTCAAATAGAGTACCGAAGTGTGACGTCATCAAAAATCTATTTCTAGAAATTCTCAATTTTGGCCACATAATGTGAAAGAACGGCATCAAATACCTCTCAATATGCATTATCTGCTAGATATGTTCAAAATTGGGTGGTATATTACCAATGAAAGATTTCAAGTTTGCTAACGGATTACTGTTATTCTACCCTGGGTTCCAGAGCGTCAGTGTCGAGGAAATTGGGCGTCGAGGAAATAGGGGGTTGCGGGAGAGTGTGGGACACACTGACGCTCTGGAACCCAGGGTACTGTTATTCTGGCCTTGTTCGTAAAGTTATGAACCAAGACCAAATTACAGAGGTTTGATAGGGCAAGAACCTGTGCTCAAGTGGCCATATCTCAGCCAATTCGTAATGCCTTAGACTGAATTTGCAAATTTGTAAGTAATCCATGATGCTCTTTCAGGTTCTGGGATCAAAATTAATAAATTCTAAAAATAGATTTTTTACGTCATCACTTCGGTACTCTATAGCAAACTTTAAATTGGCTGTTTACATAATAATCTCGTTTTGAGTTGTAAAGGAGAGGCTGCGTCGTGCTACGCGATTGAAGGTGCGAGTTGAAGCTTGTTAAGTTCCTTTGATAAAACGTTAACTAACCTGGCAACAACCCAAGTACACTTTATCTAATTCTTATTTTGAAATCCTGATTTTCCGGTGCTGTTAGATAAAATTCATTTAGTAGATGTATAAAATGTTAAAGGTAACTTTGAAGGTTTAGAAGTCATATTTGGGGGTTCGGCCAAGTGATTGTTTACCTACCTTGATAACATAGCGATAATCACATAGGAGCCTGTTTAGAAAAGAAGCAGGTGCAAGAGTTTTCTGATGCAAATCAAGGTGAGCACAATGCGGAATTCCTGTTTTCCGGCCGCTCAAATAACAGATAGGAATCTCAATAATTTGTTAATTCTCCATAGGGGCAAACTTACGGTCCTTGTGAGAACAGAATTTATTGCATTTATTCATAAATATGTAAATTTTGAATTGGGTATCCTGTAAAAATATTCATAATAATAATAATAATAATAATAATAATGGAAACTTTTCATTTTCAATTCCAGTTAAAACTACAATTACAAATCTCACTATTACAAGGTAATTTGTAACTGGCTAGCCTGTTTTTACAAAATAAGACTATTACAATCGTAGTAAACAGAAAAGAAAAAAAAACGTTAAAAGGGGAGTAGCTCTGGGTTAGTCCATGTTTTGTTCCTACAGCAAAAATTTAATAGGTGGTACGAATGGATATCGTAGAAAGCTTAGAAATGAGATATCGTTTGTGTTGATCTTCGATGGAAAGAGAGTCACACATTTCAAGGAATGAGCTGCATGAGTCGCAGAAGATGCCAAGAGAGCCGATGGAGAGATTTACAAATATGACAGATTTGAACCTTGGTCTTAGATCTGAGACAAGGCGAGCATATTTTAAACGTTTCCTTTCTGCATTGCAGTTAAGGTTAGTTTCAAATCCTATCGTTAGTTCCAAAACATAAAGAATGTTTTCCTTTGTACGCAGAAGTAGATCTGGGCGCAGATTGTCTCCAGTTATGATGGATGGTGAGGAGAAGCCAGGTATATCGGCAAAAAGAGAGGATCCCTCTATTGCTTTCAAGGAGGTAGCAAGAAAATTTAGAGCAGAATTATGACGCCAGGTATAACGACCTTGTTCGAGATAAACTTTGCAGCCTGCAACGACATGGAGTAAAGTTTCGGGAAGAAGGCAGAATTCGCAATCAGATGATTGGCTTAGGTTCCAAAGGCTTAGATTTTTCCGCGTAGGGAGAGTATTGTTCAGGTATTTGATGGTGAAGTTGAAAATGTTCGTGGGTAGGTTGTTCTGCACAACAGACCAAACACCATTGAGCTTTTTAAGAGAGTGGTCCAACAGAAATGAAATAATAGCACCCTGGGATAGTAATTGGTGTGCCAAGCGCTCTCTACTGTCTGATTTTACTGTTTTCAGTACATCTTTGGTTTTACGGTAAATGTCGTATTGCAGATTCATCCCACTACTGGTGTTTTTCCATAAAGCTTGAATGTTTGTGTTAGGAGAAGTTCGGAGGGCATTGCGCGAAACAGTTTGGCATTGAGTGAATTTGACAGAAGGTAGCTGAAGATCGAGACCAAATTGATTTTTAGAAAGAACTATACTAGTTAAAGTAGCACTTATGGGAAGATCAAGCCACTGGCGAATGTATTTAGAGACAAGATTATCGAGGTTCTCAATGACCCAGGTCTTCGATAGGTCTGCAACAGTGAAGTGCCAAGAAACTTTGGACAATACATATCTGTGGTACAATAGAAGTTTATTTTTGGGATGCAGAGGCAAGTCATCAATTTCTTTCAGAAGGCTGGGAAACAATGATAGCAGTTTTTCTTTATGACTGCCATTGGTCATTTCGAAGTCAAAGAAGCGGCCAAGGTATTTGAAAGATTCTCCATTTTTAACAACAGGCACGCTTTGGTTGTTCACGAAAAGCTTTGGCTGGAACTGAAGAGATCTTGTTGAGTATTTCTTAATGCCAAAGGTGACACATTTATCAACCCTTATTCCAAAGTTTGCCCACTGACACCATCTTGTAAAGCAGTTTAACAGGAGCTGGTTCTCCTTTTCACCACTAGTAACAACCGTAGCATCATCAGCAAATTGGAACCAATGCACTGGTTGGAACATGCGATCATTTTCGTCGTGGGGAGAGAAGCCAAGCTGTTTATATTTTAATAATAATAATATAATAATATAATAATTATAATAATAATATATAATATATAATAATAATAATAATAATAATAATAATTATAATAAAAATAATAATAATAATAATAAAAATAATAATAATAATACTGTTGAGCCTGCTCTCTAGACGCAAATGCTCGTATATTATTGTTTTATAAGAAGGTCAAAAATTGATAGCTGCTTGCTTGTCACATATATTGACGCAGGCGTTTAAAATTAAATCAATCTCGCATCCGTTCTGCTCATAATTTTGAGATTTGACATCAACTGTCGCCATTGACCCAGCTCATATCAACAAGACATGCTGAATAATCGGGACTAAGGATCTTCTAGAGATTCATATCTGCAAATTGACCAGGTGGAAAACAGGAATGGCTGATGGCGCTCACCCTGATTACAACCAAACGACTCGCGTGTCTGCTTACTTTCTATATAAACCTATTATAAAAAATTTACAGCATAGTTAGATATTCACTTAACGGATGTCTTAAACACGTAATTTAAACTTCTACAACAAATGCCTTTAGAATATACATGATTCTATTATCTATCAGGAAGTGCTAAATCACACTGTCACCTTCCTCTAGGCGGTTCCAAAGTTAAAATCTTGGACACAGCTGTTGAGACTGAATCCTAAAAGTACAGCCCAACCTTCAACCCCCCCCCCCCCAACATTAAAAGTGGTTGTGGATATGACTTGAATAGCAGAAATATCAACATTGAATTTAGAGGGTGGGTTGAAATCTTTACATTGACAGTTCAGGACTGCAGGCATCTTTCCGGGTAACAATTCAAACAAAGTAGAATCATAAGGAATGCGGACAAGCAGCTCTCTTTGTCCTTCCTTGGTTTCCTTATCTTTATCAAAAGCATCATAGAATATTACTTCAATCTGAAGACCTTTCGTAGTTAATAAGGTCGACACTAGTCTGGATAAGAAATGTGCGGATTCGTCTAGACATTACCGATAAAAGCCTGCTTCAAACCGGATATAGCCAGGCATAGAGTCATGATAACAGTATAGCAATCTTTCAGTTTACAGCAACGAGCATCAAGCAATCATTTTCAACCAAAACTTGGCGAAACAAAATAGTGATTCGCAGAAACTTTATGCACATCTATTTGCACCGAAAAAAATCCCGCATAGCAGCGTTTGTCGTCTTCACAGTATATTAAAAACAACCTTGGCAGTGGTTCATCTGCATCAAACATTGCTCACCCTTCCACCGGGCTCAGAGTTAGAAATTCTAAAAAGCCCCTCATAAAATAACGAAAAAAGCATAACCTGAGTGTGGTAACATTACCACTTTATTGTTTATTAACTACCTCGCCTCTCCCTTTCTGGACTCTACATTAACACTGCATCAGAAACCTGTTTCCAATATGCACTTGTCCCTCGTTCCTAAAACCCGCTCCAACTTACACGATTTTTCCTTCTCCGTTATAGCTGAACCACAAGCCAATTGCACACTTTCATAAACATTAGTCTCTTCAACCTATCGTCTTTTCAATGGCCCCGAAAAAAAGTTGGAATAAACAAACTGTTTTCGTATTCCAAGCAGATAAATCCTTATTTCCCGTTAAACAATGATAAAAATAGCAAATGATTATTTCGCTAAACAGCTGAGGCGAATCCATTCCATTCCTATCTTCCTTTCCCTTCATTTCTACTTTGAATCCAACATTGTTTAAAGGAGGGGGAGATATTGAGTAAACAAGGATAATGAGGAAGTTCCAACTCTTTTAGCGAGCACTGTTGCTTCAAATGGTGCCACAAATAGCGTTGCACTTTCATTACAGGTCTCTCATAAAAACGTTTTATATGCAAGTCTGTACTGAGACTAAGGTTAAGAGGCTGCTTACACTGACATTGCTAAAATATAGCATGTATGACAAGGGCGAAAAATACAAAATAAATTTATGTTACCTTGGATTTGTATGCAGCCAATTTAGCCTCGATGCGTTTACCATAATCTGGGTGGACAGCTGAGAAATTTGCCACCTGAAAAGGATATAAATTACTTGAGTTGCTGCTGATTCCTTTTGATTTTGGATTCAATTTAAATGCACAGTGACACAAAGCAAATCGCCAAGCATCGAAGATCTGAGAAGCTAAAGAGCAAAAATTACCAAAAAGCCAAAGAGCACACGAGCAACAGAGGGCTGAAATGGTGTAGACCAAATTGTCCTTATGGCAAAAAAATCCAAGGGGCAAAAGAAACAAGAGCCAAAAGGAGAAAAAAGGCAAAATAGCTGAAAAGGACATCTTAAATGAATCATAGAGGTGATGAAAGACAGAAATGAGAAGTTCTTGAAACTGGCGCTCGGAAAAAACTGACGGGAATGGGTGTGTGGGGGTTGATATACTCCTTTTTTGATTTATAGCTGTCAAGAGCAAGTTGGAATAGCCAATAGGAATACATCTCTAGTCAGAACGTAATGAGCTGTGCATGCACAGCGACCTCGATGCTACGAGGAGGCTCGAAGAACTCAAATCGGAGTTCGCCGAGTCTCCTCCAATAAGGATTTCTTGGTTAATGCAAATCTGTTATTTTCATAGGCCGTCTTATTTAATCTTTAAATTTTATGGTTTTGAAACTTCCTGTCCTTGGAAACTTCTCTCTTGATAAACTGTTGGCGAAACGTTGCTACCATTATCTTAAACATCTTCAACGCTTTGAATCGATCATATTAGATTTTGTACTGCACACCCAAGGATCAATCCAAGTCTCAAACAAACATATTTCTTTTCAGCAGCTGATAGGCCAGAAATTTACCAAATAACAGGGGAAACCGACGTAGCTTAGAGTGGGCTTAGATGTTTTGCTCGGACGTCCTCTGATCTTGACATCAGCTGTGTGAAATCCATTTTTTTCAACTATATTATGAGAAACAGAACACGAATATCATCCTCAATTATATTGCCAGCTGTTTGATTTCCTAATTTTTCAAACATTCTAAAAACAACCGATTCATTAAAGTTTTAGCTCAGATTTGAAACATACCGCCCTTTTCTGGATGAAATCTTTAGCGTCCTTCATATGGCCTGCAATATTGCTAACAAGCTTTTCTCGTTCCTCTTCGTTCAGCACCTTCTCCCAAAAGGTCGTTACCTAAAAAGAAACAAACGTTCACAGATAGTTTGATATCTTAACCCCAGATAATCTTGAAGGCTTTTAGCGAGCAATTGCCGTCTTTAAACTCTATATTTCTTTGATTTTTCAGTATGATTCTAGCATGATTGAACATATATGAATACCCTAAAACGGTAGACATGGGCATTTAAAAGAAAATCAATGTACACTCATTTTTTTTATAAGAAACTGGCCATAAGAAACGAGTACTGGACAATTAAGAAACTATGAAATCGTGATAAAACTAAGAACAACGAAATGTTGTAAAATCCAAGAACAAGATTGCCCTGTTGACCTAGAACTTAAGACACAAGCGACAAAAATATACTTTCCACATCTAAATACAGCATCAGAACGGAAGCGAATCTCTTGACGTGATAAGAAAAGGTCATGAACATTTCATAACATCATTCATGAAATCATAATTAAGAAACTCATAAGAAACAGTGAGTATTGATATTTTTAGAGCATTAAGAAACTGGAGTACTCAACATCGATCTTTGTTTCTTATAAAAAAATGAGTGTAGTTCAGCGTGTTGTGCGTCGAGTAATGAGCAAAAATTAATGCAATCAAATAACGACTTTGTAAACAAATAATAGATAAATACAACCTTCGGAGCATAACTCTTCATCTTCTTCTTCTTCTTTACCCGAAGAAAAGTTATGTTCAAAACGCCGTACTTATCTTTCTTTCGTGTACAACGTCGTTATTTAACTGTATCAATTTTTGCTCATTAAAAAGAAAAGTTTTAACTGAGGATCATGTACTAAACGGCACTACATCACATTACTGACCCATATATCGTTTGACTATCTAGAGCATTAAAAAAACAACGAAGTGTTTTTTCTTGGAGATCCGAAAGGTTATTGTGTCGTGGATTCGGTTAAATATATGAATTAAATTAAATCACCCAGAGCTCATGTAATCATTTGATTCCTAATTTTGTTTTAGTGGGCTCGAAAGGCGGTTAAAAGCTTGCCTGATTGCCTTCCAACTTTCGAAAAACAGAAGTAAAAGAGGAAGGGGAAACTGCGCTAGATATTTGCGAAGGACGCTAAGATTTGTTGAATAAACGATTCTCATCTTCTGTTTAGGGAGAAGACAGCGTACACAAGAACATTCTTGAATCTCTGATATAATGACAGATGGAGGCAAGAAATAAGCTGATTTTAGTTTGCAAATATTTGGTAAAAGAATATGACTTTTATACGTACCCTATGGTAGTGTATTAATGGTAAATTCATTTTGCATTCTGCTTGCTTGCTTTCCATAATGCTGGGGTGCTTGGAATTGCCGCATATAAGGGTGTAACGGATGTGATGTGGGACTCGCACAAATAATATAAAACTGTCTCTGTTTTACACTTAATGCCTTAGTTCTTAATAATATATACTTCTTAGTTCTTTATAATATATACTTCTTAGTTCTTAATAATATATACCTGACTGAAATTGTCTTCATCTGCAGAGTTGTACTTGGCAACATCGCCACTGACCTGAAATAACACATACGAAGATATTAAGATGAAATATCAAAATTGATTCATTAAACTTTTAAAAAGGTCTTTTTTAGAATTTCAAAACAACAACATTAAAGGTCATTGAGGAAGTTCTGAGAATAGTCCAAAAACACAGCAGAAGAAACATTTAGAGTAAAAATAGTTTAAAAATGGAGATCGAATCCCAGCAAAAGAAGTAGAGGGACCATGAGGCTGGCTAACTGCTTTGAAAAGAAAATATGAAGTATAGTGAGACAGTGTTTCATTCTCCACCGAAATAAAGCCACGTATCTGCGTTGTTCATTATTTTGATATTAAAAATGTCGGAGGTGGGGACGGACTTTGTCATATATTTTTTCAAATGGCTTTTGGCAAAATGCTTACATCTCTGAACAAAATTTTACTTCCAAGTCCCTGTCTTTAGTCTCACTTATCGCTTGTCTAAATCACTGATTATTCCGACCCTTAAATATCAGTGATACCTTAAATATGTGAGCCAGAGGAAGTTAGCCAACGGTGCAGAAGTTTTGAGGAAGACCAATGCATAACCTTACAAGAGTTTATAAAATCAAAAAAAATTAACTGCTGTGCTTACAGTTTTTTTTTTCCTGACAAAGCGCAAACAAAAGATGGTTTACTTAAATTCGATTCCTAAGAAACCTTTATTCAAAGCAGACAATAAAACTTTAAGAAAGGCAGTAAAGCAAAATTTTATCCGAAGAACGCTCCAGGTGTTTCCTGAACTCTGCACAAAGCCAATTATTCAATTTTTCACGTACTATAACAAGACAAAGCAACTCACGTTAAACACATGCAATGCAGCTTCCGGGTTCTCCTTAGGTCCAGAAAAACTGTTTGGAAAGTAATTCGGAGCACTACCTGCATAAACCAATGAATGCAAAAATAGAGAAATGTGGATGGAAAAGGGACCAAGGAATTGAGAATCATAAAATAAAAGAAAGAAGGAAGAAAATATATCAAACTGTGATACATCTTCGGGGATCTGTACATCAAATATGATATCAATACTGTGTTTCTCTTGCAAATCGGTCCTAAATGAATTTAGAATTACTTTGCTCAAAATAATAGAGAAGGAGCTCTTAAATGGTTGGACAAAAAGGACCTATTTACGATTGATTGTGTGCGGTATTTCTCTTGCAAGAAGGTCCAAGCCATGTTTTTTAGGGGGAGGAGGGGAGCGAAAAGATTTGTTTACAGCCCTCAGCGTTTCGTAAGAAGGAGCTGCCAATGCTTTTCCTCTAGTGGTTATGTTTTGTTCTTGTTGTCCATCTATTTCACGGATATTTCAACTATTTGGTCTATCAAAAGGCCCTGACACAAGCGCAAATAAAGAAAACATAGACAATCCACTGAGTGCTAGCAATATGTCTAGATATAGCATACCCACCTTGATTATCATAGGCCTGGGGTCCATCTCTTTGGTAGTTTTTGACCTTAGCTCTATATGGGCAATTGACAGGCAGCTGTTGATAATTTGTTCCAAGGCGGTGTCGATGTGTATCTCCATATGAGAACAAGCGGCCCTGTTGTAAAGGCGATAAAAATTACTACAATTGCGCAATCAACTTAATGAGCAGGCAGACAAATTATCATGAATTCTTTGTATAAAACTCGTGCAAAAAGCCGTGTACAAAGAAATTCCTTCCGATATCGCGATTAATCTTATTTTCATCTGGAGTAAACTGCCGTTTGATGGAATAGATAAATCGTTGTCAGGAATGGACAATCAGAGATATTGCAGGGTGGCTTAAACTTTCGTAGTTCAAATCAGCCTTTCGCTAAGGGGACAGACTGCCTCTCATTTAGATTTTGCTATTCAACTTTCACAAAATGTAGAAATAATCAGGTTGATGTGATTTTGAAGCCTTTAAAAATGTCGCCGCTTCTAGAACCACATGCTTCTTGAAATCATCTTAAACGAAGTTACTTTCTATGAATTGAAATATTCCCAAAAGCACCTCGCGGTGTTTATTAGTTTAAAAAAGCATGGCCGTTTGTTAAGGTCTTATGATTTAGGTTATATCTGTTGTGTCTCTAAAAACCCTCACTTTGCATAGACGTGGCACAATAAGCCAAATCAAACCAAATAAATTACGACAATACGACGAACCTCTTGAGGTCACGATTCAAAGTTGCTGACTAGGTGTCTGTGGCCTAACGATCGTTTTGAGCCCCCCAGCACATCGACAAACAAAAAATGAAAAGGATTTCCATCAAGAAAAATACATGTAGCTCTGATGAAGCCCCGTATGCCGGGGCGAAACATTAGCCTTCACTAATTTACGTGTATTTATTGTTGTTTATTCTCATCGCATTGCGGTGTTTCTTATTTGCTACATTTTTATCGACTTTGCGCCGCAAGAACTCCTTGGAGCCCATCGCGCAGCCTGCTACCGTGACCTTTTCTTCATTCACACAAGAAAAATTAAGCTTGAGACCATTTATGGATGATTTATTATTTAACTATTTAACTATTATACATTTAACGATATATAATATTATATATTATATAGACATATTTAGCTAAACTACTGTCCCTAGAAGTTAGAAGGGTTAGTTCTATGAAAAAACGCCAATAATATACTCGTTTCTCTCAGCAGCTGGGGGCTTGAGAATCTACAGGTGCTAAAGCCCTCAGTGGATGAAGCGTGGAGCCTCTTGGTAGATGGAGGCTCTTGATTTTTTTCTTTCAGTTAGTAGACCCGTTACGTAACCGTTAGGTCCAGTAAAGAAAAATAACGATTGTCATTGAAAATCTTCTTCCAAACAAGTTTTTGTACACATTGAAAACGTTTCGTCTGACAGTTTTCAGAGAATAAACATCGAGTGATCTCCGAAAGTAAGCAGAAAATTTATATCCAGGTGTGGATGGAAAGCCACGTGAGAGGAACAAAGGCGCGTTTGATTGGTTCTTTTGATTCTTACCAATCAGCGACCGCTATTTCGTGCCATCTTCAAAAACTACTTCCTTAACAGAATGGATTCTGTTGCCCCGGCAAAATTCATCAAATTTTTAATTACTCTGTTAAAACTTGTTTCTTATAAAATGGCTTGCTTCAAAACTGTGCCTGATGAGGAAAGAGACCCACCTGCAGCATCTTGTCCGGAGACGGTTCAATACCCGGAATCATATGAGCCGGGCTGAAAGCAATCTGTTCCACTTCAGCAAAATAATTTTGCGGATTTCTGTTCAGTGTCATTTTTCCTACTGGAATTAGTGGATACTCAGCTTGAGGCCAAATCTGTAAAACGAAAATAAATAATCCCCACATAAGTATGAGACTGCGTAATTAAAAGCACTATGTATTTAGTCTCGACGTATTTTGATTGCCATCAAAATTTCCCATTGGTTAGACTACACAATAGACCTATTGTTAAGTAACCAATCGGCAATGTAAGGGCTTTCTCGATCATAAACGTGCTGTAGAGTCTTTTGTCAACCCCGAACTGTGTAGTTAATTAGAATATCTGTTCAGCTGGAACAGAAAATTGATTCGGGCGGAATATAGGAATAAATCTTTGGGCATATGGTATTTGGTAGGCTTTTTCTAAGAAGGAATTTTTCTTCGCCATTTCTCTTTCTAAGAAATTTAAATTGCGTTCTTTTCTTTAGCAAGTATCGCAATGCAGAAAATATCTATCGTTGAGCAGATGTATTGATTTGCAGGGCATCGCGAAGAACACGAAAAGAAAAGTAACAATAAATCGATAGTTTAAAAGCATATGATATTTGGCATCACACAAGCGCAAGTTGACCCGTTCTTTGTTAATATCTAAAAACTTATTGTCAAACCTTATGAGAATACTAAACATTGGACAATGTTCAAAAGATGCCTCCTTTCATATCGAGGTGCGGATCAAAGGAGGCAGCTGCGAAGCCATATGTACTCTTTTTTATAAGAACCAGTAAACTAAAGTTCAGGCTGGCTGCCTTTATTTTGTTCAAAAATTCAAAGCTAGATTGTTCTTTATCTGCTCTTAAAGAATTCGGGTGTAAACAGTGCAATCACTAGCTATTGTGCTAAATTGAGACATTCTTCATTTGTCGACAAGCTCATTAATTCACCGAAAAAGCACCCCTTGATGGCAAAAATTCCTCGTTTAAGATATGAAATTATTCAAGGAGGTTTCATGACATAGCTCAAAATTAAACTTCACAGTAACTCAGCCTTAGCTTGTTCTTAACTTTTGCCCAATTTTGAGGGAGCGTGTTCTTGATAAATTCTTCCTATAAAAAAGAGTGTGGTTCATTGCGAGATTCTTAAAATCATACGGCAGAGTATGTTGCTTTAGGCAAATAATAACAAAAAATCTAGTTACCTTGGTAAGATCAAATGGATTCCATCTAAACTTCTCTGCCTCCTCGAATGTCATAACTTGGATGTGCATAGTCCACGAAGGCTGCAAAATCAAATTTGCGTTTAATTACTGTGTAAGGCAGCTTTGAATCGCCCAGTTTTACAAAAACAAAGCGAGCAAAGCGCAAAAATTCACTAGATTTCAAGCATGCAAATAATTCAACTAACGCTTTGAAGACATCCTTCTTACCATCGAAAAACCTATAGTGCAAGGATTGTTCAGTGATTAACGTCGTGGACTACAGATCAAAGGGTCTGTCGTTGAAGTCACTGGCATGACTAGGTTTCCAATTAATAGTGAGGGGATTCACTAGCTCTCTGTAATTTCAGCCGTAGGAATCACAAGGTGTGCTCAAATTGAGAGGAAGAAGTAGGAAACCGTACGATAGGCATAGAATTTCAGTGTCCTTAAACCTACCTTTGGAAGGTAACCCTACATTAGCCTATTTAACGTTTATAAACCTTCCCTACATTAACCACCCTACCCACTATCGTCAATTGTATACCCTTCGATCAAAGTTAACTCCAAAGCTAATATCTTCGCACGTATAAAAACACCCCCCTTCATCGTATTCGCAATTTGCACAAATTTTTCTTCAATATTACAATTGATTATTACAACGTTTTTGATAACTAGATAAAGACAAATATAATTAAAATTTTTAAAAACATTGGCGGCAAAGGCTCATCAATGAACGAATATCTGTCTTTTTTAAAAAATACCTCTAAACATTCAGACCTTGATTGGAATGCCTCAGGAAAATAACGTTATTGCTTCTTGCAGATAAAATACACAACAAAAGAATAAACGAAATAAAATACGATGTCTTAATCTAAAAATATTTTCTTCAAGATTATAACAAAAAGAAAGGCGTGTCTCCGTAAATAAATCCCTAAATTACTTATCTTCTTGATCAGCAGCTGTTACCAAAGCCTACGTTTAAAATATTTTGGCAGTTCAGCTGTCTATCATAGGAAACTTAAAATTCACTTATACTGTCCACCTTAAAGAAACATTCATAATTAATTAAGGGATTTAAGAGTATTATTCGATTTGTCTCTCTCTGACCACTCCTACATACCTAGGACCTTTTGTGTATTTGGACGTAGAAATCTTTGAGCTTTGAGTTAATGCTAGTGAATTGTTATAAACATAAAAGAAGATGGTGATAACAGTGATAATAATGGTTATCAATTGCCTGATGTGGGTTAAAGGCTCTTGCGCAACCAGCATGCTTAGCGGCAGTTGTCTTAAGAAATTGACTTGTTTTGTTTTATCATGCAGTACAATATAAAGCCAGTCTTTTGAATTACAGTCGCAAAGTGTGCCGGTTGCGCAAGAGTTTTTAAAGATTATAATGATTAGAGATTGAAGAAGGAGATGTTTGAAGAATATTATGATGATTAAAGATGATTGATGATGATAATGATGACTAAAAGTGATTGATGATTATGATTCTGTCAAATCAATAAAATTCTGCCTCAAATACTTACATGTTTCCCATTCTCAATGTTGTTGAAAAGATCTCTGATTGCATAATCTGGATCTTTAGCAGAAAGAGACTCTGCCGCTTCAGCAGTGAAATTTTTAATGCCTTGATCAGTCTAGAAACAAATAATGAGCATATTTCAATTTGTAACAGTGTTATGTTATATTGCAAAGGCACAAAATCTGTTGTTCTTACAATAAAACAAAGAGAAAAGAGGCTCGAATATGAAAATTACCTTTAAATATCTCTAAACTTCAAATATTTTATTGGAATGTATGAAGGTTGCCTGTTCAAACGAGCAACCAAAAGTGAAAATCTAAATGTGAAAATGCACCATTTGATCAAAAGCATGGTTTACTTTGTTACCTTTGACAAACTGTATGCTTACTTTGCAAATAAAAGTAAAAGAGGGAGCCTCTGAAACGCTAACGTGTTCATCAGGCTTCATACCATAATGACAGAGGCAGACAGAATTTATAAAAAACTTAGTACAAAAGAACAACACAAAGCATGAGGCGCTAATAAAATGAATGAATAACACAAACCTTAAGGTGAAATTTGCAGTAGACCGCCTCATTGTCCTTGTTCACAAGTTTAAAGGTGTGACTACCATAGCCATTCATCTGTCTGTACCCATCTGGGGTGCCACGGCTTGAGAACAAGAAGGAGACTTGATGAGTTGTCTCTGGCCTCAAACTGATGAAGTCCCAAAACATGTCTGGGTCCTACAATGATATAGGACAACAAAAATTATATTCGTAAAAAAATGTTTCTGGTCAGATTTTCTGTGTTTCTCTTCTCTTGAGTATTTCTATAAACTGCTGAGAGGAAGGTGGGTGCTTATTAAAGTTTAATTGTTAAGGGGCAGGGCGAAAAAGTGTATAAACATGATATCTTTGAGGTGGAAACATGTTAAAAACAGTCAGAGACCACCATCAAGAAACTCATGTATGTTTTTGTCTTAAAGATTGTGTAAAGCAGTATAAAAATATAATTCTTCACATACAATATGGTGCAGTATCAAACAAAATGACTTTTCTATTTACAGCCTTCTGAAAATGTTAACTAATGCTAATTGCCCATCCAGGCTTGCTAACCTTCCCTTGTTTGAGAAAATAGACTGCTGCCCCATTTTTATAAGAACAAAGGTTTGACAAAATTTCTTGTCACAAAAGCACTTTGAGAAGAAGTCTTGAGACAAACAGCAGTTCCTATGTAGGTAGCTTTGCAAAGTTCTTTAAAATTCTAACCAAAAGCTTTCAATTCTGTAACTTTAACAATTTGGCTGTTAAGACCAGGAAATAGCAAATAAGGAATACTGTTTGAAATATATAAGAGCATAAATGTTGTATAATTAAAACACATATTGCTGATAAAAACCTTCAGGTGGGTTTGTGGGTTTCTTTTCTGGGTATGAATGAAGCTGGGAAACAAAATTGGGTCTCTGATGAAGAAAATTGGAGTATTATTTCCAACCAAGTCCCAGTTTCCATCTTCAGAATAGAATTTGATAGCAAAACCTCTTGGGTCTCTAGCAGTATCTGCACTTCCTGATTCACCACCTAAAATGAACAAATTTAACATCAAATTTGTCCAAATTGTCAATAAAGCCATCTTAACAGGAAAAACTTGGAAGAGAAAGTCAGCATAGGCACATTTGCTGTTGCTCAATCTGCAATCAGGTGTTGTGGTTATGATTAAACAAACATGTAAGTGAAGGCCACATGATGGCAGAGAAAAACAACAAAGCAAATAAAAAACTAAAATGTATTTAAATTTCTTATCCTAATTTTTGTGATGCCATGCAGAATTTCTTCAGAACTTTGCATCAAACACCATGTTTTACTTCACTAGGGCTTAAGATTTGGAATCAATCGAATTTTACACATAAATTAATCACTTACAAGGGCTTATACAATCATGCTTACAATTAATTTTTTCTTTGGGTGTGCCAATACTTTGAGTAAATTTTGACTGAAACCTTGAGAAAAATCCAGAAATTTGGAAATCATGCTTACCAACAGTTGAAAATCTCACAGCCACAGGGGTCTTTTTGCCAACTGTAGAAAAAGGAGCAGCTTTGCAGTACTTGGAAATATCATGGGTAACAACAAATTCTCCGAATGCACCAGCTCCTTTGGCATGGACAACCCTCTCTGGAATGCGTTCTCTATCAAAATGGGCCATATCATCAATGAATCCATGGTCTTGAAGAAGAACAGGTCCCCTGGGGCCAACAGTTAGAGTGTTTGTCTTTGTGTCAAGGGGAGCACCATTACCAGTTGTTAACTTATCTGCCTCCTAAAAATTGAATAATGTTTCTTTAAATATATAATTTGGTTCCATTTTTTGCTATCAAATACTTTATAGATTTTCTGCTTGACAGAAAATGTGTCTGAACAAATATATGTCAAGAAATTGGCTTTAGTAATACTTGTCTGTATTTATTGAACAGGATCATCTTTTGATGTAAAAGAAACTTAAAATATCTAAACATTGATATTAATTTTGCTTTATCCGCAGAGACCATCTAAATTCTAACAATAGGTCATACCTGAAAAAATTTGCAGGCCTGCAGTGAATTGCATTCTTTGTGAAACCAAGAGGGTACTATTTGTAATTTAGCAGATTAAGTATATATTTCTGAACATTTATTCAAAAAAAAATTTGAAATTTTTACCCAGTTTTAAATTATCTATTTTGCACAAGGGATAAATATTCATTTTCTTTTTTCAAAGCTAATTTGCAAATAGAATATAAAAACTTGATTAGAAAGCAAAAAGAGGACACACACAAAAACAAAGGTTTTTGCAATACTATAAAAAGTGGATGTCCACCTAAAAAGAGGTTTTTGAAAACACACTGGGTCAATGTGAATAAAAATGGAAGCAGAGGGAACAGGTGCAGAATATCCACAAAAATAAGGAAAATGAAAATATGAAAACGGAGCACTGTGAAAAGTAAAAACCACAAAAATATTATCTTTTACTTGGTTTCTGGGAGCATTCTGCGCGCACAAAAATTGGGTTTTTGAAAGCTCCCCAAAACAATTTTACAAAAATGGAAGCAACGTGAAAGGTCAGAACCAAAAAATAGGTACATCTCTCTACTCTGATTCTGTGAGCAGAGTGAATGCACAAAAACGGATATATACTTCTTAGTAGACAGATAAAAGTGAAAACAAAGCAATGCTAAAAATGAAAATGCTAAAAGGCCCCATTAACAAGATACTGTTTTTATTTAATGTCAAATAGTTTTATACAGGAACAGCCTTATGTTTACACAAAACTATCCAATCTGATATGCTTTGTAATGTTATAAATGGATGAATCTGATATCAATTTAAAACGCACTTCTTGGGAAAACGAGACAAGTGCCAAGGTGTGCACATGTGATTGTATGCCATTCCGAGGATGGCATTTAACAATATAAACCAATTATTGCTTGACTCATCAAACTTCAAAAATGCATTACTACTCTGATTGGCAAGTCCAGGCAACCACTCCATTACTTTACCACATAGTAATCAGTAGTTTGCTAGAAGCATTTTTTTGTTTTTGTTTTCATCTAAGCAAGGCTTTATGCAAACTTTACAAATAGAGGAAATTTTTAAGCATGCACAATGGCACAGACTTTCTTGTAGCTGTTCATTTTGACTATTGCCATATTTAAAACACTTTGTTTTTAAAGCCAGCGAGATGTCTTTCCACAATTTTAAAAATTGTATGCCTTTGATAAGATCTTTGAATGCTAGTCATTGAATCCATTTAACCATATGAGACATTGTACCATTATTCTCTTGGTATCCTTAGACTTACTTTTTGGTACAAAAAATTTAAATTAAATTTGAAGATAATATGCAAAGATTGAAAAACAAAGATCATTCCCTAAGGATATTGTGATGTACAAGAAAACAAGATCTTTATGATTTCTCCTTTGCTCTGATTGCAGGGACTTTATGATTTCTCTCATTTCCTTTGTCTGCAAGCAGGTTACATTTAAGCATCGAAGATATTTGGTGCATTGCATCAGATAAGCAGTGTTTTGATTGACTTATGCAACTCAAAGAAAAGGCCAAAGATATGATGAAGCAGTTTAGTTACGTTCAGTGACAATTTCATCTTGCCACAAAAGCTATTCTGTTACAACAAATTTGGACAAAATATTATAATCTTTCATATCTTCATTTATTGATTTTACTCATGTTGATGTCACAGCTGCAAACTTAGAGTGTATTGCAAACTAAGAGTGTCATATTTCACACAGTCATGTCTCTCAATCAAGGTCTGACAACATTCATGATTTTGGCTAAGCATAGCAATAGTTCTAAGGGGTTAAGATAAAGATAGACTGTGAATATTTAGATTTTGCCCAAGGGCTACAAATTTTTTGAGATGCAAGTAAAGTCTATCCAGTACTATAGATAGTACTGAACTGTTGTGGTACTTCTGTAACGAGTATGCAAACAACTCTAATGTTAAACACGTTTAAAATACAATATTCCCTTCAGACTGTCATTTATGTTTTCATTACTGCTTTGCTATATAAAAAACAAACAAATTAATTGTTATGCATGGCCAGACTAAACCAAAGGACCATTTGTACTGGCTTGAAACAAGAGCTCTAGGATCTCATGTTTCTGCCTGGGTCTTAGACAAACAATACGAACGCTGTCTTAGGCCCAGTAAAACAATAAGATCAAAACCCACACAACAGCCAATTTAAGTTACCTGTTCTAACTTACCCCTTTGTGAAAAGCAAACTCTGATAGTTGTTCAGCAGCCTTTTCTCTTGTAGCCATTTTCACCCTTTTCTTTTTTAAATCGTCAAAGATACTGAGCTTGCAAACGCCCCACTACGACTCACCTTGATTACGAAATCGAATCGAAGTTCACCACGATCTCCTTTTCAAAACAAACTCGCTTTCGCCCATAACAAACATTAAAGGGACAAGGTTGATCAAATGGTCCGCCTTAAGCCGGATTAAAATTAGATAATGGGTGTTTGGATTTGAAAATCCGTTGGAAGAATCATAGAATATAATCAACTGTACTATAATTCATTTTCAACAGTGTATTGAATGTGAAACAGCAAAAAAGTCATTCCACCACCCCCCCCCCCCAATATGAATTTAGTTACTACACCAGTGATTTTTAAACTATCACTTTTTGCAGAATTATAATTAAATTGAAATTATAAGTAAGCCAAAATTGTACCATTCAACACGACGTATCAAAACTACTTGCAATGGTTGTATTCTACTTTGTGACTGTTATGGTTTCTCCTATTTCAGAATTCTACTTTAATGTAGCTTACAGATAGGCGTGTTGAATGTATACCAAAATGGTACTATACAACACGATGTATCAAAACTACTTGCAATGGTTGTATTCTTCTCTGTGACTGTTATGGTTTCTCCTATTTCAGAATTCTACTTTAATGGAGCTTACAGATAGGCGTGTTGAATGTATACCAAAATGGTACTATACAACACGATGTATCAAAACTACTTGCAATGGTTGTATTCTTCTCTGTGACTGTTATGGTTTCTCCTATTTCAGAATTCTACTTTAATGGAGCTTACAGATAGGCGTGTTGAATGTATACCAAAATGGTACTATACAACACGATGTATCAAAACTACTTGCAATGGTTGTATTCTTCTCTGTGACTGTTATGGTATCTCTAATTGCAGAATTCTACTTTAATGTAGCTTATACATAGGCGTGTTGAATGTATACCAAAATGGTACTATACAACACGATGTATCAAAACTACTTGCAATGGTTGTATTCTACTCTTTGACTGTTATGGTTTCTCTAATTGCAGAATTCTACTTTAATGTAGCTTATACATAGGGGTGTTGAATGTATACCAAAATGGTACTTTACAACACGATGTATCAAAACTACTTGCAATGGTTGTATTCTACTCTGTGACTGTTATGGTTTCTCTAATTGCAGATTTCTACTTCAATGTAGCTTATACATAGGCGTGTTGAATGTATACCAAAATGGTACTTTACAACACGATGTATCAAAACTACTTGCAATGGTTGTATTCTACTTTGTGACTGTTATGGTTTCTCTTATTACAGAATTCTACTTTAATGGAGCTTATACATAGGCGTGTTGAATGTATACCAAAATGGTACTATACAACACGATGTATTAAAACTACTTGCAATGGTTGTATTCTACTTTGTGACTGTTATGGTTTCTCTTATTTCAGAATTCTACTTTAATGGAGCTTATAGATAGGCGTGTTGAATGTATACCAAAATGGTACTATACAACACGATGTATCAAAACTACTTGCAATGGTTGTATTCTACTCTGTGACTGTTATGGTTTCTCTTATTTCAGAATTCTACTTTAATGGAGCTTATAGATAGGCGTGTTGAATGTATACCAAAATGGTACTTTACAACACGATGTATCAAAACTACTTGCAATGGTTGTATTCTACTCTGTGACTGTTAAGGTTAGAACAGTCTAGTACAGTAGAGAGATCCTTTTTTTGCTCTGAATTTCTATCAATTTTCAGTTCCTGTTGATCATTTTTATTCATCTTCTTCTTTCGTCGTCCAATTCTTCTGTATGTGATTCTTTTTGTCAGCTATCTCGAAACGAGTTTTAGTCACCAATCTGCTTAATCTATCTGAAATCTATTTCAAGTTATTCATGCCAATTATTTTACCCAGTTGAAATTCAGGATATGAATTTATTTGTAACCTTAAATCTACAAGGTTGGCAGCATGATTGTAGAATATTCTTTATCAACATGAAGTCATAATTCACCTTGCGTAGTACTCATTCTAAGAATAGTTTAAAACCTGCTTTTATCCGGAGCATCGCATCCTTTAATTAATCCTTTATCTTGTGAATTTTGCAGTAATCAGGCTTGAAGCAGAAGAGCTTGCTCATTAAAATCCATACTTGTATTCATATATCACTATTTTTTCAAGTTCAACATAACTTATATTACACAACACCTAACTAAATGGATATATCCATGCTTGGAGTTACTACTCACCAAATTTTTCTCTAATTTTTTCTGGCAAATCTTCAAAGAAGTAAACCCTAAAACCAACTGTTAACAAGTTAACAAGACATGCGTACTTTTAAAGTAGATAAACATCTATTACCCTTTCAGATTCGATATATTCATACAACCAAAGGATTTTAACTACTTACCATTATATTAATTTTAAATATTTACACAAAGAGGGCCACAACTAAAGTGCTAAATACTTGAAGGAAGTATTCAAATTTTTACTTTAGGCCAACTAAAGATAACGATTTTCAAGAAAATGAAAATCTGGCTACAATATTCACAAATTGACAGAGGCTAGGACAGTCAATGTATATGCTTATCGACCAACTTATTTGTCTTTTGTCTCGATGTGACCACTCCTGAATATCCTATGCTTTGAATATCAGGGAGATTCGGCTTGTATGTGAGTCTGTAACCATACTTGTTTGCTTAATCGGAGAAATATCACAAAAACACGTTTTTGGTTGAATTACGGTTCTGATTTTAAAACTCAGTACCATTATTGGGCCTCTTAAAGGGAACTTCCAGTGATAGCTTCTCGGGGCCATATGGTTCAAATGCGAGCAAATCGCAAAAGTAGATTTGACAAGATTCGCATTTGTCTGGGTGTATTTATGACCAGTGACGCCTTACGGGAGATTTGTCGTGGACGTGATGTAATTTTCTTATTCTTTAATTTGATTCAATTTAAATAAACTCAATTTTGCCGAAAATGAGACACAGGTGTTCCATGTTTACAAAATTGGCGTTCTCTGTTGGGAAAACGGCATTCTCGTAGAGTTTAAAGGGAGTGGCTATAGCTTTTTTACTTTCAATTTTACTAGGGCTGTTGCTAATCAGTAAATGAATTTTATTGAGGAAGAATATCAAAGTTTTAGGATATTAGCTAGGTAGGATTAACACTCTACAAGGTTAGGGCTAAATGGTGGCCTGAGGCCAATAACAATAACTAAATAACAATAATGAATTGGAAAGCACGATAAAACAGCTCAGGGCGAAACCAGTAAAACCATAGCCAAGAAATTAGACAATAAATACAAAGTAACATAAGGGTCTATGCCAGCTGTCGTGCTCAAGGGGGGTTTCGAGGTCCCATTTGTCGAGAAATTGTGAGAGCAAACCCAAATTTGCCGACAGGTTTAAAATTTCACCGACTAGGCACCTTAAGATGACAAATCCTTGTTTTTACAACGGAATTATTGCAACGCAGCGGCCTTGGAAGCCTCCTCAAATATCCTTGAAATTACTTAAGGAAATGTCACACTACCTTAGGGGATTATGTCCATTGGAGCCAATGAGATCGCCTCTACTGCTACTAACGACTCAGTTTAAGACAACAAATTTTAATGTAGTGTTTGGATATTTACAGATTTAACAACACCTATTATTACATTGATACATTGTTAGTTGCAACCGTTTCTCATTCTTCTGAACTGCCTTTTGATCGTTTTTCTAAAGTTTCTTAGAATCAAGGCGTAGAAAAGTGGATCAACTGCAGCATTGATAGCAATGGTCCATGCATTCACTTTGTCTATTGTGTTGGGAACCAAATGATGCTTGTCTATTGCATCCATAAACGTCATGTAGATGACGGGTATCCATGTAAACATGTATGTGAAAGCCACTAAGGCGAATGCAGTAGATGCTTTTATTTCTTCAAAAACCTGTCTACGTCTCAATGACCTTCTGTGCCGTTTTCGTTGCTTCATCTTGTTGTTTTCTTGGCAACCATTGGGCTTAAATAGGCGAGCAAAAAAACTGCGCTTATTTTGCACAGATCTCGCTACTGAACCACTGATATGTTCAGGGCTTGGGTGTGGCTGTATGCCTCCTTCAATACAAGGACAGCTTGGGCTGTTGACAGTCTCGTCATCTAGATTCGCCTCGCAATTAGACATCCTTGCCGCATCTTTGCATCGCTCTTCCTCGATTCCCGAGTCGTGTTCGCTCACACCATTTTCTACATCATCCTCTGTCTCCCTTTCTTTAGCAATATCATCGAAACAATCCGTAGAAGGATTAATCATGAAGCCGACACGATTCTTCATGCAGGGCTCATCCTTTTGATTGCTTGCATCGTCTTCTTTCTTTGTATGCGTCTCCTTATGGTCGCCTTCTACGTTGATAATCTTTCCGTCTAATTTTCCATCGCACTTTACCGATAAAGTGATCAAGCCAGGTGTTACAAGAGGCGCTCGCTCTTCTCCTTTATGACTTGAAGTGCCACTACCATTGCATTTTGATGCTGCCAGTATTGTCGAATGGTTTTTATCTTGTGCAGAACTCGCTTTACATTGGCCCTCATCCTTATTTCCGATACCACGATGCTGGCAGATAAGTGCTGTGCTCATTTTTGGTACAGCGACCGTGGTCAAAGCCTCTCCTGCAACTAAATTTTGACCTCTTTCCAAGACATCTCCTTGGGGGCATTGTCTTCCTGAATCACAGCTGCGCCTGCTCGTTATTGACAAACTGCATCTTCCCTCCTGTCTTAGGCCGTACAAACTTTGATTCGAATTCGCACTATAATACAGATCAGTTTTGATCGTGCAGCTAAGCTCATCGTTTGAGTCTTCGTGTAGATTGGGACTCATTCGGCTGTCTGACTTTGAGCAAGCGTTCTGTCCTTGGCTACCAGAATTTGCCAACAGACAACAAGCATTCCGGAGGCGTGATGAACAGCTTTGAGGCAGATATCTTTCCTGCACGGGATATACTTCAAGGCTGCGTCCTTCTTTTAATAAACGATGCACTTCTATCAGAATTCGCATATATACGAAGCAAATGAAAAACAGCGGGGAGACCAAAAACACTAGCAGGGCAATTATCATGTAGATTTTATGCTCTATGCTAAGAACGTTGGTTTTCCATGTTAATGGCACCAAGCAATAGGAGATTGGAACGAGCCATGCAGCAACGGTTATTCTTAAAGCAGTTTGTTTTGTAATGATTGAACGATATCTGAGTGGTTTTGTAATCGAGACCAGCCTCTCATAGGTGACTGCGGTTAGATTTGAGGCATAGGTGAAAACGATAATAGCGGCGAAATACAAATAGACGTTGCTATTCTTGTAAAACAGTGCTATAGGTACTAAGACACCAGCACAGAGCATATCTGTGACGCAGAGGCTAAAAACAAATGTGTTTGTAGCTGTTTGTAATATCTTGTTAGCATAGATGATGTAACACGTGAATATGTTTTCCATCACGGCAATAGTACACAAAACAAGCAGAAAATATACAGAGCTTGTGCTGAAATCGTTCGATGTTGGCTGCTTTAAGTTTTGATGGTCTGTTATCGAATGTGTATCGAAGCATGCGTGTGTTGTGTTCAAACAAAGTGTTGCGTTTCCGGCCATCGCAAACACCTGCTACTTTTTTGAGCCGTTTAGCGCAACTTTCCAGCTCTAAAATGAAAAATGTGTCGTCACTCATCGTTTTAAATAGATTTGAAGCTGCAACACTGCCAGAACAAGTTTGGAGGAAGCTCTTTTTTTTCAAATTGTGATCTAAATTGATTTGATTTAATTTAAATTCTGCTACAGTGCAAAATCTAGTTGTATGGATTTTAAATAAATCAATTACAGAACACAACGGCAACAACAACAACAACAACAACAGCAACAACGACAGCAATAGCGACAACATCGTTAACAACAACAACAACAATTAAATTATTAAATTGGCACATTATTAATAACCAAAAACATCAGGTGCTTAAAGTCAGCCAAAGCAACAAAAACTAAGCATGTTTCAGAATGGCTTCAAGAACTGAGTTAGGAATGCTGAGCATTTAATTTAAGAAATGTAAGCGAAAGTAAAAAAGAGTTGTAACAAGAGATGTCCTTAGTTTTGCAAAGAGTGTTGAGGAATCTCTGTTTTAAGCACTAAATGTTAAGGAAAGATTGAATTTTAAGACACAAATTTAGAAAGTTCTGTTATTTTTCTCAAAGACGTGAAAATTAGAAATGATACCTGCTGTTTTAATTTCTTACAAAGTTAACCTATTACTCACTTAAGTTCTTTTGTTACAATAAATGGTAGCGAATCGTAGTTAATAAAAATGAAGAAAGCTTTCTACCTTAAACACAAATTTGAAGCCTTTTTAATTCTTGATGTTGTGTGATGATGCCAACGAACTTTTTGACTGACCAGTCTTCTTACAAACACATCTCTTTTATTTTTCCTTGTCACTTCTTGATGTTTACGTCACTTGAAAAGAAAAAAAAAGGCTTTGAAACTATTTTTCCTTCAAACACATCGTGGCTTGATAAAGAAATTATAGGCTGCTCTAGATACAAAAATATGGCATAAATGACGCAATCAAGATGTGTCAATTACATGGATTAAATAAGCAATCCATGTGTTTTGTAAATGCATGTAATTATGATATTCCATGTGTTATTCATGCATTTAGAGCCCATGCCGTTTCAGGACGGTAAACACGTGGATTTTGGATTTTTAAATTGCTTACTTTCTATTCGCAGAAAGTCTTGATCCTTGTTGATGTTGTGGCAAAAGATGAATGGATTCAGGTACGTGGGAGATAGCGAGGCATGTGAAAAAGAACAGCTCCAGATGTTTCAAATTTAAGCTGCCTTGATACCTTAATCCATAAGTGAGCACATTGTTCATCTAGTTCTCTTGATAACGGGCTATGCTCGAAACGTATTGAATGAATTCGTAAATTTTTTTTAGTACAATTTTACTTAAGTTCCTAGTTTTATGCTAAAACAGTATGCAGACTGAGAGTCATTGCCAAACTAGCCCTGGCATGTCAGGTGTTTCTCTTAGCTTTTTATAGAAAGCTTTCTTGAGCGACATCGCAAACACCCACATCAATGGAAAAATGTTCAATGAAAATAAATTTTTTTTGTGATGAAGGAAACAAAAATATACTCAATAGGCTGAAGATTATTCTCATTAATAAGCTATTTATTTGATTTTCAGGTATACACTGTATGAGCGAGATCGATTCTTTCTGTATGGGTTATTTCTTTACTTTATGTTGCGAAACTTCGGTTACCAGTGAAAAACTCCAAAAATTGAAAAAAATGCATCTCGTTTACAGGTGTTAAAATTCCGGCCATAAATTTTGGGACAAAATGCATAATTGTACTTTTCCACTTTACCTTGCCTCTGTAAATTCAAATCCCCCCCCCCCCAGGCAATGTTAGATTTGTAGTTCTATCATATTTGCTTCAAAATCGTGCATTCAACATTGAATTGGGGGAGGGGGAAAAGCTATTTTTCAAAGGGAAGAGAAAGCACAAAGTTTTTTGAAAAGTCTCAACTATTTTTTTCCGGGATTGCTAGGTCTAGAATCACCTCTCGGCTAAGTGCGCGCAGGTATCTTCCATGAGCAGATTTAGATAATTTCTTGCTTAATAATAAATAGGTGTTTGCCACTAAGCCTTTTAATCATAAATTTATATCATTTTAAGTAATTTTTTACTTCATAATAGGGTTTTATGATATGATATTTATTCGATAAGATGAAAGATGTTTATACCTAATTGTAATTAAGTAGAGAAGTTTTTCTGTAATATAAAGATTTGTGTACGTTTATGTACTGGTGGCCCCATTGAAAAGCAGCATTGCCCAGGGGATACCCCCTTAAAGATGTAAATGATTTAAAATGACATAGAAACAAGCACATAAATTTAAAAGCCATCTGTTTCTTTATCCTGTATGCTTGGACTTGCGTTGCTATTTACAGAAGACATCACAAGCGCATGCGCAAGTTATGCAAGAAATTAAGCCAAGCCTTATGTTGGAGTCTTGGCCGCAATTGTGGTTCCATGGGGTCCATGGGGTCACAGCCCCAGGCCCCAAGCTCGTGATAGCCAGAAGTGGGTCTTCTGCCACGGGGCCTCTCAGTCAGTAAAGCCGCAGCTGGATAGCCTCCCCACTAGCGCATATGATAGCTTGCTTTTGTGTTTGTGTTTACATCGGTAGGATGACCTAAACTCAAGAAATTAGCCCAGTCCATTGGATATTATTTTGGCAATTCGCGCACCAGTACCCATTGGCACTTTTCAAAGTCCTTCATTCGCGTCTTGTACAATCAAGCATAGAATGGCTCGCTCTCAAATTCCTCACAATCCAGCGAATAAAGGTACAATTCTTGAGGCAAATGTTTTTTACCTCTTTTTAAAAAATTGGAAAGATTTTTGTCGTTACAAACTTTAGTAAATAAAGCCAACTAAAATGCTTAACATTTTTCTGCAAATTTTATAAATGGCATTGGATCACATTAAGTTTTAAGATGTGTTGAACTTTCGTCCGACAGTCAAAGTAAATAACGTCAGAATAATGATATCAATTGTAAGTGAGAAACTTATTTGATTGCCTTTTTGTCATCTTGTACAATCGAGAAATTGTTTGCTAATTTTGAGTGGTTGATTGATACGTAACTTTGAAATGATCCGGACATCAATGTCAATATTAGTCGCGGTTTCATGCTCATAAGATCATAGTCGACTTATGCTATTCATAGACTTAATCTAAGAGTGAGTAATGGATAAACGACGAGCGGTTATACGGATCTGAAAGTAGGATAATTATCATTCCGGGTATTAAATAAAAGCAGAAACAATGTTAAAACTGTTGGGTGAAATGTTATAACAAAATTTCCTAACAATAGCAGCAATAACAACAAACTCAGATTTAAGGACGTCATCGCGACCCCTTCTTTTTTTTGTCCCAGGTCCCAGAAAAGCTGTCGAATGTCGAATATGACTGTATAATGAAGAGCAGTATGTAAAAAATAAACTATTTATACCTGAATTCGAGAAGAAAAAACAATATTTATCTTAACTCTAAGGTAAGATATGATGAGGGGATGTAGAGTAATGCGCAGCTGTTAAAGGTTCCTCGCTTCAAGAAAAAATCTTTAGGTGATAGAACTTTGGTCTATGCTGTAGCTAGTGTTTGGAACCGTTGTGAATTCGTGCTGTTTATAATATTAATAGTTTTAAATCGTCTTTAAAGACTCATTTGTTTAAATTAGCGTATAATATAACGTAATAGGTTTTAAATTGTAAATTGTATAGAATATTGTATTATAGTTGTGCACTTTAGTCATGATCATAATCATAATCATAATCATAATCATAATCATAATCATAATCATAATCATAATCATAATAAAGAGCTATGAAAAACAAAGGGCTTTGCAAGAGTTGTCTAGAAACAATAGCAAAAGTAGCAAAGAGTTACTGTTTGGTATTAACAATTTGGGTCAAGCCCCTAGCTCTAAAACATAGTTCAACTAAGGGTGTACAAACTTAAAACGTTGTCTTCTAAGTATAATACATCAATTTAGATCACCAGGTTCATTGATATAAAAGCCTAATAATATAGCTTCCAGTTTTTCTTGTAAAGAGTTAAGGAACCTAGATATTCCTGAGCTAACCTTTCCAAGACAAAGGTTTTAATCTACAGTTTGCAAGCGCTATGATTTTAAAATATGCTATTGACAAATTTCTTCGAAGCAATTTATTCATTTCTTACCTTGATATATCATTATAACTTTCTTCTTTTTAAATTTTTCATTCATTTGTTTGCCCTTTCAACAAGCAATAATCAGCGATCCATGACATTTAGCACACGTACTTTCGTTTTCATTTTCTTTTCCTTCTTCCTTCTTCACGAAAATAGAATAAAATTACTTATGTCTTGAGCTAATATCTGGTAGGATCAAGGCTGTTCACTTTCTGGTGGGTCCGGCCGGAAATGACCATTTATTGGTATTGTATCGGACTTTTATAACTACGTAAAAACACCGGACACAAGCTAAACACTTCTTCCTCTCGCCTATTGAGCTCGGAGGCATTAGATATAAATAAAAATGTTGCAAACATTTTGATTCAAACAATCTCATTATACGGACGTCATTCATCTGTTACATCAACTCTGCGTTGAGCAAAAGAAACCAGACATTAAATAAGACTGGAGTGTTCCTTTTGAGGTCATTTGAAGTCTTTCCTGGGCAGAAACTCATAATCGCCTTTTTCTTCCTCGTAACATTTGATTCAGACAACAGACTAACTTCATAGGAACAAAAGTTAAGCAACCATCTAGCTCATTTGAGCATTCCAAATTGTGATGCAAGCTATTTTGTATAAAAAAGAACTGTGGTAAGAAACACCAGCCCGAGATTTGCCCATGAAATAAGAACAACATAAGAAACAAAGCAGGCTAAAATTCAGCAAAACTCAAGAAATGAAATGCCAGCAAAAGTTGGAAAATGAGAGAATAGATATAGAAGAAAAGCAAAAAAGCATTAATTACCTAAAAATAGATGTAAATTTGATTTTTAGAGAGCAGTGCAATTTTTGTCTAAAAATTTATCATTCTGAATTGTCTAAAAACACCGAGATTTATTCACCAAAATCAATCTTTCAAAAGTTTTCCAATTAATACAGAAAAGATATTTGTAATTTACTTAATAAGTTCAGTTTAATGTTACTCACTGGTTTTTCTCTAATCATTTGAAAGCATTCTATTGCTAGCAGCACTTCAAGCTGCATCCTAAAATTGCTAGCCAGCCAAGCCTGTGAGCCTCTAGTTGGTAAGTCAACTTTTGTATATATGGAAGCAAATTTGTTTTTACGACATTTGATAAATGAATTGCTTTGCGTTGACGAAGCTATTCTCAACATACGTGTGAAAAAGGTATTACTTTTATAAAAGTTTTTGTTGACTTCTCAAAAGGGTTGATTTGTACATCGTGTGGCATCCTTATTACAAATTTCAATGGTTATTGTTTTCGTTCTGCTGTGGAATATTTACAATACCAGCCGAAATTACTTGGAAACCGAACAATTTGCGTTGTACTCTTGTAATTTTCATTCTTTGTCAAGTATTGCTACACCTGAATCTGTTCCATCCAATAACCATGTTGGTATTTTAGACAATTAAGTCACACAAAAAAACGTTAAATCTCACACATTGTTGATGGGAATACATGCTCAGTTAAAGATTTAGTTGTATCAAGGCCGAATTAACAATATGACATCAGCTAATATCGAAAGGTTTTTTTAAAAGGAAAATATTGAAGGAAAAAACTTAGGAGCTTGAAGAATGTATTTCCTACAAGATTAAAAGGGATGGAAGAAACATAATAATACGTTTTTTGAAGGATTTAGCATGTGCAATCTTTAAAGGATTCATTTTAAAAGCAATATGTAATAAGCTGCTACGTCATA